TTTCAGTGCAGGCGTTCATTAAAAAATATTTTTACAAAGTCGCAAAGTCCAAATGTAGACTTCAAAGCTAAGTATGCATGAAAGTTTGATATGTTTGATGTCAAAGAACATACCGTATTAATTTCTCGAACGGTCTATAACATGGTCATTTCAGGCCAAAAATAAATAAACAAATTAGTGAACAAATAAACGTACAAATAAACCTCACTTTACAGCAAAGGACTTTCTCTTCTTTAGTGAACAAAATTATCTAAAATCTATAATGGTTATTATCGAATATTTCAATTTAATTTTGTTTGGTATTTCAAATTAAAACAAAATGTGTTTGTGAAACACTGATGTCCCTGTATGGCAGCTTTTGACAATGGTTAAAGTTTCTCAAATGCAACTCAAACTCAAATATTAAGGACATACGCAACGTACTTTACCTACTGATAATTTTTAAAGATATTCTTAATTTAAGATTATATAGTGCCATCAGATGTTCGTAGACAAAAAATCAGCATGCATTACCAGGGGTTTTGAAAAGATATCAATTGATGAAAATTCTTGTATAATTCAAAGAAAAATATACAAAAATTATTAAACATATATTCTAGATGTTTTGTTTATCCAAATTTATTTTAGAAGAAGTGTACAACAGCATATATAGACATTAAAATGTAGCAAACAGTTCCTTTAAGTATTTGAAATCCTCAACTCCAGGGAAAAAGACAATAAAGTTCAAACCACGTTGCGTATGTCCTTAATAGCTGAAAAATGTTGTTACCCAAAGAAAGGACTCTCAGTGAATATATCTGAGAAATAAGAAATCCCAGGCACTAACCATTCAAAAGGTTTAGCTCAGGTTAAAGTTTTTTAAATGTGGGTCAAACTGCAAGGTCAAGGTCAAAGGGTCAAATTAAAGGTACCCAGGGTAAGGCTTTGTCATAAGAAATACACATGTAAAACATTAAAGAATTAGCACCAACTGTTCAAAATATATGGCCAAGATTAAAGTTTTTCAAAAGTATGTCTTATTCCAAGATAAAGGTCAAAATTTCAAATATGTCGGAACCCAAAGAAAGGATTTGTCACAAGGAATACACATGTGGAAAATAATAGCCCTGATACTAATTTCTCAAGGTTAAAATTTTTAAAAGTTGGTAAAACTCAAAGGTCAAGATCAATTTTTTTATATCCGTTCAAAGGTCTTGCTACTATGAATACACATACTAGTATAAAGTATGAAAGCCCTTGCACCAACTGTTGAAAAGTTATAGCCAAGGTTAAAGTTTGGTAAATTCTTGAAAAAGTGGGAAAAACTCAAAGATCAAGGTCAAAAAAGTCAAATATGTTAGAACCCAAACAAAGGCCTTATCACAAGGAATGCACATGTGAAATATGAAAGCCATAGGTCCAACCAATCAAAAGTAATGGGCACGTTTTTGCGGACAAACAAACAGGTGATGGGTATACAGACCCTGGTGATAGATGTACAGCTCTAGTGATAGATAATAGAGACCCTAGTGATAGATAATATAGACCCTGGTGATAAGTATACAGACCCTTTTAATAGATAATACCGACCTTGGTTATAGAAATACAGACGCTGGTAATAGACATACGGACCCTGGTAATAGGTCCACAGTCTCTGGTGATAGGTATACACACCCTGGTGATGGGTACATACAGACCCTAATGACAGATAATACACACCCTTGACATAGATTTACAGATTAAGACCCTGTTCATAGATACCCAAACCCTGGTGATGGGTATACAGACCCTGGTGATGGGTATACAGACACTGGTGATAGATAATACAGACCCTGATGATAGTTATACAGAACCTGGTGATAAGTAAACAGACCCTGGTGATGGGTATACAGACCCTGGAGATAGGTATACAGACTCTGGTCATTGGTATGCAGACCCTGGTGATAGGTATATAGACCCTGGTGATAGATAATACAGACCCTGGTGATAGGTATAAAACCCTGGTGATAGGTATAAGGACACTGGTGATAGGTATATAGACCCTGGTGATAGGTAATACTGACCCTGGTGATAGGTATAAAGACCCTGGTGATGGGTATACAGACCCTGGTGATAGGTATAAAGACCCTGGTGATGGGTATACAAACCCTGGTGATGGGTGTACAGACCCTGGTGATAGGTACATAGACCCTGGTGATAAGTATACAGACCCTGGTGATGGGTATACAGACCCTGGTGATGGGTATATAGACCCTGGTGATAGATAAAACGGACCCTGGTGATGGGTATACAGACCCTGGTGATGGGTATACAGACCCTGGTGATAGGTATATAGACCCTGGTGATGGATATACAGACCCTGGTGATAGATAATACAGTCCCTGGTGATGGATATACAGACCCTGGTGATGGGTATACAGACCCTGGTGATAGATAATACAGACCCTGGTGATAGGTATACAGACCCTGGTGATGGGTATATAGACCCTGGTGATAGGTTTATAGACCCTGGTGATAGATAATACAGACCCTGGTGATGGGTATATAGACTCTGGTGATAGGTATACAGACCCTGGTGATGGGTATACAGACCCTGGTGATGGGTATACAGACCCTGGTGATGGGTATAAAGACCCTGGTGATAGATAATACAGACCCTGGTGATAGATAATACAGTCCCTGGTGATGGATATACAGACCCTGGTGATGGGTATACAGACCCTGGTGATAGATAATACAGACCCTGGTGATAGGTATACAGACCCTAGTGATGGGTATATAAACCCTGGTGATAGGTTTATAGACCCTGGTGATGGGTATACAGACCCTGGTGATGGGTATATAGACCCTGGTGATAGATAATACAGTCCCTGGTGATGGATATACAGACCCTGGTGATAGGTATACAGACCCTGGTGATAGATAATACAGACCCTGGTGATAGGTATACAGACCCTGGTGATGGGTAAAAAGACCCTGGTGATGGGTATACAGGACCTGGTGATGGGTATACAGACCCTGGTGCTAGGTATACAGACCCTGGTGATGGGTATACAGACCTTGGTGATAGATAATACAGACCCTGGTGATGGGTATATAGACTCTGGTGATAGGTATACAGACCCTGGTGATGGGTATACAGACCCTGGTGATGGGTATAAAGACCCTGGTGATAGATAATACAGACACTGGTGATGGGTATACAGACCCTGGTGATAGGTACATAGACCCTGGTGATAAGTATACAGACCCTGGTGATGGGTATACAGACCCTGGTGATGGGTATATAGACCCTGGTGATAGGTACATAGATCCTGGTGATAAGTATACAGACCCTGGTGATGGGTATACAGACCCTGGTGATAGTTATATAGACCCTGGTGATAGATAAAACGGACCCTGGTGATGGGTATAAAGACCCTGGTGATAGATAATACAGACACTGGCGATGGGTATACAGACCCTGGTGATAGGTACATAGACCCTGGTGATAAGTATACAGACCCTGGTGATGGGTATACAGACCCTGGTGATGGGTATATAGACCCTGGTGATAGATAAAACGGACCCTGGTGATGGGTATACAGACCCTGGTGATGGGTATACAGACCCTGGTGATAGGTTTATAGACCCTGGTGATAGATAATACAGACCCTGGTGATGGGTATATAGACTCTGGTGATAGGTATACAGACCCTGGTGATGGGTATACAGACCCTGGTGATGGGTATACAGACCCTGGTGATGGGTATAAAGACCCTGGTGATAGATAATACAGACCCTGGTGATAGATAATACAGTCCCTGGTGATGGATATACAGACCCTCGTGATGGGTATACAGACCCTGGTGATAGATAATACAGACCCTGGTGATAGGTATACAGACCCTAGTGATGGGTATATAAACCCTGGTGATAGGTTTATAGACCCTGGTGATGGGTATACAGACCCTGGTGATGGGTATATAGACCCTGGTGATAGATAATACAGACCTTGGTGATGGGTATATAGACTCTGGTGATGGGCATACACACCCTTGTGATAGGTATACAGACCCTGGTGATAGGTATATAGACCCTGGTGATAGCTATACAGTTCCTGGTGATAGATAATACAGTCCCTGGTGATGGATATACAGACCCTGGTGATAGGTATACAGACCCTGGTGATAGGTATATAGACCCTGGTGATGGTATACAAACTATGGCAATACATAAACAGACCCTGGTAATAAGTATACAAACCCTGTAAAAAATAATTAATTTATAAAAGAAATATATGATAAATGCATAAATAAATCAATAAATAAATGCAAAAATAAATCAATCAATCAATAAAGAAATAAAAAAAAAGAAATAAATAAAAATACGAATAAATGAATGCATAAATAAATAGATAAATAATAAATAAATAAATAAATAGAATACGAAATAAATGAAGGAATGAATATAATAAATAGATAAACAAACAAATAAATGAACTTCTTAATGAATTAATCAATTACTTAATTATTAGAATAATAAATAAATAAATAAATAAATAAATAAACAAACATGCATACAAATTAATAAATCAATGAATTAATTAATAGATAATTAATTAATGGATGGAATAATTAATAAATGAAGGAAAGAATGTTATAAATGAATTTAAAAAAAAATACAAATATATATTTTTTAATAAATTAATCAGTTACTTAGTTAATTAATTATAAGAATGATAAATAAATAAATTAAATAAATAAATAAATTAATAATTAAATAAATAAATAAATAAAAACTAACTGTAAAGTTGATTCATTTATTCTTCTGCTTTTTTAAATAAAAGTTGATCGAATTATGCAAAAATTTCTGCATCTGACTATAGTATCATTCCGCATTACTAGTTTCCATTATATATTCCGAATTTCCTCTCTGCTGTTTTCCGATCTCGATGGAAATTTATTTCACGCATGCGCTCTGCCTGGTTATAGAGGCTGGTTACGAGATCTAAAACAGCATACATATTATACCTCTTCTCTCGGAGCAAAACAACAATGGCAGACCATGATCCGTTTGACATAATATACGAAGAAGGAGACGATGAACAGTCAGAATCAGCGTCAACTCCAGACTACTCAATAAATTTACCGGATCCTATTATAATTAGAGGTGCTGGAAATGTCACAATGTAAGAAGTCAGGGGATTTTATTTTGTTATTATTGACAGATAATGTTAGGCAAAATAACAATACATCATTGTAACACCTCAATCAATTGGGGGCTTCATTTTCATTATTAAATGATTTCTTGAGATGCAAAGAAGACATAGGGTTATAGGTTTATTGTAATTTTACTAAATTTTAAGAGCAAGGCAGATTATTTTTCTTTTCCAGTTTACTTTTCCTTTGTTTTACATAAAAAGCAGGAAGGTTATACTTAGCATGTGACAGGGGAAAGGAATTTCATGCATCAGATATTAAAGCATGATAAAACTGGATTATATGAATAAATGCGTAATGTATTGTATGAATCGATAGATTAATATGTGATATATAGAGCATCCACTCATCTTCACCTTAGTTACTTATCAATATATATAATAATAAATGTTTTTAACTACTTTTTCAAGATTTGGACTCAGCAACCGATTTGACACTGAATTCCCTTCTGGTCTGGCAGCAAAGGTAAATGTTCATCCTAAATTTTTACTTATGTTTGATTTCAGTTCATAAACTGTTTCATTTTGGGTAATAGTACTAATTAATACATGTATAATTTTTTTTACCACCATAGGAGTTGACATTAACCTTGATCTTTGACAAAGAAGTTAGCAAATGAAAAAAATATCTGACCAAAAAAAAAAACAAAACTTTCTGATAATCATGTTTCTAACTTAATAATTGGTAAATCAATTAGAGTTGACCATGACCTTTTTCCTTGAGTTAGTACGAAACATGCTTATCACTGTTGAGGATAACCTAGCTGATAGGATCATGGCCGTAGGAACCGGGGGGGGGGGAGGGGGAAGGGGGGCATGCCCCCCAATAATTTTGCCGCTGTATAGAATACTATAGAAAACTTAGGTAATATATGCTTGTGTCCCCTCAATAAAAACGTCTGATGACCTTTTTTTTTTATTTGCTTGTCAAAGAATTTTGGTAATTGATAGTGCCCCCCCCAACTGAAAATTTTTGGCTGTGCCCCCCAAACTGAAATTGCTTCCTATGGGCCTGAGGATTATTTCATCCAACATTACAATTATCTTCAAATTTCATGTTTTGATAAATTAAGATGCAATATTTGATTCCAAGAAGTACATGTATGTTAAAGTTGACTGTCACATTAAACTGATTGCAGAAACATACTTCTCTCTCAATGTTTGGAGGTTAAATATGCTAGTAATTTAGGACTCATCACAACCATCAAGATTTCATTTTATAAGACTGAAAATACTTTGCAGTCAGTCAATTTTTTCCTTAGTTTTTATTGAACTTCAGAATGCACATTTTGTATTACAGGTAGCTCCTGAGGAATACAAGGCTACAATATCTCGTCTCAATAGCATGCTGAAAAAAGCTCTACCAGTCAACATCAAATGGCTGTTCTGCGGCTGTATATGCTGTTGCTGCACTCTAGGTTGCTCCATGTGGCCTGTTGTCTGTCTCAGTAAGAGGGTAGGTATTATGTTGTGTATCCCATTAAATGGTTATATTGACATTTACTTGATTGTGATGTGTAAGTTAAAAAAAAGGTTTTTTTGCTGGTCTTTGATATAGGACTAATATTTTGTATTTTAATTGCCTTTCACCCTACAGACATATACAAAAGAATTGTGATTGAAGACTTAGTTTTTAGGCTCATGTGGTCAAAGGTCAAGGTCAAATGTTAAATTAGATACCATTATCATTACATATTTATGTGATACAATCCCCAGTATGTTTTTAATCCTACAGACATCATACTTACTACATAGGTAAAGAATGGTCAGAGAAAATAATTATAAGTTGTTTGGTCACTTAGGGAGAGGTCAAGGTCAAAAACTTTAGATTGTTGAATTTACCATTTTCATGCAATATTTTACACTCTAGGCCTAAGTCTCTATATTTACATTTGCAAATGTTTTCTTTTATATAACACTATTAATTAAAAGCAACACATATCTATATCCGTAGAAACACGGGTTCCTCACGTCATAAACATTCGATGTAATTTCTCAGTGATGTAATAAAGGGTCGACTCACAATTAATGGATCAAATACGTGCTGTTGAGTTTGAAAAATAAAACATTTCACGCATTAGAGATTATAATCAGGAAAGAAGTCATAATGTAAATATAAGTAATAATGTATCATTTTTTAAACATCTATCGGGATATAAATACAGGTTGGTACAAGATCAAATTTACCATAAAGCCCTTTGGGCTTTATGGAATTTGTTCTCGTGACCAACCCGTATTTATATCCCGATAGATGTTTAAAAATTATACAAGTCTTTATAACCCACAGATTTCTTATTTAATATATCGGTTGATAATGTTCAGACAAAATGTTCAAAATATAAGCTCAAGTTATTGATATGTCCATTATTATGCAATACCTTGAACATTTTGTAACCTATAATCATCATATGTAGTAGAGAATGGTTTGAGGAAGATACCTACAAATTTTGAAAAGTTAAGATTATTTATGTATATATTCTAACCTTTCAATGTCTAAATAAATAATAGTCAGAGAAAAAAAGATTTGTAGTTTTTGATTGGGATCACTTGGTCAGAGGTCAAACTTATTTATAGGATCATTGTTATGCAATATTTGGAAATTTTATTTCCTATAGATATCTTAAACATGTGTATAAATGCAGTATGGGTTGAGAAAGATGTCTATAAATTTTGAAATCATCAAAGGTATGACCATTATGATGCAATAATTTGAACATTCTGAAACCTGTAGACTTCACATGAACATGTAGTTTATTAATGGAAATTGCTTCAGAAAACATACCTTTAGATTTTCAAATTACTTGGTCAAACAGTTAAGATTGCTGAAATTACCGTTGTATTTAAATAACGGGGTTTTTTTTAATACACATAAAATTTCTTTATTAATTAATTGATATCAAGATTGGTTGGGATATCAAATGTACTTTTTTCTGTCATTAGCTCACCTCGACGAAGTCGAGATGAGCTTATGCTATACCCCCGGCGTTGGCGTCGGCGTCGGCGTTAGCGTCGGCGTCCCGGTTAAAGTTTTAGGAGCAAGTCCCATTCCCAAGTTACTATAAGCCCTACCTGGACCAAACTTGCATGGATGATGCATCTAGAATGGACACTGCCACACTTGCTTCGGATGCTGGTTCTGACCTAGATTTTCCAGATGAGTGACCAGGTTAAAGTTTTTGGAGCAGGTCCATTCCCAAGGAACTATACGCCCCACCTGAACCAAAATTGTATGGATGATGCATCTAGGGATGGACACTACCACACTTGCTTCGGATGCTGGATCTGACCTAGATTTTCCAGATGAGTGACCAGGTTAAAGTTTTTGGAGCAGATCCATTCCCAAATAACTATAAGCCCTACCTGGACCAAACTTGCATGGATGATGCATCTAGGGATGGACACTACCACACTTGCTTCGGATGCTGGATCTGACCTAGATTTTCCAGATGAGTGACCAGGTTAAAGTTTTTGGAGCAGGTCCATTCCCAAGTAACTATACGCCCTACCTGGACCAAACTTGCATGGATGATGCATCTAGGGATGAACACTACACACTTGCTTCGGATGCTGAATCTGACCTAGATTTTCCAGATGAGTGACCAGGTTAAAGTTTTTGGAGCAGATCCATTCCCAAGTAACTATACGCCCTACCTAAACCAAACTTGCATGGATGATGCATATAGGGATGGACACTACCACACTTGCTTCGGATGCTGGATCTGACCTAGATTTTTCCAGATGAGTGACCAGGTTAAAGTTTTTGGAGCAGGTCCATTCCCAAGTAACTATAAGCCCTACCTGGACCAAACTTGCATGGATGATGCATCTAGGAGTGGACACTACCACACTTGCTTCAGATGCTGAATCTAACCTAGATTTTCCAGATGAGTGACCAGGTTAAAGTTTTTGGAGCAGATCCATTCCCAAGTAACTATAGGCCCTACCTGAACCAAACTTGCATGGATGATGCATCTAGGGATGGACACTACCACACTTGCTTCGGATACTGAATCTGACCTAGATTTTCCAGATGAGTGACCAGGTTAAAGTTTTTGGAGCAGATCCTTTCCCAAGTAACTATAAGCCCTACCTGAACCAAACTTGCATGGATGATGCATATAGGGATGGACACTACCACACTTGCTTCGGATGCTGGATCTGACCTAGATTTTCCAGATGAGTGACCAGGTTAAAGTTTTTGGAGCAGGTCCATTCCCAAGTAACTATACGCCTTACCTGGACCAAACTTGCATGGATGATGCATCTAGGGATGAACACTACACACTTGCTTCGGATGCTGAATCTGACCTAGATTTTCCAGATGAGTGACCAGGTTATAGTTTTTTGAGCAGGTCTATTTCCAAGTAATTATAAGTCCTTCTTAAACCAAACTTGTATAGATATTGATCTTGGGATGTACTCTAACTAGAAAAAATATGATGTGAGATTTGCCTTACTTATAGATAACCTTCGTCGAGGTGAGCTTCGTAATCTTTGATTACCTATGTTTTTGGAAGTATATTATGCTCTGCTTAATGAATTTGCTAGCTACATGTATCATGGGAGATAAATGAAAATTAAAAGACTCTATATTTGCCAACTTTTTCATTTTTGTAGACAAAGCATGCCATAGAGAAAATATTAGATTGGGAGAATAATCATTTATATCAAAAGGTAAGTCATGAATACTTCAATTATGATGTTAATTTTATTTTAATCAGCTGTTTTTTAAGATGTGTTTCCTGCTTTGAGGAATGTATCAGTAAAGATCACACTCAAATAAAAATCGGATTTCACTTTGATTGGGTGAATTGAAGGCTTATGATTTTCAAGAGTGGCTTACATGTTTAAGAATTCGAATCTCTTCAATAAACCATGAAATCTTTCCTTTCCTGAAATTGACTTACATTTTGAAATATAATTCCTCAGATCTAAAGCTTTTCTGGGGGACTAAAAAAGTGGCAAGTACTTATGAACATTAAGCTTATACAGTAAAATTGGTCTAATCCAGACACCACTGGTTCCATATACTGCCCCTTTCGCCATATTCACTGTTGGGCAAAAATAAAATGGGGAATTCGAACAACACGATGTAATTTTTTTAACAGAACCGTGACTGTGTGAATTTAAAATGGGGCAAATTTGTTTGCAATTGTGAAAGGGCGAAAATAACATAGGATGAGAAAAATCGTGTATACAGTAAATTGGCTGGATTAGATACCATTTTGGATTAGGCAACATTTCAAGCAATTGAATTAACTGAAAGTGATTTCAAGTTTACACTCTTTTAGAAAATATTTTGGAATATACAACATCCAGTTCAGAGAAGTTCAACTGTACATTAGTATAATGTAATGTATTGCATTGCCTTGTAGCTTGGACTACATTGGAGGTTAAGTAAACAACGCTGTGACTCAAGTAGTATGATGGAATATGTGAGTATGCATGACATGGTGAATTCATGAGACAGACTTATAGAGCAGGGATATAAGAGCAAAGTCATGTTGTTTTACTACATGCTGAATTTAAACTAAATGGAGACTAATTAAATAATATATTGCCTGAAAGAGTTCATTCTCTTGTATTCATTAAAATACATTGTACACTCTAATATAAATTGCCATGTGTACAGTATTTTAGCATTACATGATCAAAATGTTACTAGTGTGAGCTTTTGACCTAGCTATGACACTGATCTGTTGTTTTTTTTTTCCAGGTTCTTTTGATAGAATTTATCCCTAAGGTTCCTATATTCCGACCAGACTGAAGAAGCAGTATCACGTCGGAGGTGAAACTGTCTGTCTCCTAAAGCTTACAGCTCTGCCATATTGTCAGAATTTCTGATTCATTTTTTTCTTCTTTTGTGTTGACCAGATTTATTTTGTAGTACAAAAAAATGTAGAATAGAGTATTCAGTCCATTTTGGTACAGACTTGAATGTCACCATTGTGGTTCTCTTGTAAGATTAAGCAATAGTAAAACAAACAATGCAATTTTGTATGAATGAAAAATTTGTGTCAGATTGCTTTGGATTTTTTGAAAAGAAAGCTAGTGGGTAAATGTAGTGTAGAATTGTTTTTCATAGTGCATTTTTTTTAATGCTTCAGAAACATTTTTTTTTTTTTTTGAAAGTGAAGGCTTTGTGGATCAATGTTCAAAATTCATATGTAGAAAGCACTGCCATAGTCTTGCTCAAATCAGATTTCCTTTGCTTTTCTAATCAATGATAAGGTACTGTAAACCAGTTATTACTTGTGACAATTTTTATTTGTGATTTGTCAGTTTGAAATCCATCCACGACTAATTTTTGTGACTGAGGAAACGTTCTACCTAAAAAAAAATTTAGTAGAAAGTTTGCAATGAGAAATGTGTGCGAGAAAAAGAAGGTCACGAAACTCACAGATATTTCTCACATGCAGATGAAAGTTGGTTTTCATTATTCCCTTTTTTCTTTTTTAAATTGAGCTGATGAAGTGTTCATTAAATCTTCGTGAAGTTCATGTTAAAAGTTTTCATGAAGAAGTACATCAACATTTCTAACTTGACAGTAAATATTTCTCCACAGTACAAGCTTTAATGAATTTATGGGGTCAGTCAAAGTTGCTTTAATACCCATGAGTCATTTTAATCTTGAATTCTTTGAATTTTGTTAGGTTTTGGGAAAAAAATAGCATTAGCCTGGTTTTTATTTAGCCTTTCTGCACAGCATGATAGAATATTAGGACAAGGAAATCTAATGTAATAAATATGATTTTAATGTTTAAAAAAAATGAAGCAACCAAAGCTGTGTACAGTACCTTTTAAATCATGAAGTCACCAAATGCCTAATTTTTATTTCATGGCTTGACCAAACTTACATTCCATGGCAACATCTATTAATTGTTTTGTTCATTATTTACTGACAGTTCAAGCTCAACATTTAAGAGTGTCAAAACTTGCACAATGTCCTTGTCACTCACAAATACTTGTATGTAAAAGTGTTATCAATGTTTAATGCCACTGAGCAAGTATGAAAGTGACATAGCTTTGATCACGTCAATCTACAACATTAACCTGTGAGAATAATTTTACAAGTTCATGCTGTAATGTTTGAAATTTCATCCACATACTTATCCATGTAATAAAGATAACTGAATTATATGAAAGTTAACTTGAAAGCTAAAAGCACATTCCATAAATTATGAAATAAGATTCTTGATACTCACTTTCTAACATTTTCTTTATATTGACAAAATATCAAAGAGCTTGAACATTAGAATTGAGTCCGATAAGGCTACTGCTTGAATCAAAGTATGTGTGTATAAACATAGCAACTATGGTCTGTGCATATCAAAATATTTATTGGAATTTCAGATGGAAAGTTTCAAGTATGAAGTGTGTAAACATTCTGAAATATTTTCTGAATAGTTCTGTGTACAGAATATATTTTTGCTTAATTTTTGTTTATTGATTATTTTCATCATTATCTTCTTGGTGAACAAAAGATCTTAATGCAGCCTATAAAGGTACAAAATGTATTTACATGTACCATAAACATTCCATAGGAATAATAATTACAAACATAAAAATTGATGTGTTTATATAAACTTGGGAAAACACTTTTTTAAATTTGTGAAAGAAACATTATACTGTGTGATAAAAAAAAATGTATTTAAAACCTACAGGTATATATATCAATCCTTGCTTCAATATCTCTGACTCAACAGAGTCAGTTATCTACTAATTTTTTAAGACGCAAAGTTATATTTTAAGTATACACAGCAAAGACAGATATTGTTTTGTCTTTGTTGGTATATTTATATAGTACATGCTCACATTTGTGTTTCACTCAATTAGTATTTTACACTTATATATATTTTTTTAAAATAAAACCAAGATTGAAAAAATTATTTGCATGAAATGATGAGTGTATAATGAATTAAAATAATGGCTTGAATCAGCACTCATGAATATTAATTTATTGGTAGTCTATATATTACATCTTTGAAATTAATTGTTAATTCGGTACAAACCAAGAATAAGCTACCTCAGATTATTAAAAAAACAGATAAGAAAAAGTTTTATTTTTAATGTGTGATAATGATCAATATGTTTTGGAAGCAATTCATCTCACTTCTTTGTAGTGCTGCAGCAAATGCATGCATGTGTATAACTTTTCCATTAGAGAATGAGGAAGAGAAAATGAGATAGTGAAAGAGGGAGGGAATGTGAACACTCATTGTAATGATTTGTGTTATTTTCTCAAGCAATGTGTATTATATTATTCATTTATTATTCATTTTGAATAATAAAGAAAGTCTACATCATTGTTTTGTCTTTTTTATTTCTTAAATTACATAAATGTGACATCATTAAAAATACACTTTCTCAACTTTGATTTTAATGGATTTAATAGTTATGTTACCATGATCAAGTGATGCCTATGCCTACTTTGATACAAGAGAGTAAAGTCAATGGCAGGGACATAATTTTGACTCCAATTAGATAAGTTACATGTACATGTATTATTGTGAATATCATTTGCAATGCATGCTTGATAAATGTTTAAGGTTGTTATGGACAAACCCCTGTAACGTTGACCTTATTTAAATGTCCTTGGGTGAGAATACATGTATGAAGGCCCCTTTTATTCACTTCAAAAGTTATGGTCTGATGTTTGATCTAATGGAAAATAATAAAACATGAAAATAAGCCTTAAGAATCTTTTATATTTAGTGGTTCTTGCAAAACATACACGTACTGTACACGTGTATAACAAATAATGTGACATGCTGAAATAAACTGCATGCCTTTCACAATAGAACATTTTGAAAGTAAAAATTGTCCATATAAACTTTAACAACGTATTCCATATTTTCATAAAAATCTGAATGTTAGTAGATTGGTGATGTACGAGTACAACAGCAATCACAAATCACATGTCATTTACAATGTAAAAAGTCACCATTCATAGAGTTGAATAAACTGAAATTACTATACACTGTAATCGTCCACTTGCTGAAAACCCCCAATATATTGCATTTGGGGTTAAATTGAATGCTGTAGAAATGTTCCTGAATCCCTTTGAGCCAACTTTGTATCAGTAATTTCCATAGTGCTTGACTCTGCAAAACAAGGGTGAGACAACAATGAGAAGAAAAGTTGTACAAAAAAATGTTTGTCAACAAGGAAATGGAACCTTAAAGGAAATATCTCCTCACTCCTTATACAGGTACGATTTCAAACAATAAATATGTTATTATAATTATTAAAAGAATGTGTTGTCAGGACTATGTAGTGATAGCCAGAGGTATGATTGTCAGAGAAAGGGGGGACCTCAAAAGTGTCCCGAAAAATCTACATCTTTTTAAATACATGTATTAATATACATGCACATATCCTCACAATTACGGAGAGTACATGTATTTGGATTTTAAAAGAAAATATAACACTCCTAATAATTATTTTGGACTGGTACAATTCTACACTAGTAAGAAATGACAGATTTCTTATCTAATTCGCCAATCATCAGAAAATCAAAAGTGACTCTTAACAACAAACCTGTATAAGAGAGCACAGCCTCTGTGTGTTCCTATAGAAAAATAACCACTGTTCAGGGAAAAGTCCATACATGTAGGTATCCGTAAATTATCCACTTTTCTTTCTGGGAAGTTTGAAAAAACTGTCATGGAGGGAACATGGACCTGAGAAAGGAGAACAGAAGGGAAATTATAAATCATTCAAAAAATCTTATTTTCCTAATCAAGTTTGGGGAAAGATTCAGTCAATTTGCTGAATCACTACACATAGATGAACGTTACATGAACATGTTTTGTCCATTAGCTCCAAAGGGAAAATGCAAAGATCAGTAAATATTTTAGGTCAAACTTTTTTGGCAAATGTGTCCATTTACATTTAAAACAAAAAAAAGAAAGAACTTTTGATTAAAAAGAACTCACAAGTTTAACTGCTTTTTCTGCATAATTAGATGACACAGCTAAGATTTCTGACGTCGAGTTGAACACTGCTTTTGTACATGGCGTAGTGAGGTTCATGATGGCCTTGACCGGTTTAGGTGACCTTGAACTCAGTATGGTCTGTGAGTCGTAGATATTGACAACACCACTGTATGACCTGATCAAGAAAAAAGTGAATAATAGAATATTTTTCTTGAAATATTTGAAGTTGTCATATCTTAACAAATATTTTTCATATTTTTAAGACCTTTTTTGGATATTTGAGCCAAGCAACTTCAGACACAAATAATCAAGCACTATCAAATGTGATCAAAATCATATTTTAGTAAAATCTTTTTGATTCTAAAAATGATGCCTCTTTTTCTAATAATTTTTATCATAAATACAGTTGAACTTCAATATTTCGAACATCGATATATATATATAACACCATGGATATCAAAGTGAATTGGAAGTCCCAACCACTTTTTCTTTATGCATTTAACCTCGCCTTGAATCCTTGGGTATCTCAGAGTTTTTTTTTTCTCAGCCCCATCAAGTCTGTGATATTTTAATTACAAGTGATAATGAGTAAAACTGAACTTTAAACAAAGTTTTGTTTTAAAATTAATGATCAAAATTAATGAAATTTTCAACCCATCAAGAATGGAAAAATCATATTGTCAAATAAATTCATACTCCAACTGCAATTTTGTAATTATTTGACAGCAAATATGCATATAAACATTTTTCTTCCTTTCACTTAATTCTAGATGTTTTTTCAAATGACATCTAGTTTGCGGAACACTATTCCCAATGTTCTTTAGGCTACTAACAAGAGACGAATAATTCTATGCTGTATAGATCAGTAATTAGCAATTTCATTTCAATCTTGTATACATTATACATTTGAGATTCAGAACAAAAACTATGTTAAATAAGATGTGTTTGTGAAACACTGATGCCCCCGTATGTCAACTTATAGCAAAGGTTAAACTTTCACAAATCAAATCAATGTTGGTACCAAAAATAAGGTCTTGTCACAAGGAATATACCTGTGAAATATGAAAACCCTAGCAGCAACCATTGAATAGATATGGAAAAGGTTGAAGTTTTTCAAAAGTAAGTCAAACATCAAGGTCAAGATCAAATGGTCAAAATTAATGATGCCCAAGGAATTGCCTTCTCACAAGAAATAAACATGTGAAATATGAAAGCTGTAGTACCAATCGTTCAAAAGTTATGGCCAAGGTTTAAATTTTTCAAAAGTAGGTCAAACCCCAAGGTCAAAGTCAATGGATTACAATTGTTGGTATCCAAAGGAAGGCCTTGTCACAAGGAATAGACATGTCAAATATGAAAGCCCTAGCACCAACTGTTCAGAAGTTATGTCAAAGATTAAAATTTCCAAAAGTAGGTAAAACTCCAAGGTCAAGGTCAAAAAGGTCAAAGTCGATGGTATCCAAAGGAAGGTATTGTCACAAGGATTACATCTGTGAAGTATGAAAGCCCTAGAACCAATCGTTCAAAAGTTATGGCCAAGGTTCAAGTTTTCCAAAAGTAGGTCAAACTCCAAGGTCAATGGGTCAAAGTTGTTGGTATCCAAAGGAAGGTCTTGTCAAAAGGATTACATTTGTGAAGTATGAAAGCCCTAGCACCAACCGTTCAAGAGTTATGGCCAAGGTTATAGTTTTACAAAAGCAGGTCAAACTCCTAGGTCAAGGGTCAAAGTTGTTGGTATCCAAAGAAAGGTCTTGTCACAAGGATTACACATGTGAAGTATGAAAGCCCTAGCACCAACCATTCAAAAGTTATGGCTAGGGTTAAAGTTCAGTAAAATTTTGCAAAACTGGTTCAAACTCCAAGGTCAAATATGATGGTACCCAAAGAAAGGTCTTGTCACAAGGAATACACATGTGAAATATGAAAGCCATAGCTCCAGCCAATCAAAAGTTATGGGCAATGTTAAAGTTTTTGCGGATAAACAGACAGCTAGACAGACAGATGGACAGACAGGGCAAAAAGTATATACCCCCAAATCTTCGATACGGGGGCAATAAAAAATCACTTTAAACATACCCACAAGCCAGGTACTGCCCATTTGGAGATAGAGCAATGGATGTTCCCTGTGTACACCCATCGTCATAGAAACGATGTATACAGTCCCGCCTATCAAGATCCCAAACATAAACATCACCTTCAACTGAAATGACACATTTCACATTATGATAATTCCTTCGACTTTGTTGTGAAGAATAAAATCATAACTGAACGCACAAAAAAATCTATCTTTTTTTAAATCTATATATAATTAAATCAGCCATTTCTTTGGTTTATATTACATTTTTTACCTTTTACAGATTTTTAAATGTAAAGAGAGAGAGAAAAAAAACAAGCAACAAGTAAATACATGTATCATGGTTTCCAAAGGGGCGTTTTGGTATTAAATATACTTCTTAATCACTTTCTTGTATTATTATTTAATTTACTACAATATATATATATATATATATATATATATATATATATATATATATATATATATATATATATATATATATATATATATATATATATAATCACATACTAGATAAATTGAGGAGGAGTACCAAATTCATGCAATCACCAAGAAAATGACCTAATTCTAGAGACAACTAACCTCCATGTGAATACATCAGGTGCCCATCCTTGGAAAATGCCACATCTTTTACTTCACCATTCATCTGCAGTGTATGAATCCATTCTTTGGACTAAAAAAAATTTAGTGACCAGGTTTCAGTTGTATAAAATTTTTAACTTTCTGATTTGAGATTAAAGAAAAAGAAAGTTCTCAGCTTGGTAATCAAGAATTAGTTAGCTCAAAGTTTCCTTCAATTATTTTTTAAAAGCTTAGAACATATAAGAAAAATATATTATCTGAGTATCCGATACTAAAGTAAAGGGACAATAAATTGATAATTGTTCCCTTCTTTTTTTTTCTAATATAATTTTGACTATATAACTGCAACTTCAACTTTAATGAAATTGTTTTTCACATACTATCCTTCTCCCCATTAGGTCGAGTTTCCCTATTTTTCTCTTTACATCTATTTACACCTACTTTTGCTGACAGAAGATGCATTCCTCCAGTTTTCCCAAGAAACACTAAAAATCTTCCATCTGGTGATACTCTAAATTTCTTCATCATTTTCTCCTCTAACCCTGAATTTGAACATAAATGAATTCCATGTGAAATAACATAACGATAAATAATTTTAATCTTTCAGTGTGAAATGCAGCATTTATGACACACTACTACACTCCCCATCCCCAGAAAATATTATACATGGCAAGGAATCGAAGTCTTTTTTCACTGTTTCAAGAACTCCTTCTTATTTTGAGTGGTACATATGCACTAAGAATGAATGATGATCATAAGCAAATATGAAAGATTAGAGAGGTTTAGCAAGCTCACTTGTACATGTTCGTGTAAACTACAAGTTAGAATTACACGTACATGTACACGTTTACATTATTTTTCTTATTTAGCAAAGTATAAGCTGTACGTGTACTTGTACGTGTTTTAAATGTAAAAATGTAATATGCATATCACCCTTTTAAATAAATATATGCACACATTTATAAGAAAAAGAATGAAAAGAGCTCTTATAATTTTGATCCGTCAAAGCCTGCTTTGAAAGTCTAGATGTTGTGTATTTAGCATTCTATGAAATTATATTTTTCAATAATAGACATTTAGTTCTTTATATCAGTATCTGCATTAAATCTTCAGGTTTTAGGAAAATGCACAATTTTTAAAATATAAACAGCAGTTAAAGAAATATAGGCTGCAAGACTGGACCAACCTGTACTCGGTAATCTACATGTAAGTGGATACACGTAGAAATTCGTCATTAGCAAAACTAATGACGTAATGCACATATTTCTGGGGGGATTCCCTCCTACACGTACTTGTACATGTTGGTTTGCTAAACCTCTCTATTCATTACCTTTTATTTTGGGAACATTGATAATTTTTCCAGCCATCATATCGTAATATTTAAAGTTTTTGTATCTAGACCCCATTATAACTTCATGACCATCTGTGCTGAAATGTGCTGTGTGGATTGGAAAACCATCAATAAACACACTTTGGATCTTTGGATTATGTTTACCATCCACCTGCAAGCACAAAAGACTTCTTAGCTGTTCAAACTGAACATTGCACAAGTAATTGGTCTAATTTTTTTTAAAATTTATTTACAGTTGCACTATCTCGAACTTCAATATCTTGAATACCATAGATATGTCGAAGTCAGTTGGAAGTCCCAACCACATTTTCTTTACGCAATTTAACCTCATTATCTCCAACCTTTTTTCTCGGTCCCATTGAGATAACAAGGTTTGATTGTATTTATCTTTACCTGAAATAGGCTCAAAGTGTAGTTCATCCCTGCAGTTAGAATAACCTGAGCTGTTGGGTGAAACTCTACTGATGTCAACTTGCCCTGTCATCAAAAGGAAACAGATGAAGGCATTCAACATTTCACAAATTAAATATACATACAAGATTTTTATCCCCTTAATTGATTATTCTTTCACTTATGTGGCATAAAAACTTTAAAATACCTTTTCTGTAAGGACTTGAGACACTTTTAATCAAGAATTTTTTCTTTGCAACATATTAGTTGGAAGGATAACGGTAAGTGTATAGGTATTTATTGTTAATTCCCTTGATAGAATACTATACTCCAGTAACTGAAAGCTGCATTACACATTTATTTCCTCTGACACTTAACACATGTATCCCTGAGGGCATTATGCATTTACATGTGTACATGTACCGGGTATATCCCCCCAAAATCTTTACCTCAGAGGCATTACATATTTATTTCCCCTGAAACTTCATCTTTGAGGGCATTATGCATTTATTCCCCCTGAAACTTTACCTCTGAGGTCATTACACATTATATCCCCTGAAACTTTACCTCTGAGGGAATTACACATTTATTTCCCACAAAAATTTACCTCTGAAGGTTGTTCCTTGTTGGCATCAGTACATTGTTTAAGGTCGATTAATCCTTTAGGTAATGAGGAGGAAGTTATTAAATAATTTCCAGTCTTCTGAAGTAAATCATCTACATCACTGTCATCTATAAAAAAAAATTTATTTCATTTTAAGTTTTCTTTATGTTTTTGTCTAATGCTTATGTGAAAAGATTCATGACAACCGATATACAAGTATTCCATGAAAAAAGAGGTTTCACGGTGACTGAAATATACCCACCACATGCATATATTTTCTCGATGTTAGACTTACCATCAGATTCATGAGTTCTCTCAGATTGTAACTTGGCCCAGTTAGGAACAGAGGAGACTTTCTCAAATCTGCATTCAAAAATGAACAAAATTAAATTTAAAACAGATGTAAAAAAAAAACATAAGTTTTACTTACTCAGATTTAGATGAGAGGTGTACTATTATGGACCTGAATTTAGCAGTGTACATGTACTTACTCAGATTTAGATGAGAGGTGTACTATTATGGACTTGAGTTTAGCAGTGTACTAACTCAGATTTAGATGAGAGGTGTACTATTATGGACTTGAGTTTAGCGGTGTACTTACTCAGATTTAGATGAAAGGTGTACTATTATGGACTTGAGTTTAGCGGTGTACTTACTCAGATTTAGATGAGAGGTGTACTATTATGGACTTGAGTTTAGCAGTGTACTAACTCAGATTTAGATGAGAGGTGTACTATTATGGACTTGAGTTTAGCGGTGTACTTACTCAGATTTAGATGAGAGGTGTACTATTATGGACTTGAGTTTAGCAGTGTACTAACTCAGATTTAGATGAGAGGTGTACTATTATGGACTTGAGTTTAGCGGTGTACTTACTCAGATTTAGATGAAAGGTGTACTATTATGGACTTGAGTTTAGCAGTGTACTTACTCAGATTGAGATGAGAGGTGTACTATTATGAACCTGAGTTTAGCAGTGTACTTACTCAGATTTAGATGAGAGGTGTACTTTTATGAACTTGAGTTTAGCTGTGTACTAACTCAAATTTAGATGAGAGGTGTACTTTTATGAACTTGAGTTTAGCAGTGTACTAACTCAGATTTAGATGAGAGGTGTACTATTATGAACCTGAGTTTAGCAGTGTACTTACTCAGATTTAGATGAGAGGTGTACTATTATGAACTTGAGTTTAGCATTGAACTTACTCAGATTTAGATGAGAGGTGTACTATTATGAACTTGAGTTTAGCAGTGTACTAACTCAGATTTAGATGAGAGGTGTACTATTATGGACTTGAGTTTAGCAGTGTACTTACTCAGATTTAGATGAGAGGTGTACTTTTATGAACTTGAGTTTAGCAGTGTACTAACTCAGATTTAGATGAGAGGTGTACTATTATGGACTTGAGTTTAGTGGTGTACTTACTCAGATTTAGATGAGAGGTGTACTATTATGAACTTGACTTTAGCAGTGTACTTACTCAGATTTAGATGAGAGGTGTACTGTTATGGACTTGAGTTTAGCAGTGTACTTACTCAGATTTAGATGAGAGGTGTACTTTTATGGACTTAGTTTAGCAGTATATTTACTCAGATTTAGATGAGAGGTGTACTGTTATGGACTCGAGTTTAACAGTGTTCTCACTCATTCTTCAGTTGAGAGGTGTACTGTTATGGACTTGATTTTAGAAGCATTGTTACTCAGCCTTCAATTGAGAGGTACACTGTTCTGGACTTGAGTTTGGCAGTGTACTTATTCAGATTTAGATGAGAGGTATATTGCTATAGACTTGAGATTGGCAGTGTACTTTCTCAGCCTTTAGTTGAGAGATGTACTGTATTGGACTTGAGTTTTTCAGTGTACTTACTCCGCCTTTAGTTGAGAGGTGTATTGGTCTGTTTTTATTTTTCTTTCATCTCCTCTTCTTATTGAATCATATCTTCTTTCTCTTGTTATCTGTATACTAAATACAAAGTATTTCGAAAATTATATTTTGCATTCAGTGCATGCCTTCTTATAATTCTGTGACAAAAAAAGTATTAAAGTATTTTCACATTGCCACAAACACATCCTAAATATTAATGATGATAAGTCATTACCTTCCCTTATCATCTTCATCCTGCCATACAGGGGCCTTCTTTTGCTTTGGGGGAATTTTTTTCTTTTTAGCTTGTGTTTCATATTCTGCCTATATGTATAAAAATATATATATATTATACAAAAATAGCTCATACGCAAAACCAGTGAATAACAATTCTCAGCTGAGCGAGAGTGGTATATCATACGCTCATATGCAACTTGCTGATATATGCACTTTATAAGACTTTTTATATGATGCTATTACAGTTGAACTTTGGTATCTCAATCACCGATATCTCGAATACCATGGAAATGTTGAACTGAGTTGGAAGTCTGGGTTTCTCTTTTTCTATGAATTTTAACCTCAGTATCTTGAATCTTCAGATATCATGAAGTTTTTCCTGGTCCTATTGAATTCAAGATAATGAGGTTTGACTGTATATGTAATTTATTTGTAAACAATACATTTAAAAAAACCATTGTATATTCTGAAGGAAATATGTAGAAAACCAGTAGCCAATCAAATCATTTACATCCTCTGAATCATTAAAGTAATTTTACTTCAGCAGCACTCTGTGTTTAACTTTAAGTGCAGCTAATCATGTGGGATGCTTTAAGTAGCCAATATTTAATTGCGACTGTCTGCATTTCATTCACTGCATTCAATAAGTCACTTGTCAGTAAGACAATAATTTGTTTCACTTAAATGATGACTAATTTCAATTTACATAAACACCTTGTTCTTCACTGAAAGACACATTCTATAGGCTATCTACCCCAGTAGCCACTTTCTATTTCTGAGCCTAAATCACCTCGTCAACCATGTACACTTTACAGAAACATAGTTTCCTGTGCAGCTTGGATATTTCACACATCTGTATGCATTAACTGAATTTAAAAAAAAAAGTAAGACATATACTTTTGGGTGTCTTGTACTTAAAAACCCTTTCATTGCCTTTAATTTTCTCTCAAAAAAGAAATTGCCATTGATGAATATATCAAAAGGCAGCTCATAGGGCTAAATTGACCATTTTTGGTACAAGGTCCTGTACCTTTTTCAAATGGGAATTTTTAATTCCAAACATGGTAAAATTTGGAAAAATTAATGTCTTATACTATGTTTTACTGTAGAATAAAGAGTTAGATTGTAGGTTAATTCCCTTTTCAATCTTTATGAATCATCATAATCTCTAAATTTGATAAATTCAAGTTCTTTTTCATGCAAGGATCTAGAGGGGGTTGGGGGGTTGGGGGGTTCCAGCCCCCCCCCCCCCCCTGGAATTTGCAAAGTTATTAAAAGGATATACTGAAGCAGATAAAAAATAACTTTGGACCCCCCACTCCTGGAAAACGTGGACCCCACCACCATGAAATACGTTCTTTTTCTCTCATTTTTTACTTTTTTTTTTTTGTTTTTTTGCTTGTCAAGTTTCTATTTAAAAAATATGAAAAATGCATTCTGCTTGCCATTTGGGAATACCTATATTTGGTTAAAAAAAAAGTCAATTTTCAACTGGGACAGGGTCCTTTGACTGGACATGGCTGCAAGGACTATTAACAGAATGAAGCCATAGCTTAGCATTGGTAATGTATATTTAGAATACAGAAAATTTTCACATGTGTTTTTAATGCTGTGGAATTTAAGTGTATTTTTGATGCTCATAAATATAAATGTGTTTAAATTTTACAGATTTAAAACACATAAAAATTTTTAGCACACAAAAAAAAACAAGAGGCCCAGGGGCCGCATCACTCACCTGAGCACTATGGCTAGGAAAAAGCAGAAATCAGTTCAGTCTTGAAAGGTTGAAAAGTTTAAATATAAAAGTGGTTCGGTTCGGGGGGGGGGGGGGGGATGGGGGGGATGGGGGTTGATTTGAACTAACTTGAATCTATACTTCATAGGGATGCTTTTGAATTAATATGACAAATAATGGCTTTGCTGTTCTTAAGAAGAAAATTCTCATTGATATATCCTTTGTATAACTATGATCCCTTGTTATGACCCCACTATTCTCCTGGGGGGGGGGGGTCATGAATTGAACAAATTTGAATCTACATTACCTGAGGATGATTCCATTTAAATACGACTAATCATGGCTTTGCTGTTCTTGAGAAGAAATTTTTTTTAAAGATTTTTCCACAGGCACTTGGGGTATGGACCCCCCCCCCCCCCTTTCCATTTTTTTTCTTTTTAAATCTGGGGTCAAGTCACCTTTTTCCTATTTTTGTATTCTAATATGCACTGTATGTTATCAATAATGTAACTCTTTTGTCTCTATAAGCTGTTTTTAAATATATCGTTTTCAACTGATCATAAAAAGAGAGAAGGCTTGCAACTTTCTCATCGCCTGCCTCACCTCACTTAAACTTCGCCTGATTATTTATCGAAAGAATAAGAACAGTCTTCGCCAAATCTTTTTTTCAGTACATGCCCTTCGGGCAGGTTTAACCACTTATTATGCTAGCCCGAACAAATATTTACATGCCCAGAATTTTATCAAGTAATTTTATTCTTATTTGCCTTTTCATGCCCAGGAAATGATCGGAAATCCATTTCTATCGATCTATTGTCTCGCCATTAATATTGTTTTCAACCTGTACACTTTTTGTGTCTCCTTTGCAAAAGAATTCCTTGGAAGTCACGTATTATTTTCAACGTGTATACTTTTTGCGTCTCCTTTGCAAAAGAGTTCCTTGGAAATTGCAGTAGAATATTTAAACTATCGTTAAAATTTTATTTGATGCTCCACTTGAGATGAAAAATCAGACTTTTAAGTACATTTAATGTTATTGGTATTGTTTAATTTGATAATAGGGAGGCTTAGGCCTCAGAATTTACATGCCCTTCGGGCTTGTAAGTATGCAATTTCCACATGCCCGTTTCCAATTTTACCAGGTCCCGGGCTTCGGACTCCCGGGATTTGTTGAAGACTGTAAGAAAACATGGAATGTGCATACATCAATAAATTCGTTATACATTCTTCTTCCTTTTCATATTCCATTTAATTTTTATGTGCCCCCGATTTGTAAATATTTCGATTAAATCACCCGCATCTAGGGTAAATTTTGTTTATGTGCACCAGCTGGGACGGAAGTGCCCGGTATTTTCGGGTATCATCATGAGAAAGTTGCAAGCCTTCTCTCTTTTTATGTATCAGTCGAAAACGATATATTTAAAAACAGCTTATAGAGACAAAAGTGTTACATTATTGATAACATACAGTGCATATTAGAATACAAAAATATTAAAAAGGTTACTCGACCCCAGATTTAAAAAGGGTCCATACCCCAAGTGCCTGTGGATTTTTCCTATGTATTCCTATGTAAAAGTTTGATCGCCCATTGTGGCCCCACCCTACCCCCGGGGGTATTGATTTGAACAAATTTGAATCTACAGTATCTAAGAATGCTTCCATATAAATATGACCAATCATGGCTTTGCTGTTCTTGAGAAATAGATTTTTACTATGTATTTAAATGTAAAACTTTGATCGCCCATTGTGGCCCCACCCAATCCCCCGGGGTCATGATTTGAACAAGCTTGAATCTACACTACCTGAGGATGCTTCCATATAAATATGACCATTCATGGCTTTGCTGTTCTTAAGAAAAAGAAGATTATTACAGATTTTTCTTATATATTCCTATGTAAATTTTGATCGCCCATTGTGGCCCCAACCTACCCCTGGGGGGTCATGATTTGAACAAACTTGAATCTACACTACCTGAGGATGCTACCATATAAATATGACCAATCATGGCTTTGCTGTTCTTGAGAAGAAGATTTTTAAAGATTTTTCCTATATATTCCTATGTAAAACTTTGATCGCCCATTGTGGCCCCACCCTACCCCCAGGGTCATGATTTTAACAAACCTGAATCTACACTACCTGAGGATGCTACCATATAAATATGACCAATCATGGCATTGCTGTTCCTGAGAAGAAGCAGTGATTCATTTTGGTGTGCGTCCCGCGTAAATTACGCACAAATTTTGCTCAGGACGCATTATTTCAATAAATGTGCATCCCAATAAACGCATTTAATTTGTAAAATGAAAGGTATTATTTTAAATTATTTCGGTATAATCTGCTTCAAAACTTCGCCGATTGCATCATATCCACGTGCTAAGCGATATGCATGAACACAGTGGTTCTTGAGAAGAAGATTTTTTAATGATGCCATTAATTTTTCATGAATTCATAATTATCTCCCCTTGGAAGAAGGTGTGGCCCTTCATTTGAACAAACTTGAATCCCCTTTACCCAAGAATACTTTGTAGCAAGTTTGATTGAAATTGGCCCAGTGGTTCTGGAGAAGGAGTCAAAAATGTGAAAAGTTTACAGACAGACAGAAAGACGGACTACAGACAAAATGTGATCAGAAAAGCTCACTTGAGCCTTTGGCTCAGGTGAGCTAAAAACTGTTATATGGTATATTTTTTAGACATTCCAGATAAGCAATCATCAAATAATATAACTATTTACTAAAAGTTAGTTTAAGTTAAAACTTAACTTCATAAACACAGATAAGTAAATTGGGCTGATCAATTACTGAACAAGTTTGCAACTAAACCCTGTTTATGATTTGATTTGTCTTCAGTTAGAATTTGATAAGAATGAAGTATCCAGAATACTATACAACCTGTCTCGAAATTTCTTGCAAAGTTTGTATCACATCTGCATCTCCACCGAGGACAAGTTTCTCCAAATGTGTTTCATCCGCGTTTTTGTCTCTCTTTTTGCTACCTAATGGAATATTTGCCTCTGCAGGGATTTTTCCTTGTGTGACGCGTGCTTCCAAGGAATGGGAAACTGTTGTCTTTCTCTTTCTACGCAACATATTGAAAATATGGTGTGTTTTAAGATTATTCACACATGGACATGTTTCTGTATTTCTGTGCTCGTTGTTTTTATAGAACTTGAATTCCAACTTTGTAACTCTTTTAAAAAAACATTTGTATAACCCATTCTTAATAAAAGTAAATGATGAAATTATTATGTAAACAAAATCATTCCGGGAAAGCCAAAAAGAAAAAAAATAACGACTTGTTCAAATTAATATTATTTTCTTTTTCAGTATCATTATTCTATCCTGCTTCAAGCATACTGTTTAGCATTTTTTGGTTTTATAGAAAATATTTTCATTAAATAAACTTTTAAAAATTTAATCCGGAGAATAATTTTTTCAGCTAATACATATTCATCATGGCGCTGTTCATGCAGCTACAAAAGGTTATTATTTGCAAATGCATTTTTGTTATAGTAATCATAGTATTCTTTAATCAGTCAAAATGAACAATGGTTTAAAAATGCATAATTTGATATACAGAACAGTTACGTTTATGTCTTTGGGGATGGTGAGTGGTTGATTCGAGTGACAATGTTTTCCATTTTTTAGCTTGCCTGGTCAGAGAAGCTTCAGATCGGCATAATCATGTTATTCAATTCGCGAATTGATTAAGTTTGACGTTGTACACGTAACCTCATTACATTTATAAAACTGATTTTAATGATAAAAAGCATTAATAAAATGATAAAAAGTATTATACAGTTAGACAAGACTCTTAAATTGACTTTTCACGGAAAGCGAATTGAATAACATGAGTATATATATACAGAGGCAACATTCTAAACGTCTCCGAAAGGGGAGGTTTTCCCCGGAAAAGGGTTTCTTTGGGGGCCATACAGATAAAAAATGGGGCTTGGATTTTTTGGGGGGATTTTCATTTTTAAAATAATGAAGGAATTGAATGAAGCGAATTGAATAACATGAGTATATACCGACGCAAGTTCAATTTTCCTTTCTATAAAAAGCAAGTGAACCGAATCGATAATACATATCAGATATTAAGAGCGAATGGAATAACATGAGTATATATATAGTGAGGCAAGACTCTTAAATTGACTTTTCACGGAAAGCGAATTGAATAACATGAGTATATATATACAGAGGCAACATTCTAAACGTCTCTGAAAGGGGAGATTTTCCCCGGAAAAGGGTTTCTTTGGGGGTCATACAGATAAAAAGAATGGGGCTTGGATTTTTGGGGGGATTTTCATTTTTAAAATAATGAAGGAATTGAATGAAGCGAATTGAATAACATGAGTATATACAGACGCAAGTTCTGTTTTCCTTTCAATAAAACGCAAGCGAACCGAATCGTTAATACATATCAGGTATTAAGAGCGAATGGAATAACATGAGTATATATATAGTGAGGCAAGACTCTTAAATTGACTTTTCACGGAAAGCGAATTGAATAACATGAGTATATATATACAGAGGCAACATTCTAAACGTCTCTGAAAGGGGAGATTTTCCCCGGAAAAGGGTTTCTTTGGGGGTAATACAGATAAAAAAATGGGGCTTGGATTTTTTTGGGGGATTTTCATTCTTAAAATAATGAAGGAATTGAATAAAGTGAATTGAATAACATGAGTATATACCGACGTAAGTTCTGTTTTTCAACGCAAATCAGGTACAACGAATTCATTAACACGAGTAAATATATAAAAATACAAACTATTCCATTTATTCCGTAAATAATACACATTCTTAGTGAACTTTGAAGTCAGTTAAAAATTTGTAAGGATTCACTTATCAAAACCAGTAGATACATATACTGACATAACTTTGAAAAAATCAGGACTGTGGTTGCAAATTTATAATACAGGTGCAAGTAAATTGCATTTTTGTCTAAAAGGGAAGTATATATAAACTTGTCTTATATCTACATTACATATATTTTTCTTCTCATTTTCGAGCCCACTGCGTCAACGAACGTCAAGTTTGATCTATACATTTGAGTACACATCACTCACGTTAAACTTGGACTGTACGAGGCCTATGAAAACAATTGGGTGGTGAACGCCGTGAACACTCTTAACACTACACTGAATAATATGAAAGAAGGAACACAAATTATTTACATTTTAATAATAGTTGTAATTAGCGTTTTTACCACATGCACTTCAATACGATACGAACTGTTTGAAGAGTGAAATCCCAACAAGCTATTTAATACTGCGTTTATTCCGTAAATGGCATACAAATTAATATGTTACGTCTTTATATTTCATCTAATACGAAATAAATAGCAAATGGATGATGTATCTGTTATTTTCTTTGAACACTAGAAGTACAACAAAATTAAAAACATATTAAATAAAATTCCGTTTATTCCGTAAATGGCATCAATGGCATAACCCGTTATTTTAAAATACGTACTTTACATATAAAATATTAGAAATAAGTAAATTTAATAATTAAAAAGCACATTTTGGTATTTTTCCTTTTAATTCCTTCTCCATTAGTTCTCATTTATTCTGTTTGCAGTATTATATATTTAAATATACGTGAAAACAGAAAAAATTAGTACATTTACGGAATAAATAGCATATTTTTAATTTAAATTCCTTTCATATTTCTTTTGTTTCTTGTATCATATTCTTAGATATATGTGAAAACAGCAATTCCTTTCATATTTCTTTTGTTTCTTGTATTATATTCTTAGATATATGTGAAAACAGCAAAAATTAGTACATTTACGGAATAAATAGCATATTTTTAATTTAAATTTCTTTCATATTTTTTTTGTTGCTGGTATTATATCCTTAGATATATGTGAAAACAACATCCTTCAAAAGGAAAAGAAACGTAAATGTTAACGTGTACAACGTCAAACTTAATCCATTCGCGAATTGAATAACATGATTATGCCTTCAGATCACATTTTTTTCGGCATCAGTCCATCTGTCCGTCCGTCTGAAAACTTTTAAATTTTCGACTTCTTCTCCAGAATCACTTGGCTAATTAAAAAAATGCTACAAAGAAAGCCAAAATAGAATGCTGACGTTCTATCGTTAAAATGTCCTTTAGACCAAGTTTAATGATATAATTCATTCCTTGTTAATTTAATAGATAACAAAATGTGAAAACAAATAACAGGGTCAGGTATTGTAAAGTATGTGAAAGGCTAAAGCTACAAACAATCCAGAAAATTCAAAATGTCAATATGGCTTGAACATTGGAGAGAAAAAGTTAAGAAAATATCCCCCAGCATTTTCATAGTTAATAAATTTCTATGCCCCCCTCCCCCACCATCACCAAGTTCAAGTTTGTTCAAATATAGAGCCATGCCCTCTTTCAAGGGGAGAGAAAAATAATTTGTGAAAGTTTTTTTTTTTTTGTCATGACCTGTTAGGGCAAGTCTGGGGCCGCAATAGTGGATGAATTTCCATGGGAATATTAAAGGGGGGGGGGGGGAAGCAAAGCAAAGCCAAGGTGACTCTGTTGAGCATTGTGGCCCATGGGCCTCTTGATATGAACTTTTCCCAAACAGGTAAAATTTTTCATGAAGTACTAACGTTTCATGAAATATGCCTTTGTGAGAAGTGTATGTTCATATGTATTCATGTGACTGTAGTTTATTTTAGAACAATAGATGTTGATTGTATACTTTTTATTTACATACAGTCAAACCTTGTTATCTGGAACTCAAAGGGACAAAGTAAAAACTTTGAGATATCCAAGGATTTGATATTGAGGGTAAAATACTTAAAGAATAAGGGGTTGGGACTTCCAATCACTTTGACATATCCGTGGTAGTTGAGATTTTCAGTTTTGAGATACAGAGTTCAGCTGTTTTCACTCTCAGATAAATGTAAAATCTTTTGAAGATTTTGGAAGTGTTACAGTTATTGTGACATCTTCCATTTTTATCTATTTAGAGATAGGATTGTATAAGAATTGTGACATCTTATGCTGCTATGGGAAGAGTTGTATTTTTGCTCATCAGTGATAGTTCATTAGAGAATGAACTTTTAAAAAAAATAATGAAAAAGGAAAAGTTTTAGTAATATAAATACTGAGTTCTAGTTTGTTTCGCCAACCATCATGAGTATGGAAAGAATGTTTTTTTTTTTTTTTGTTTTTTTTTTCAGTTTGGCCAAGACAATTTATTCCTAATAGTCAGGGCTCTAATTGGCGACTGATTTAGTCGCCAGGCACCTAAAAATTTTGATTGGCGCCTTAAATTTCTCTATAAGTCGCCAAAGTGGCGACCAGTTAAAATTAAGTTGGTGATCATCAAATTCCGAAACTATGAATATTTTCAACAATTTTTTTTTTCTGAAGAGGAGAAAAGAATCTTAATGATTGCAATAGACCCCCTCCCCATCTTGGGACTAAACCAATGAGTCCATATATCTAAATTGGCACCTAAGAAAAAATTGCCTGGCGACTAACAATTTGCATTGGCAACTAAATATATTTTATTAGGCGCCAGCTGGCGCCTAAATTTTAGAGGTCACTTAGAGGCCTGATAGTAAGCTGACTACTTAATGTGAAATCAGTAAACTTGGCAAGCACATCAATGTCTCTTGTGTCTTGAATGTTGTATGTAGACTAGTGTATAATCAACAAAATCAAAGTTGATGTGGGAGAGGAGAGGGGCAGGGTAAATTGGAGGTAAAAGACAAGGGAGAAGGGGTTGTGAAGGAGAGAAAGAGGATTAGGGGAGAGGGAGAATAGTACTCTTGTGCCCACCTCACTGATTTTGATAATTCATTGCTGTATCAAAGCTCATTAGGCTACAGTGCATGATGATTGTGTAATCTGTTTTTATTTGACATTGTAGGTATCAAGTCAGTTATTTAACAGATGTGCACCTCAAAAGTTATGTGTTCGCTACAAATATGTGAACAGAACTGCATTGAAAAGAAACAGACGGAAGAAGAATGACATGTCCTGGGCAGCAGACTTGTTAAATTACCAAAAAAATGTATTAAAAGAACAGCCTGAGCCCTCACCACTTCATCTGGTTAAAAGAATTAAACCATTACATGTATTTGGACGGCCCAAAAAAGAAAAAACTATGTTGGAGAAAATCGGATTTACATCAAAGGTGAAGTTTGTATAGCACATTTTAGTATAAAATGAAAATTTACAAGTAGATCAATATGTCAATAATAAAAACATGAATAATGATGAAAGAATAATTTAATGAACTATCTGAAATTTAGATTAAATAGAATGAATATTTCCAATATTGATGCCCCACATGTCTGGTACATATATCTAAAAATTATCACATTTGCTTTAAATTTAAAGCTAGGTTCTAAGAATGCACCAAATGCAGTCATTGTGAAGAACACTCCTACAATAAACAATCAGCTAATGCTCATTAAGCACTTGGTTACCGTCACTCCCATCACATTTCCATATGGATATCCTGAAAGCGAGGCAGACTTCGAACACTGTCGCCTAAATGACAATGGAGAATTCATTTTTGTGAAAGACATCACGCCTAAAGAGGAACAACAGATGTTGCCCATGGAGCCCAAGACAGAAACTGTGTGGGACATGGATTCAGAAACTATTAAGAAACATACAGAGAAAATCCGAAGAGACATGAGTTTGAATGAGGAGTTCTTTACAGTTGATCCTGTATACAAACTGAACCAAGACGGGAAGGAATACAGATATTTTGGTGATAAATCAAATGAAGGCATTAAACACCACAATGAATTAATTGATCACAAAGATGGCTCAAAGAAAATGTCCTGAATACAATACACAAGATATAACTTTTATTGTATTAAATGTAATTTTGAACTAAATATTTGTTTGTTTGTTTGTTTTTTTTCTAAATGGATTTTTTTTGGGGGGGGGGGGGGGGTAACCAGAGACAATCATATATTTTTATCTATTCCCCTCAGTTCTTGTGAGGTTTGCTTCATGCATTCTTAACAAAATTCAGAGTATTTTGTGCTTTTTTTAATTTTTTTTTTTTAAATGCTAAACCAATTTCAACTAAACTTAATGTATAGCATCTATGAATGCAGTCAACTGAAACCTGTTAATTTTCTTTGTCCTCACTTATACCTTAGAGTTGTTGCCAGATTCATCAGAATTGATTCAATCTTTAAAATATCTCTTTCTTTATCAAGTGGACAAACTGCATCATATAATGAGTAATTAGTCATTACCATATTTTTTAATTCATTATAATAGAATGGGATTATGTTGGTCATGTATTGAGAATTGAGACTTTTATTTTTTTCAGCTGTGAAAATCTTCACTCCTGTATACATTGCATGGAAAATTTAAAGTGTATGATTATGAAAAGCAATCAGTTCTTGTAAATTAGATTCTAAGAAATGCATTATATCTTAGAAAGTCATCTTTGACCCACAACATCTTATTCAGGCACCTTATGACCAAGCATTATTTTTTAGCTCTACTGGTCAGAGACCAGAAGAGCTTATGCATTGGTAAGGTGTCCATTGTCTGTCCATCTGTCTAGCTGTCGGTCCCTTTGTAAACATTTTTCAAAACAATATTCCTCCTACAGTTTGGGACCAATTTCAAAAAGACTTGGTTCACAAGTAGTGTTTAGTTAGATACATAATTCTCTTTATTGTTGTTTTGATTTTGACAAACAGTGTTGCCATGGTTACTAAAAATAGAAATTTTGGAATTCTTTCAAAATGCTACTCCTTTAACAGTTTTGGTTCAATTTCATTATGACTTAGAACAGATGTAGACTATACTAAGATACAGAATTCTCACTATTAGTTTTTAATTTTGACAAATGGTGTTGCCATGGTTACAGAAAATAAAAAAAATCTTGGAAATTCTTTCAAAACACTACTCTCCCTACAGTTCTGGTCTGATTTTAATAAAATTTGGTACACAAGTAGTCTAGACAAAACTAAGAAACATAATTCTAATTATCGTTTTTTGATTTTGACATGAGGTGTTGTCATGGTTACTAAAAATAGAAATTTCTGTGCATTTCTTTCAAACCCTACTCTTCCTTCAGTTTTGGTCGAATTTCACTATGATTTGGTACGTACACATGTAAGTAGACTTTACTAAGATACATGATTCTGAATATCGGTTTTTCATTTCTACATATGGTGTTGCCATGGATACTAATAAATAAAAATTTCTGTGAAATTCTTTCAAACGCTTTTCTTCTTCCAATTTTTGAGATTTTTCAAAGACTTGGTTTAAGTAGACTACACTAAGATACACAATTCTTTATATTGGTGTTTGATAATGAACCAAAATCCACCGTTGCCACCGATACTAAAAATAGAAATATATGAGTAATTCTTCCCCCTACAGTTTAAATAAGGCCCCGGGATCATGAAATAGACTTAGACTTAATTCAGTCAATTTTTCCCTTGCTTTCAAAATGTTGAATAACTATTGAATTAATCTCTAAATATGCAGAGAACAACATTTTTAAACCCTCTGCTCACTCATATAAAATGTTTAATTCTTATGATTTTCGAAAAGAATGGTACATGTATTTGTTAAGTAAAATACAAACAATTATAGCATAGCTTGCGGGGCAAAATTGGACCAAAAAAAGACACTTCAACTTGACAAATTTATAAAGGAATGATAATTATTTATGTCATTAACAGGTATCTGCCTTATCAGAGTATCGATGAACCTTAAGGAACATTGAAAATTAGTTTAAGTTGGTCTGCTTGACTTTTAAAAAATTTTAGTACAACATGAAAATTTTGACTTAAGCTTAAGATGTTTCATGATCCAGGGGCCAAATTTCAGTAAGACTTGGTACACAAGTAGACTATACTTTGATAAATAATTCTGTTTATTGGTTTTTGATTTCAACAATCGATGTTACAATGTGTTAGTATAAATCAAGCACATAGTATCGGAGGATGGAGCAATTTTTTCCAAACAGAACATTTTACGGTTGAAAATTTGAAAGGCTAAATTGCACCCCTCCCCCTCTCAACAACTTTTTGTTGTTATAAAGTTAAACTTGGTATTGTTATATATTAATATTTGGTTGTGAAAAAAAATTGAAACCTATCCCAATCCCCCAACCTCCCCTTCCCCCACGAAATAGAATTTTGGAGTTTTGACAACCCCCTTCCATTTTTTTTTTCAGGTAAGTTGACAAATACCCCGAAATCAGATTTCGATGTAAACACGTTTGTCTTAATCATAAGTACACACGTAGAGCTACAGTCTCGTCAGAGACTTCTACTCAACGATTGGAGAGTTGATAAACAGAAAAAAAGACCTGTAAAAAAGTGGCGGGGGGGGGGGGGGGCAACTGCCTTTCAATGAAAACCTCAGTGCTCGCCGTCGTACTACTTGCGGGTGCCACTTTTTCTAATGCATTAAACATACTTATAATCAATGACAAACATTTCATAAATTTCTATCTATATTCAAAGTTTTTCAACATAAAAACGTATAGCTTAATTTTATTACTTATTACTCGAATCTAGCAAACTGTATGTTTGATGACCATGAGCCTCCCCCCCCCCCCCGATATTGTGAAATGCGAATCCCCTTTGTTTATGGTTTAGCTGCAATAATGTAGCCCTCCCTGTTTTTTTTCTTTGGGGGGGGGGGGGGTAGCATCTAGCAGGCAGATTTATTGTGTTGTAATAATGCACACAAAAATTCTCTTTATAAAAATTAAAATTCCCGTCACCTGGGTCCAGAGTTCCAGTCCCAGGAGAAGATTAAGTGCAGTAATTTGTGTTCATGATATGAGCTTTATTACTTTTAAATTTTTGATTTATAAATTTTATTGATTTGATATTTTTATGCTGAACTGCATATTAAAATAGCTGCTCAGGAGTCATAATTTTCAAATTCGACGAAAAAATAAAAAATAAATGTATGCCTGATGAGACAGAAATGCAACCAGACGTCTGACCTTTTAACCTTAACGAATGACTCTGCAGCTCATTTTGAGTGATTGTTAAGATAACGATTATTTAACGTCAATCCCTATCGTTATTTAAAAAGTATAGTTTTTGAAAAAAGCAAAATATTGACAGGCATGCTTAAAATTACTCATTGATGAGCGTCTGAGCTTAATCGCTCGATCCCACAAAGATTAGTACAGAACTATTGTATAGACATTGAAAATAAGACCAATTATTTTTTCGATGCCAAAATTATTAATGGAGTATTGCGAAAATGGCTGTGTTCATATTACATGTCAGATTTTCCCATGGGATTATTATCCAGTAAATCGGGTTTACCGAATTTCAAGTCAACAGTAGCCCCATGTAAAATATAGTTTTAATAATTGATGTTTTATTTCCGTGTCCTTTGCAATCGTTGTATGTTTCATCAAAGATGTATCATTATTTTGTCCATTTCATAAAAGTTTCCACATGAACTACAAAAGTAGCCATTGTATTTCATTCGAGTTATTAAAGTGACTTAATTAGGTATTTTAAATGCGTTTTTTTTTCGTCGTGCTTTGTGCATCATTGTATCATACATTTTTTTTGGACATTTGCGACATCACCAGAAGTACTCAACCTATTTCCACCAAATCACAGGTCTATGTTTGCTCAAAGGAACAGCAATACCCCTTCCCCCCAAAAAATATATATAGGAAAGAGGGAAAAACAATCGCCAGAAATGACGAATTTCAGCCCCCCCCCCCGGGCCCCCACAATGCAGTATTCGCCTGTAGTACTATTGCATTTTTTAAAAACTATTATTCTAAAACATAATCCGGTAAAAAGGAATGGATTTTTTTATCTGAAGTGCTTTTTGTTTGTTTTGTTTTTGGTTTTTTTTTTTTTTTTGAGGGGGGTGATAAGAAAATTGAATATTGCCATTTTTATAGACGATTCTACTCTTTTTTTCCCGTTATATATGACAGGTCACAGCAAAATCAATCTGATCATTAATTTAGCCTCAACACTGGTATATTCTGCTGAAAATCTTTATTTTTTTAACCACATCCCTATAGGCCAAGAGGACCCCTGGCGCCAAAAAATGAAATTTCAAAACTTGGAAAGATATATATGACATGACTAATCCTATGCTAGGAGAATTTTTGGGTACGTAGGCGTTTTTTACGTATAAATGTTATGTTTACGTTATCGTCTGAATAATGTATAAATTATCCGCACCAGCTGCTCAAATAATTTTCTTTGAAAATGAGAATTCTAGCATGATTTGCGGGTTTTTAAAAATAGATTTTCCCTATTAAATTATAACCGGACACTTGATCGTTCTTGGTGATGACTGACAAATGCAAGACTTCTACGAGGGTTAAGTTACAGTTCAATAAATTCGCTGTTGTTTAGATTGAAAGGATTGTGCAGATATATCATGGAGTTGAGGCAGGTGGATGAATTTGATTGTGAGAGGGGAAAATAACCCTTCTTAAATATCTTCTGAATGCAAGAATTTGTCAAAAGATCAAATTAAAAAAATTGTGTGAAAAAAAATTAAATGAAAGAAATAAAACGATGACAATAATAAAATGCAGTGCATTTGTACAAACCTAGCGTTTGAGAGCACACTGCCCGTTTATGTTATAGTAAGTATGAAAAGATATTCCAGGCGATTTAAGTTCACCATTTTTGTACATACATGTTTGTCACTTTAAATTACCTTAGATGAAAATGAATACAGTGCTAAAGCTCTCATGTAGAAAGTATCTGGCAACGCTTTGTACTCTATGCCGGTCGAGTAAATCATATTTTAAAAAATATCAAATTTGTATGTACAGAAAGTGTGAAGCCATCTTCTATTTTCAAAAAAAAAAATTCTTTTTTGATCGATAACAATCGTGTTTCGATCGTTTCGTGTAAACATGCTAATTGATGATAAGTAATTAATATTAATTATATACCCCGGTGATGTGTCAGAGCTGAATTTTGAACAAAAAAAAAAAGAAAAGAATGCGATGCATAACAAATAATGTCTCTGACAAAAAAATTGATCCGGGAATTAACTCGATCTTAGTTATAAATACTAACAAAATACTCTTCGTTTGCATTCGGACTGAACAATGCAAACGGAATGTCATCAACTGGTAAGAATTCGCATGAATTGTACTATCAATTCAAAATAAAGAGAACTTAATTTCAATATAAATACTAATAGTAAATTAGTTTCGTGTTTGAATGTGCTTTGACTATATTAAAAAAAAAAATTATAAGCATTAAATGATTTTTTCCCCTCTTTGTACTCTGTCATAAATCAAAGGAGATGTGCATAATTATTTGAGGGGAAAAAATGTGTAAAGTGTACGCATGTTTACAAGTGTGTTATCACATAATTTATAATATTTACAAATATCATAAAAACGATCTTTAAAATATAAAACGTCACTTTTTACAGGTTATCGTCATTATTGTGTGGTAAACATGCTTTTCACGTCGATTGCGTTGTTGGTGCTCGTAATTGGGAAATCAAATGCCAATATCGATAACATACTTAGTTCATTTAACATGTTTAACGAGTCCTGCAAAATCTACAACGGTACCGTTCTGGAATTCAACTGTGAGGTGCACTCGATGACGACGTGGAGATTTTCAGAGTTCCGTCACTGGACTTTGTTACAAAGCCGTCCAAAAATCTATCTGAACATCACATGTAAAGGTGGACAACTCGTCCTCACTCATCCAATAAATGCCGGGAATCTGACAGAATTAAGGATAAGGGACTGTCTAAATATAACGGGGATGTTCGCAAAGTTTGAAGAAGGAGTTCTGGAGGGTTCTTTTGCCACAAAGATGTCTGGGACACTAAGGGATACTGACATGACATTACGAATTTTGGAAATTACAAATTCTTCCTACTTGTACAATACCAGAAGCGTTCTTCAGCATTCTGACTGGTTACAGAGACTCTACGGCTGCATGACCTTCTTTCCTCGAGGGCTTCGTGTCTTGAAACAGAGTAAAACACATTTTGAGGGAGATTTTGACGGATTTCAGGACCTACCCGTGGGAAATATCTGTGATTATAACAGATTGGAAGTGTACGAAAAGTCTGTTTTTCTCTCGAAGATTCTCTTTTTCGACTATGAATCGGAGAATGAAATATTTTATTTTCTACGTTTTGGAAAATTCAAGAACTTGCGTGTTGCAAATTTCTCGAATATGAACCTACACTTTATACCAACCCATTTTACGGAGTACAACTGGTTTCGACGTTTTGAATCCATCGAAATAATTGATCTTTCGCATAACAGAATAAAAGAGATTCCTTATCTAAGAAATCCAAAATCAGGTGTAAAAATTATTTTACAACACAACAATATTTCCAAAATCACCATGACCTTGATAGACAAACTTAGACAGGTTTATGGCATGCTCGTGGATTTTTCCAAGAACAGATTTTCTTGCACCTGCGAGGACGAACAAGAGACGATACTTCGCTTTGTCAAGAACAAAATAGAAGAAAACTGGGCGACCCCCTACCGATTCCTTGGAAACGAAACTTGCTCATTTCCATCAACATTAGAAGGGATGACCTTCAAATCCCTTGACGCTAAGCTTCTCTGTCCAGGAATAGCCGACCCAATACCATCCAATACTGCCCAATACCCGAATATCTCGTTCATCATTCTCATTGTTCTGGCAGTTGTCGCACTTATTTGTATTGCTTTTATGTTTCGTAGGGAGATCAGAATGTTGTCCTACACAAGACTAGGGATCCGCTTCTGGAGACCAAGAAGAAACACCGCCAAGGAGTACGACGCGTTTATATCTTACAGCACATTGGACGAGAGTTGGGTCTTGGGAACTCTTTGTAAGCGCCTAGAGAAACTGCGGCTTTGTCTTCACCATAAGCACTTTGTTCTCGGAGCCTGCATATCGGACAACATTATAGAAAGTGTGGAGAGAAGCAGACACACTATAATTGTGTTGTCCGAGAATTTTTTGCAGAGCGAGTGGTGCCTGTTGGAATTCCGAAAAGCTTTTCATCAGACTCTACTGGAAAGGAAACGCCATTTAATTGTTATCCTGATGAATAATGTTAAAATTGATACGCTTGAACCGGAAATGAAACATTTCTTACGAACTCATACTTACCTTAAACTGAACGACTTCTTGTTTTGGGATCGTCTTATTTATGCTGTTTCCGATGCAAAGTTTCAATCGTCTGAGAAAAGAAAACATCTTAGAAAAGAGAATTCTTTGTCTGTAGACAATATGGAGGTTGACCCTCTGAAATCGGACACTGTTCTTACAATTAATAATAGTAACTAAGGGACAAAATTAGTGTTTGCAACTTTACAAACTCATGTACATGTAGGTTAGATCTTACTGCTTTTTGTAGATGATAGTATTAGAAGTAGCTATAGGGTACTCTTTGTTGTTTGCCTAGAAATGTAACGTATAACTGACGACACTGAGCTCAGTTGAAAGATATATCACAGTTCAAATGTATGTTGAAAATAGATGTGACGTCAGAGACCTTTTGCTGATTTACTTTTAATCTGTGTTGAGGCAGTGCTTGCCAATCTTTTTTATTTACCTGCCCTTTGATGTACATGTAATGAGTAAATTGTTTCATGTAACCTTTCGCGTGACAATGGAAGACAAATACATAGATCTAACTTTTTTAATTTCAAATTACGTCTCTTTCATTACTTGGGTTTTTATTTTCTCGAGGTTGTCCTGCAAATATGAGGTATGTACATACATGATGTTTGTCACTTAAATTGAATTATAGGAAGTAATTATTGTATAAGCATATATTATATTCTTCACCGAGAAATGAATCTAAATTACAAATGAAATTGTACATTTTTTTAAAATAAAAACCTTAAAGCTTCGTTGAAATTCTAAATTTTACTAAAGGATTGACTGTAAAAATTATTACTTTTATCGAGAAACGAATCTAGAAAAAGAATTGCATGCTTTCTTATATATATATATATAAGTGATCTTTTTCTTTTGAGGGATCTTTTTCGTGCCAGCACCTACTGCGACACGGGACCTCGGTTTATACGGTCTCATCCGAAGGACCGGTCTTCACGTCCCACAGTGGGATTCGAACCCTCGACGTAAGGATCAACTCCTTACTCTGCGACTCTAGAGCGAACGCTCTAACCACTACGCCACGCGGGCGACAGTTTTCTCATTGAAGAGTGTCCAGTGTCCGTCTGTGTATCTTGTGTTGTCCTTTCCAATTTCTCCAGAACTGCTATATAGGGCAGTTTTAACCAAACTTGCCACAAAATATCTATGGTGAAAGGAATTCAGATTTAATCATAAGAAGGGCCACACCCTTTTTCAGGAGGAAATAATCGAGAAAGAATGAAATTTAGTGGCATCATTTTTAAAAAAAAATCTTTTGAAGAACCACTTGGCAAAAAAGACAATAATTATTGATTATGTGAACAATACCCCAATGTACTTAGGTTGGGGCCATAATAAGGGTCAAAGTTTTACCCAAGAATGTATAGAAGAAGGGGAAAAAGTTTGTTCAACACTTTCACCCCCCCCCCATCCCCCAACCCATTTTAGAGTAGGACTACAATATGAAATGGAAATTATATATACTATATACGAAGGTTGTTCGGGAAAGTTCGTGGACTACAGTCCTAACTTTCGTTCTTAACGTGATATTATATCCAAATTTGGAAGAAATATTTCAACAGTAAATTCAAATGGTATGTATTAAAAAAAAATAAAATATCCGTGATTTATTTCAAACTTATTTAGACTTAAAAAATGCGAAAATCGGATCACGGAGCAAGTCAAAATTTTGTAATTTACAGTCAAGACAGTAAGTAATATCTGAAGTCATATCTTCTGTAAAATGACACATAAACGGAAAAATTCTCCAGGTTCAAATTAAGAATTGTTTCATCGTTTCTGATTCTAAATTATGACTTAATATTTTGCTTCCTTTAAAAGAAATCAGCTTCAGAAGATAGGTAGTCGTCATTGAAAAAGGCAAAAAAGATGACGTCGTGGAAACGTCAAGGAGCAGCAGTTAACCACACAATTTTGTGTTGTACTCTAAAAAAATCCAGAAAAAAACACTGAAAATGGCTGAGGAAGTAGGAAATATGTCAAAAGCAAGCCATGCATCTGTTTGTACATGGTACAAGCGGTATTTGAATGATAGACTACTCTGCTTAGACGATGGTGATCTGTGAGAAAACGGATTATCTGTAAAAATCTTATCAAAAACATTGAAAAGTTAGTAACGCTATGCTAAGGGTTTGGCGCTTTTCAAATGCTGATCTTGTGAAAGCACACTTATCCAGTGAAAAAAAATACAACATTGACAAACAAAATAATGCTACTGGAAGAATTGTTAGCAAAATAGATTTCAAATGATAAAGAAACGTTTTTAGTGAGTGCACTGGTATTGGGCAATACTGTGTGAAATGTATAGGGATAGTATTTTTGAGAACCTCATGTCGGTATGTTTTGACGTTACAGTGTTGTTGAGTTTGCTCCGTAGTTACAAAACGTGTTGATTTTAAAATCAAATAACATTAATTCTATTAAATCACATGGATTGAAACTTCACACGTAAACAAAAAAGTATTTTTACATATGATAATGTGCTCATTTTAAATTTCTTGAAGACAGTATAACGAACATTGGCAATAGTCCACGAACCTTCCGAACAATCCTCGTATATATATATATATATATATATATATATATATATATATATATATATATATATATATATATATATATATATATATATATATATATATATATATATATATATATATATTTTAAATGAAAATCCAAAATATTTTGTCCAAAATGATGCGTTAATGAATGTGGTATTACAATCGATTTATTCGTTAATTTGTGAGTTATTTTTGACGACCAGCTGATAATAACACGACAAAACATTTGAAAAACAAAGGAATGCTGTTCTGCAATGGTTTAAATATTTTTAATATTCATGTCTTTTCAGAAACTGGCAATAGCGCAATACAATTGTTCAATTTTATTTGAATTTTTATCGTTTTGTTCATTGAAATATACTGAAAGAGTTATCATTAAAATGAATTATGAATGACAGTTTTCTGTTCGATCTAAGAAAACTCAACTGAAGTCAAAACGAGTTAACAGATGTTTCAAAAAGGATCAAAGACAAAATTCGATCACATCTAATATATGTTTCATATCTATTCCTTTTGATAGTCTTGTGATAAATAAAGACATTATTTTAATTTTTAAGTCCCTCATTTAAATAATAAGTAAAAAGAAATTGCCCCTCTGGATATAATAATTTTCTAAATAAAATGTTAAAAAGCCCAATCTACGGAGGCCCATTTAGGAACTATCAAAATATTTTTGAATTCAATATAACGAATAATTAAATTTGTAAAATCAAATTATATTACTTAAAACATTTTCTTTAATTCTTTTAAAAGAATACTGATATATATTAAAATGAACGAAATTCGTTTAATTGAATTTTTCATCCTAAATGGACTAAATGGACTTCCGTAGAAAACAAAAGAGAATGGGAAAAATAAATCGCATCTGTTTGCATTGGTCACTTCCAAAATATTCTGTAAATAATGCTCGCGGCAACAATTCAAAATTTAGACTGGTATTGCCTGTCTCTGTCGTTCGAAAGATCGCGCATATCCGACAGGCAAGCCAGTCTACGCAAAATTTCAAACACCAGACTAACTCGATCAATTTGTTTATATTTTTCAAAGTTAGGCGGGGGCAAAACAGCAATAATTGACAAGCAACAAAAACAAACAAACAAACAAAACAAACAAACAAACAAACAAAAAACAATAACAACAACAAAACGGGGGGGGGGGGGGCTTGCTCTAACTTTTCGACATTTTTTTTAATGCGCTGACCAATACTGCGCTTAAAGGGGGCAAGCGACCTTTCAATGAAAATTGCTGCACTAAAAAAAAAAATACATAAAGACTTCTTTAAAAAAGCATAATAAAAAAAAGTGGAATTATCTGAAGATTGTATGTATAAAGTTTAAATTATATATGCGTACAGTTTGAAGTTAAGGCGATAGGTGGTAAACATATAATGTAGTATAAAGGTTAATGACTAAATTAAATGTACCTAGAAATCATTTTTTAGAAACGTTGCAATTCACAAATCATTAATTAATCCAGTGGCGGATCCAGGAATCTTGAAAGGGGGGGGGCGACTAGTTTGGGGTCGGGGTAAGGGCCCACGGCCACGCCAACAAAATTGATTTATTAAATCTTATGTATATTTTGGACACAAAAGGGAAGGGGCGTGCCCCCTGCCCCCCTCTAAATCCGCCAGTGTTAAATCTATGGTTTATTGAATTAACAGTATCAATATCTTTTAAGACAGAGACCTTCTTGCTACATGTATCTGCATAAATATGGCGACTGATTTCAGATTTAATTGCTAGCATCTATATTTAGTAATATACAATGTCTATGCCATCTGATTTCATTTGACAATTGGGATCAAACCTCGCGAGCATAAGATTATAGCCATAAAAATGACCATTACTTCTGGGTCGCACCGAATAACCAATATACAGGTGCTTACTTCTTTAATAATTGATCAGCAATGAAGTAACCTTAAGCCAATACATCGAAGTACATTCGAAATTGAATATCTAGATCAGATGTCAGGGCACTGAGAATTGGTGTCATTTCATTCTTTGTTATTGAAATAATGCGGAAACAATTTGATGAATTCGTATCATCCACAACAATTCATGGAATCAACAAAGCAGGAGATTTTAGTTTAACAAGAAGAAGGTAATTTTATATGCTTTATTAATGATATGTATGTGACGTATATTGGTATACTGGAAAGATCGACGATGGTTGAAAAGGGCTTTTCATTCCGCCAAACTATGGACATTAATCTTTCATATTCTTAAAGGACATAGGATACTCAAAAAATTATATTACTAAGCATAGAAATCTGCAGGTTTAGTTATTGCCAAAATACATATTTATCTTAAAATTTCCCTATTAAATCAGGCTTAATTTTTCATTCTCCCCAAAGCAAAACTGTTAATATCTATACTGAAATTCGAAGCAAAACATGAAAAAATAAACTTACCCAAAATAAATAAAAGTTTAACCATTTTACCATGTTATAAATTAATCTTGAAACAACAAACAACAAAAGCAAGAGGATATGAAAAAAAAACCAATTATCCCGAATATTGGATATCCTATTACCTCAATCAAATGAATTCAAAGAGGGTTTGTGACCAAATTAATGCTCGATATGCTGTTTTCTTACGGTTGATAATGAACTCCTTCATTTAACCCCTTGTAATAAATAACATTATCTAAACAGAAGACAATATCTTTAAAATGAACAAAGTATGCATGTGATGAAAAAAAAATGCTACATTTGTAAGCTAATTTTAGTTCTGATGAAGCAATTCATGTACATTATTACGTAATCTTTCTATTGTATTGTCTTTCCACAAAGTTTTGTTTTACTATCAGATTTAATGTAGCCAAATTTTTATTTTTAAATTAGAATTCAGTTTGCATATTTATCTAGCACACTTTTGAAAGAATTGTGAAGATTACGAACAGTGTCAGTCTCGAATGTCTATTTCAACAATACAAATTATGTGCAGAGCCAAAGCGGACCTCTGAAAATATAGGTGAGATCAGGTGCCAACGAGGAGTAAGCATCACCCCTTGACCGGTGACACGCGCCGTGTGCTCCTTGTCATGACTGAGCAAAATGAAAAATCCGTGGTCAATTCAGTTTGAAAATAACGGCCTGACAATTTCACGGGCACTTGTTTCTGTAATAAATTTTTGACCCATAGTATAATAATAACACAAGGAATCCAACTCCGAATTACACGGAGTACCCAAACCAGGTTATACTCGAATAATTTGGCCAAGAATTAGAGTCATTCCTAAAATAAACTTACCCAAAATAAATAAAAGTTTAACCATTTTACCATGTTATAAATTAATCTTGAAACCACCAACAGCAAAAGCAAGAAGATATGAAAAAATCACCAATTATCCCGAATATTGGATATCCTATTACCTCAAAGCAAAACATGAAAAAATAAACTTACCCAAAATAAATAAAAGTTTAACCATTTTACCATGTTATAAATTAATCTTGAAACCACAAACAGCAAAAGCAAGAAGATATGAAAAAATCACCAATTATCCCGAATATTGGATATCCTATTACTAGTACCTCAATCAAATGAATTCGAAGAGGTTTTGTGACCAAATTAATGCTCGATCGATGCTATTTTCTTACAGTTGATAATGAACTCCTTCATCTGACCCTTGTAATAAATAACATTATCTAAACAGAAGACAATATTTTTAAAATGAACAAAGTATGCATGTGATGAAAAAAAAAAGAAGCTACATTTGTAAGCTAATTTTAGTTCTGATGAAGCAATTCATGTACATTATTACGAAATCTTTCTATTGTATTGTCTTTCCACAAAGTTTTGTTTTACTATCAGATTTAATGTAGCCAAATTTTTATTTTTAAATTAGAATTCAGTTTGCATATTTATCTAGCACAATTTTGAAAGAATTGTGAAGATTACGAACAGCGTCAGTCTCGAATGTCTATTTCAACAATACAAATTATGAGCAGAGCCAAAGCGGACCTCTGAAATATAGGTGAGATCAGGTGCCAACGAGGAGTAAGCATCACCTTTTGACCGGTGAACACGCGCCATGTGCTCCTTGTCATGACTGGGCAAAATGAAAAATCCGTAATTAATTCAGTTTGAAAATAACGGCCTGACAATTTCACGGGCACTTGTTTCTGTAATAAATTTTTGACCCATAGTATAATAAAATTTTTGACCCATAGTATAATAATAACACAAGGTATCCAACTCCGAATTACACGGAGTACCCCCTCCCTCAGAATCGCACTCATTTACAATTCCAGAGGACATGTACTTGCAAACTGTTTATACCTGTGTCTTCTACAATAATTTATCTACACAACAAAATATGGCATGCTTGTCTTTATTTTCGTTTATCCCCGTAAACAGCGTCAAACTCTGCTCGCCGAGTGGAAAAGTCGAATTCAACCATGAAATGGTATGTGCTAATCCCGGGCAGAGAGCAAAATTGAAAAAATGAGTGGGTTTAAAAATTCAATTCCAGTGTTTAAATATTGCAGTAAATAAATAAAATTTGTTTACCTCTCATTTTCCATTAAAACACTACGATATTTTTTCCGATATAATTTTAGAAACAGATTTTTAGCCAATCAAAATCTCTGCCCTTGGACAATTTGTATAAAAGACGTCAGTCAACATTCGATCAAACGACAGATTGTATTTGGTAACAAGGTCTTTGTTTCGACCATAGAATTTGCAAAATGTTAACTTTAAACGACAATATTGTTACTATCCTTGTATCATCAACTTATTTGTTAATAGCTTATCTCGTTCTATAAATTGTTCGTTCGTAGAGCATGCTGCTCTCGAATCAACTGAAAAACAAACGCTTCATATACAGGTTATATTGGTATATTGCTACATAAATAAGGAGAGTTGACGATAGAAAAGTTGAAATCATCACATTTATCATAAAGTCTAGTTGACAGTTTGCCATCATCAATGTCTTTCTCTAGTAAAACATCAAATATGCATTTTTTCCCTAGGAAATAAGAGGGCAGCTTTGAACTCAGATGTCAATATTTCTTATGTTAAAAAAAATAGGAAAGCAACATGAGAAATGCATACAATATTTAATCAAAACCAGAATAATTTCATTTGGTTTGTAGATACATCTGGTTGATTTTGACCTTGTTGATGACCGGTGTTTTAGTTGCATCCATTGTGGAAGCATTCATTGACTTTTTTAAATATTCTAAACTCACTCAAGTGTCTGCCGAAAACAAACAAAACATCGATTTCCCTGCCGTGACCATCTGCAACATGAACATGGTCAAAAAATCCATAACACAGTGCAATGACTCGGTCTTCGCAAATCTTGACAATCTTTTTCTGAATTATGGCGAAACTCTGGTAATAGAGGATAGACTAACGCCAGGACTTGGTTTTGTGATTGGAGAAGATCCAAACGGAGAGGAAATGCTGAAATGCCTCTATGAGTATTCTAACACAGTTCGCGAAATGATACCGATATGTACGTGGAAAGGAACTCTTATGAACTGCTCAAGTCTCTTTCAGAAGACTCTAACTGAAATGGGTGTGTGTTTTACTTTCAATGGAGAGGAGAGAGAGAGGCTACAGGCTTCGTACACTGGTCCTGATGGCGGCCTGAGGGTGTTTATAGATATCGGACAACTGGAGTATTATTACTCTGCTACAATACAAGCTGGAATCAAGGTACATATCTCCAGAAGACGAGACATACTCATAATTTCAGTCTTACAATTCTCTTACTCCTTGGCTTTCTGAATTCTTGACCTTAACCCCCAACCCAAAATCGCCAACATAGCTTTGACTTTAGTTTCAACCATCTGTGAAAACTACATAAAAGTCCGTAGAACGCGAGGGGGGGGGGGGGGGCGCCCCCTTTTTTTCTGAGTATAATACATTGCTATAGTAAGTTTTCCTTAAGATCCTGCCCCCCCCCCCCCCCCCCACTAATTGATGTTGTAAGGTCGAGCACTGGCAAATTTCAGGATTTGGACAGTGAATTAGCTTTTTCTTTTTCTTTTTTTTTTTAATTGTCAGATAATTTTGGGAAGTATTGCTCCCCCCCTCCCCGCTTTTCTGTTGGTCAGCTTAGTTTTTTAATTTCTTTTTATTTATTTGCTTGCTAGATAATTTTGGGAAGTGTTGTCCCCCCCCCCCCCCGCTTTTCTTTTTGGTCAGCTTAGGATTTTTTTGCTTGTCAGATATTTTGGGAAGTTGCCCCCCCCCCCCTTAATAACCTTTGCTACGGGCTTGCAGTCTAACAGGCGAATTTTTAAGTGATTCACTCTATTACTTTCTAGATACAAATGTTTATATATTATTTCAAGCATTCAAATACATGCTAGCTTCGTTGTTGAGCTAACTACGATCCATTACCGGGGTGGGGGGCTGGTGGCTATACATTGATTTGATCGTAAAATAAATCTCTCAGACATTTGATTACAAAAAAAATCAATATATGTAATGCAATTATGTATGTTGTACGTTATGCCCATTTAAGGTCCTGATTTGACATTAAATTCCATGTAATGTATAGAAATCTACAAACGTTCCCTTGGTCGTTCACTTTTATCAAACAACACACATTTGAAAATTAGAGACGTAGTTTGTTTTGAAGCAGATGTCATATAATGAAAAGCTACAGGGACCAATATTTCGTTTACCCTCGATATAATTTCATTTGTGAAATAATCATAAAAATAAATACCGCATTGTAACAATTACTTCAAAATAAAAGTATACAAAAGAGTGGTCCGGAAAAATAATGGAACTGCATTTTTTATTGAAATACTGTAAGTTAATGAGCTGGCTCCCCCTTTTATGAATAATGAATAAACTTTAATCCTTGGAGATACCTCCTTTAGGGTTTATTTTCAGAGCTGAAATATTAAAAGCTAATGTCAAAACCATTTAGGTGATCTTATTTGCTAAGGCAATGTACGTTTATTTAAAAAAATGTAGAACATGATTGATTGAATTGTTTAAAAACCCATCTGTCCACTTTTAAACAAATGTTTTCTTCGAAAAAACGTGACTCACCATTTCATTCAAAATTAAATTTGTTCCGCCCTATTAGAATAGGCGTGAAGATCAAATTATCAAAACAAATTTACAGACAAACACCATTACAGAGTAACTATGAACCAAGCATCTAGTGTACACACATAGTAAAGCTATCCCATAAATACTTACCTATAGCGTTTCCAACAAAAAAAGGGGGGGTGATTACACCCTTTCTCTCTCTCATATATAAGCTACAAATTAGAGTATCTAAAATGTAGATAATTTTTTACTTTGTCGACAGGTAATTCTTCATGATCCAGGGACAGACCCCCTTCCTTCTCTGGGTGGATTTTTGGTGGCTCCTGGATTATCAGCCGACGCAATCATCAGTAAGACCAGGGTAAGTTGCCATGCAAGTGAATGTGGAATCAGGGGCGCGGATCCAGGTTTTTTGAAAAGAGGAAGTGTAATAATATGCGGTACTGAAGCTTCCTTTCCCCTCTTTTCTAAAGAAGGAAAACCGTGCATTTGTAGAACAGATATTTGAAATATGCCTGTATTGACTTTATTTCCCTACATATTTACTCTTACAAGTGAAACATATCAATTTGTTTTTAAAACCCAAAATAAGAAATTAGGCATTTATATTACTGAATTCATGCTTGAGAATAAAAGTTTTAAACAAAAGAAGCCAGTCTGACTAAAGCTAGCTACTGTTTTACTTCGTTAAATAGTAGGGACTGGCTTTAGTCAGACTGCAAAAGAAACCTAAGTAAATATTTAACTGTTCTGTAGACACAGTTGTGTTAAATACTACCTGCAAATCCAGAGACAGAAAAAAAGGGAGAGCATGTGCCTCCTGCCCACCCACTTAAAACCGCAACTGTTTGAACAACCGAGATTTTAAAAGAAGTTGAAGCATAAATTACAGAAAAAACATAGTTCTTTATTGTGTGTAATGATAATAAAGCAATTCATTCACTTCCTGCCAGTCCTTCTTATTAAAGCCTTTCATTACAAATAAATTCTAGGAACATTAACGAATTTGGAGAATATTTAATGACTTGAAAGATATCGACGTAAATGTGTAAAAGTACATATATATGCGTGTGATTTTGGAGGCAGAAAATGACTTTAAAAATAATATGAATCTCATAGATCAAGACAAAATCATGAACATTGCTTTCTATTTCCATTTTGTTTTACGCTTAGTCCTAAACTGAAATCATTATAATGGAAAACCAAAGAACAAAAATTGTTTTTGTGTTTTATGCTATACGCATTACTGTAAACATATTACATTTGGCTGTGTATTATTTTAACCGCCTTTGGCGGAAAGCAATTTCCGCTAATTCAAGTATATAAATACACATCAATAAGAACAAAAAGAAATGCACTAAATCAAATCTATTCTTAAATGTTCGTGTCCCCAAAACAATTTCCGCCAAATATCGTACCCGCTAAATATAATTCATTTACAGTATTTCATGGCAGTCTTAAATAATCCAGAAGTGAAAAAAGAATTAGATAGATTACATGATCAATTTTGTACATGCATAACCTATGTAAGATAATCATAATGACCTTTGGTTCCAGTGTAGTTTAATATTTTAACATTATTTTGTGTAATTAATTGTTATAAAGGAGAGGACGTTCTAAGTTTTAAGAACTTGTGTCCGATCCTTTTGTTGTAATATCTAAACAATAAAATATGTTCATATCACATGATCAGTACGTACTGGTCCCTACTGACAAAGCAGGTAACAACATTGTCTTTGTTTGTAAGGTTCATTATATTAAATGTATCTTAGAGGAACTTGGATTTAATTCTACAAGTGGTAATCCAGCTTATACTCATAGTTCCCTTTCTAAGGAAGAAATTCTTCAAAATCATATGTCAGTTTTGAATATTTTTAATATTCCAAACAACCAAAATGAATTTGAATTACCATATGTATTTGAATTACCATATTTATATTGGATTCCGAAACTTCATAAAAATCCTTACAAACAAATATACATAGCAGGTTCCAGTAAATGTTCAACCAAGCCTCTTTCTTTACTCCTCACTAAGATATTAACAGTAGTGAAAGAGAAACTTCAAGAGTACTGTGCAACAATATATTCGAGAAGTGGTGTAAATCAGATGTAGATACTTAAAAATTCCAAGAAACTTTTGGAATATTTGAAATCACAAGATTTTACCAAAATTAACAGCTTAAAAACTTACGACTTTTCAACTTTATACACATTCCCCACGATAAATAAAGTCCAGGCTTTTTGATATCATTGACAGCTGCTTTTTCAATAAAAATGGTACTTGTAAATTTACTTACCTTATCATTGGTCATTTGCAAATATATTTTGTTAAAAAACATTCTGATTGTACACACAAGTACTCTAAAGTTGATATTAAAAAGATGCTCGAGTTTCTGATTGACAATATCTATGTGGTTTTTGGAGACCAGGTCTTCCAACAATCTACAGGAATTCCCATGGGTACCAATTGCGCCCCGTTATTAGCAGACCTTTTTTGTTTTCATATGAAGCAGAATTTGTCCAAAATCTTGTACTTGAAAAGAAGAAAACACTTGCTGTGGCCTTTGACTCGACATTTAGATATATCGACGACGTATTGTCAATTAACAATGGCTATTTCCATTCTTATGTCGATACGATATATCCTGGTGAGCTTGAGATAAAAGATACCACAGAGTCTGACACATCTGTTTCATATTTGGATATTTTACTTGAAAAAGACGTTAATGGTAATCTAGCAACCAAGCTTTGTGATAAACGTGATGACTTTAACTTTTCAATCGTCAACTTCCCTTACTTATGCAGCAATATACCTTCATCACCTGCATACGGAGTATATAATCTCTCAGTTGATTCGATACGCAAGAGCATGCTCTACGTATGTACAATTTCTAAAACGAGGTTAATTATTGACAAACAAGTTGATGAAACACGAATATCAGTAGTCTCGTTTAAAGTCATCATTTCGTAAGTTCTATGGTCGATACAATGACCTTGTCAGCAAATACAGTTTATCATTGAGTCAAATGCTGACTGACGTTTTTCATACTAATTGTTAGGCCATTATTTACACACTGAATTGTCGACGGATTTTTCCGTTATTTCCCAATCATGACAAGGAGCACACGGCGGGTGTGACCGGTCGGCAAGGGATGCTCACTCCTCCATGGCACCTGATCCCACCTCTGATGTTTGGAGGTCCGTGTTTGCTCTGCTCCTATTTTGTATTATTTAATGGACTTTTGAGCTTGTATACTGTTCGTTATCTCCATATATTTCATACAAATATTATTATATGATTATATTATTTCTATTTTACATCTTTTTCTAGAAAAGCTTTCTTGGTAAACCCTACGGCAGCTGTTTAAACGTCAATGAAGCTGGAAACCCACTAAAACGGTATTCTTTCTACAGTGAGAAATCATGCCGAATGGAGTGCATGATCGACCATCTGGTTAGCGCGAACGAAAGCTGTAAAAACTGTCGTCACTTCCTTCATCCAGGTATACATGTACTTGTAGTGTCATATTTATTAATATATTGATCCAAATCAATTTTTTGGGAGGGGGTGGGTACATGTGTAATTATGTATTTAGAAAATATGTGAAGTTGGTATGTAACGATTTTTTAAAATAAATTTAGCACCGGTAAAAGTGTTACAAACGTTAAATACCTATACCTTTTCCCTTAAACAGGACCAGAACGACTGTGTGCATATAAGGAACTGGAGAGATGCTTTGTATTCTATAGTGAGTATCACTATTATTCCGTTTTAACTTATTTCAAGTCACCCCTTGGAAACTTGAGAACTGAGAGATACTTGAAGACACATAAAAATTGCATAAGGTGCACTTTTTTTAATAGATATTTATGATTTATTGTCATATATTGTCATTTCAGGAACCAGCAATTTTGCAAGAAGATGCAAATGCCAGAGGCCCTGCTATAAACACGAATACAAAACCTCCATTTCTTACGCTCGATTCATGTCTGACTTCATGTACCAATATTTTGTAGGGAGGGGTATTTTACTATCTCCAAGTTACGCAAAGTAAGTTAAAAAGACCTAAACACTTTGAAATTATATAGTATACATAGATTTTAACAGAGAAAAATATTTGGCAAATACTGGTACCAGGTAAGCGTAATTTTTCTCTCGGCCAAAATTATAGTGAACAAAACATCAGATCTCTTGTGTGTATGTGTGTGTGTGGGGGAGGTTCTATTGAATTATATTTTGGCGATCTTGATAGTTCTAGCTATATTCAATGACCGAAATAACTTGTGAGCACTGATTACCCCCCACCCACCCCCCCCCCCACCCCCCCTGATGGATTCGGTATGAATAGAATTTGAAACAGGTTTGATGCGACACAAAAGCGTGATCGTTCAGCAATCGATTTTTTCCCTGTGTCACGTGTATATATTTCGGGTTTTGGATTACCCAGGTCCATGTTAGGATTGATTGTACATCATGTTGCTTTGCGTCCCGTTCGAGAATTTTTCCCTCATATAGAGCTTTCACCATATACCGATGAGGGGTTTCACATTAAGACCCTTATTAAGACCCTTATTCGGCATTCAGGACTATTGAGCATTGAGAGATCTTAGTCGTGCCAACGCCTCTCGTTACATGGGGCATCGGTTTCTAAGGTCTCATCCGAAAGACCCGCAACTTTCACTTCAAGGTGCCGAGCGCTTGGAGAAGGAACAGTTGCTACTTCATCGACATAGGTCAGTCGCGGTCGGTGTTTGAAACCATGACCTTCCGATCACGGAGCGAGCGCTCTACTGTCCATTTTATGCATAATATCGCGATGTACTTATCATAATTGATATTTTTTTTAGAAAGATTTTTTTCCCAAACAGATCGGCAAATTTTTTTTAACTTCATCCACTAAATAAAAAAAAATATGCAAAATAACGGATCGCATCTCTTTTAGAAGACAAGAGACTTCTATTAATAATTGGTGAACTAATAGTCTAAAATTTTTTAGTATCATTTCGTCTAGAATGGAATCTAAATCGTCTAAACTTAAGGGTCATTGACTTTCTTATATGAAAGGTAACTCCCACTGCGATTTATGACTTCGAGGCATTCCCGAATTTGCCTTGACTGAGCTCTTTCCTTTTGTAGAAATAAACGTATTTTATAAAATTTTCTTTGTTTACGTAGTGTGTTGATTGATAAATTACGCTTTTTAAACAGGATTACTTAAAAAATCTACGAATAATGATAAATTTAGTGCATCCTACTCAGTACCTTGTCAAATGTAAAAAAAAAAAAATAAATAACGTTAAGCTCACTGGTAATTATTTTAGAAGAAAAAAGACCACATATTTCTTGAAATTCAGCATAATATGTTAAATATAATGATGGCATATTGAAACATTATGATTGTTGTGAAGTAATATAACAATTAAATATACAATGTACATACATGTATATGTATTTAATAATTCATAAAAAATAACTTTCAGAAGTTTTTTTTTCCTTTGGTCTGTTTTCCCGAATGAAGGTGCACAGTGTCGCTATGATTTCTATGTTCATTTCTTTCGACCGATCTCTTTCTTAGATTGGTTTATTCACATACTACTCGGCACACCTCGGCCGATTCGTACCTCATCGTTTGATGAAGGTGATGGAATCAGCCGAGGTTTGCCGAATGATTCACATACCATAGAAAACCGCTCATGTCATTTAAACACTAACGACTGGAAATCTGTTCTGTGTGTTCTGAACATTTGTGACTTGATTGTATGCTGCTCTGATAGAGTTCATTCAAGTTCCGAACAACAGTTCATCAAATTGCAATGAGCCGTCATTGTTAATGCAGCTGTCATTACGTAAGCAGGTGTAAAAACGGTGCCTATAAACGTTATATAACTTTTTATTAATTAAGGCCTGTGCAATAAAATTGGAGTAAGGGTATAGTTAACTATTTTTTTAAAGAAATTTTTATTTTTATACCAGAATTTCTGACAAGAAGGTGCTTTTACTCGAAATCGAATTTCATTTACCGATTTTCAATAGCAATTTTTGGTACTATACCGCCTTTTTACAACAAACATTGTAATATTTCATATGAATAGTTTTGGTTTTATATATTTCAAAAGTTTCATTAATTTGTGACACTGGGTTACTAGTACTTACAACAAAAGGACGCTTTTGTGCGGTACTTTGTAACAACCCGCCACTTATTCCCTTTTAAAAAAGAATGTCAAATGAAAATGTGATTTTTGTCAAATTATACTGAAAATGGTCTCATTTCAATTACAGTTTAGATTTTTTTTTTTTTTTATAAATCATTATCATAAAAGCAAATTCGTATGAGTGAACAAATGGAGGAGGATGAACCTTAACCAATTTTATAAAGATGCCCCATTTCAAAATAAGGAGATGGGTGAACATAGCGTGCAGAAAGCCTATTTATACGAGGGGTGATCAAAAAGTTCGCGAACTAATTGAATAACTTCCTTAAAAGACATAAAATGAGGTTTCAGTGTTTATTATTTTTTAAAGTAGTCCTCTCCGATTTTTATGCACATCTGTGATCTGTCATTGTTCTATGCGCGAATCACGTGATCCAGGCAGTCACGTGACATGCTCCGTAGCAGCTAAGAGATTTTTCCGAGTCTTATGTTTCTTACCACAGGCCCGTAGGAAGCAAATTCAGTTTGTGGAGGGGGGGGGGCACAGCCATACATTTTCAGTTGACAGTTGAGGGGGCACTATCCAAAAATTTCCTGACAAGAAAAAAAAAAAGAAGGTTATCAGACGTTTTTTAAGGGGACACAAGCATATAGTATCTTAAATCCGAGATTCCTCTGACTCTAACCCCTGCTTTTATATTTTGACATGTGCAGGGGAGATCATGTCAAAATATAAAAGCAGAGGTTAGAGTCAGAGGAATCTCGGATTAATAGTATCTAAGTTTACTATAGTAATCTATATATCGGCAAATAATATCGGTTCCTACGGCCATGTACCATGCAAGTTATTTTTTATAACAAGAACAGCCCATCTGTCAGAAATGGCCAAATTTCGGCAATAGGTTGGGTGGATAAGGATATCCCTTCCCACATATAGTATAGTGATCCATCACAACCCGAGTTCTCTGTCTCGGAAGCGTCGTTTATCCAGTGTGGATAAAGTATGGGCGCATTCTTTTTATCATATCTCATATGTTTAAAGTCTAAAGTAAACGATATTTCAGGGATTTATTGATTATAGTATTGTTAAGATATTCAACCATTTTTCTGATTGTAACTTGACGATGTTTCATAACAAAGTGCTCAGCTAAGGACACATCTTTTTCCCCGGCTTGCTTTCGCTGGGAGACATAACAAACATCATTTTTAACCATCTCCCTGCCTTCACTAAAACAATCCATCCAATTAATGATTGAACGTCTGGTAAGTCTTTTGTCTTCATAAACCTTTTACAAATTGTCATCTTCTACTGCAAAAGAATTTCCAGGATATATGTTAAACTTTACAGCCGTTCGTTGCTCGAGTACGACTGAGTCAACCATTTTTTGTCACAAGTGACCTACATATTGACGTCATTTTCACATTGTGGCGTCACAAACACGGAGCAAAACATTATTTAAGAGCCATTCTCTGGAATGACTTTAACTTTTATATAGGAGCTGTGGCACGCATAGTCTCAGAATTTCTCCAAACTCTCTATGATAAAAGTCTTTGACACCGTAAACTCAAATCAGGTAAAAATTGGTTGCTACGTGTCATGGTTACCATAGCAACATGTCCTAAATTTTGAAAAATGGCATTTTTCAACATGTTCAGAGTCCCACAGTTAACGTTTGCAGCAAAGTAAACAAGTGGCAATGACTGTTTCTGAAAGTTTAAGGCCTGATGTTTTAAATGCATGATAAATATGTTTGTTAAATCAACTATTACATACGTTACTATGGAAACAAATTATTCAAAAGTAATAATTTTGTTCATTTAATTTTATAAAGTCATACACTTAAGAATAAAAACAATTATAGGTTGAAATGCAAGCAAATAATAGACAAGAGATCCTTGAAACATATACCAAGGACGAAATATGATATTTCTTATAGGTTGGCAATGGTTGCCATGGTTTTAATACCACAAAGGGATTTTAAATTTACTCTCTTAGTATTTTAATCTTATCCTATCTTTTTACAAAGCATATTTCTATATAACTGATGATCAATTTTTAAAGGCGTTGGTGTGACCCTAATTTTCACATTTCAAAAAATTCAAATTTGATTCTTTAAAAAGAGCGTTGCTATGGAAATAATATGCATAAAAATCTGAAAAATATTCTGTTTCCTTGGATACGTATCCTTGTATGTAGATTCCCAAAACTTTTTTGATTGATATATATATGAACAACTAACCTGACTTTCAATTTTGACTACCACCCAATCTCTAACTGGATGCAAAAAGCTGGCACATAGGATTTCATATTGATATAAAATTAACAAAATCGAACATTTTCCCTTCTTGGTAACCATAGCAACAGTGTTGTATTTTTCAACAAGCTTTATCAATATACGATATTCAACTTTAGTTCTACCAGATAAGTATTATTCAAGGTGAGTCAAATCATAATTATGTTCCTTGATTAAAAGGTAAGTAAATTCCTAAAGCAATTTAAAAAATATCACTTTAACAACTGGTACGTTGTTTCCATGGTTACACTGCAAAGTAACAATTAATCCCAATTTTTCTTATGTATGTATATGTGCCAGTCATGAATTTTATTGTTTTTCCTCAAGATAGTAACATTAACCCAATCTTAGCAATGAATTTTGCATGGTTACACTGTGTTACCATGGCAACCATGAAAGTTATTTTTAGAATAATATTGCCAATACCTAATTACTTAAGGTCAAATGTTTTTATCGTTTTTCTTCAATTGTTGATCGAGTTTGATCATGTAACATCTATCTTTATTGAATATTGAGTGTTTTTCAGCATTTTTCAGCATCTAAAATGTATTCCAAATGTACCCATGGTTACCACTTACTTAGAGATAAATTCTAAATAGTTTCTTTATAGCATAAGTTGCAACAAGGTGTCATGTTTTTGTGAGAATAGTTTGTTTGTTTTTCTTAATCTTTATTGAGGCTTAATAAAGATTCAAAGTGGCTGAAAATCTCAATTTTTTCAACTTTTCTGGCTGTTACCATGGCAACCAAGACACATAGCAACGAAATTTTATTTGATATATGTTTCTAGTGTTAAGTTGTAATAATGGGCAAAGTTTCATCAAAATCTGTGACCAAGCGTGGCAAAGAAGTTTAAGTGGTTACAGAGAATAGCTATTTAAAAACATCTGTTATTTATAGAACATGTGTATGACTATATGTGTGCCAAATTTCATTCTGATCTGAATTGTGGTTTTGTAAATATAGAGATAGTTCGCGAACTTTTTGATCACCCCTCGTAGCTTCAGATATATAAAAATCATATTAAATTTGTGAATTTAGTATTTAGATTAAAGTTCTCATTATTGAAATTTATGAAATTATGATAAACAAAGCTTTTCTGAGGAAAATTTTCTTTATTCTTTGATTAAAAAAAAATGATGTGGTATTCGTGGGGTTCGAACCCTAGCAATAAAAAATCCTGTGTATCACTTTCTTTCGAGACTAGTACGCTAATCACTAGACTATACAAGTCCTGATGAATAGTGGCATTTAAATCATGTTTGTGACTTGACTTAACGGACTTCAAGTATTTCTCGAAAAGATGCGAATATTATGTCATAAAAGTATATTTTTAAGGTATAGTTGGTCTTTGCCCCATATTTTTGGTAACGAAAAAATGTTTTAATGCAAACTTTAGGTATTAACTTTCGAAAAAAATGGAGCGAAGACCCACTCATATCGAAAAATAGTGTTATGAGAAAAATGACTTTTTTTGCCCTCTTTAGTGTGTATATAATATTTCAAAGGCAAATAATTTCAATCTTTGAGAGATTTTTGCAAATTGTAGAGATTTTACATAAAGTATATTTTAATGTTAGATGAATTTTGATATAAATGAGATTTAATTTTTCACCTTCATGTTTGTCACACTATAGGCTTTTCGCTCGTCATGTTCACCCATCTTCTTTATATCACGTATATAAATGTATTCATCTCTTTCCAAAATGACACTATCTAGGGAATTAAATGCTGTTCAAAAATAGCTGAATGTCAACAGTTGTACGCAAAAATAACCGTTTTAGCCTCAACAACTAGAGACACATTATGCAGACTACTCTAGAATCAATTTAATTTATCAATTTATAGGGTTTGTGGGGAATCAACTTGGGACTAACTCGCTTGCAGAAGATTCACGAATCGATACGTTGATAAGGTTTTCGTTCGTGGGGTAAGGACGACTCCACGAACATTGGTCCCCACGAAAAGTGATGATTTCGAAGTACATGTATATGCATGTACATGTCGTTTAATCCAGTTTGACATACATTTTGGAAAAGCTGTAGATGCATAAATAAGGTGATCGTAACTGAGTAGTAATAGTAGATCCATTTGAAAATTGGCAATGGGTTTATCTTTCTCAAGAAGTTGTTGATTGTCTAGTCGACAGTATTTCAGTCATGTTTCGGCGCCTTCAAAGTGGTGGTTTGTTGTTTTTTAAAGGGGGGGGGGGTAAAAACGAAAATAAATTGTTAAATAACTAAACTCCTTATTCACAATAACATACACACAAGAATGCCACTTACTAAATTGTTCAAACAGAAAGAAGTACAAAGTTTTTGCATTTGATCTTAGATTTAAAGGCAGAACATTGTGCTTTATGAAAAGAAGGTTTTCTTATACGAGTATAAACGTACACGATAAAGAGCTTTTAATCAATCACTGCTAATGAAAATAAATTTACACAGAATTGTTAAAAAGAGTAACCCTACGATTAAGATATTTTGTTATAAGAAGAAAAAAAAAACGGAAAAGGGATCCCTTTACAATGACGACAAGAATACTAAGTATACCCACGACTTTATGTGCACATTTTTAAGATGTTTGCCGTTTTATTATAACAATGAGCGAATGTTGTATTTTCTTTCAGAGACAATTATATCGAGTTGAAGATTTATTACGACTCGCTGATTGAGACAGTTGTCACAGAGGTCCCAGAGTTCAATATTTTTGAGATGCTCAGTAAGTGCAAAATCTAAAATGAACATTTAAACTTCTCAAATGAACTAAGTAATTGCACAGTTTTAGAATGCTGAACGTAAATGCATTTGAAAAATTCAGGACAAATAAAATATCGCATAAATATCATTAAAAAGCCCTTTTATATTGGTCTCTACAGGTAATATCGGCGGCCTGATGGGGATTTTCTTAGGCGCCAGTCTTCTCTCTGTGGTTGAGTTGGTGGAGTTCTTTCTGCTTATTTTGAGCCATCGGAACAAACTTGAAACCGTTAACCATGGAGTATCTCGTGTTGAAAATGGCAATGTATCGCTAAAAAAAGCACAATCTAAACTCACCTCGGTGAAAAACAAGCAAAAACCCAAACAAATGTGCAACAGAAAGAATAATACCGGATTGAGGAGATTTTAGGAGTATAAATGTTATCCTGTTAGTAATTTTTGTCATTTACTGAGATGAATTGATAGGCAGTTGATTTCTCCTCTGAGACATCTATATCAAATGCCGTTGATCTCTCCTGCAACTTCATTGCATGCTGTTGACTTCTCCCCTGTGACTCCCCCGCGAAGCGGCTTGTAAACAAGAGGCCCATGGGCCACATCACTCACCTGAGAACTTTGGCCAGGAGTTCAGTATTTTATAAGTGGTATCAAACTATCCCTAATGGGAGGGGGCATGATTTGAACAAACTTGAATCTACACTAACTAAAGATGCTACCATATTTCTTTGACAAATCATGGCTTTAGAAGTTTTAAAAAAGATTTTTTCCTATATGTTTTATCTTCTGTCGTGGCCCTACCCTACTCCCAGGGGTCATAATTTGAACAAACTTGAATTTACACTACCTGAGGATGCTTCCGTATAAATATGACCAATCATGGCTGTGCTGTTCTTGAGAAGATTTTTAAAGATTTATCCTATGTATTCCTATGGAAAATTTTGATGGTTCATTGTGGCCCCAACCTATCCCCGAAGGTCATGATTTGAATAAACTTGAATCTACACAACCTGAGGATGTTTCCACATAAGTTTCATCTTTCCTTGCCCAGTGGTTCTGGAGAAGAAGATTCTTGAAAGATGCCATTAATTTTTCACTAATTTGTAATCATCTCAATTTGGAAGAAGGCTTGACCTTTCATTTGAACAAATTTGAATCCCCTTTACCCAAGGGTACTTTGTGGCAAATTTGGTTGAAATGGCCCAGTGGTTCCACCAATCAAATACCGCGTTACAACCTGGATTAAATTATTTATAAAGTAAAAACTAGAAGTTAAGTTGCAACTTAATGCTTTGCAGCATTTTTAATGTGTTCATTTACATGTGTCCAGTTGAAATTTTAGGCGATTTTCTGGTAACTTGTTTAATTTTGTTTTTAAAGAGATTGTTGTGAACCCTGATCTTCAAATATATACCGAATAAGGAATTATGGGACTTGTGAGAAAAAATTTTCTGGCTTAGTAGTTCTTCCATTTTCAAAATGACACCACCTGATTTTTAATCACCTCCCTCTTAAAAGATTGGCCCTTCAAACGAAAAAAAAATTAATCCTACACATCCATAGCATGAGGCGTTGTACCAATTTTTTGTTTAAAAAAATCCTGACCCAGATTTTCTATAAAAGAACTTAGAAAACGTTTTTAGCTCACCTGAGCTGAAAGCTCAAGCGAGCTTTTCTGATCACCCATTGTCCGTCTGTCTGTGAACTTTTCACATTTTCAACTTCTTCTCAAGAACCACTGGGCCAATTTTACCCAAACTTGGTACAAAGCATCCTTGGGTGAAGAGGAATTTAAATTGTTAAAATGAAGGGCCAAGCCTCCTTCCAAGGGGAGATAATCAAGGAAAGACAAAAATAGGGTGGGGTCATTAAAAAATCTTCTTCTCAAGAACCACTGGGCCAGAAAAGCTGAAACTTATGTGGAAGCATCCTGGGGTAGTGTAGATTCTAAATTGTTCAAATCATGACCCCGGGGTAGGGCGGGGCCACAATAGGAAATCCAAGTTTTACATTGAAATATGTAGAAAAAATCTTTTAAAATCTTCTCATGAACCACTGGGCCAGAAAAGCTGAAATTTGTGGAAGCATGCTGGGGTAGTGTAGATTCTAAATTGATTAAATAAAGACCCCCGGGGGTAGAGCGTGGGCACAATAGGGATTAGGGAGTCAAGTTTTACATCCAAATATGTAGTAAAAATTTTTTAAAAATCTTCTTCTCAAGAACCACTGGACCAGAAAAGCTTAAACTTGTGGAAGCATGCTGGGGTAGTGTAGATTCTAAATTGTTCAAATCAAGACCCCCGGGTGTAGAGCAGGGCCACAATAGGGAATCCAAGTTTGACATTGAAATATTTAGAAAAAATCTTTAAAAATCTTCTCAAGAACCACTGGGCCAGAAAAGCTGAAGTGGAAGCATCCTGGGGTAGTGTAGAATCTAAATTGTTCAAATCATCACCCTTGGGGTTAGGGTGGGGCCACAATAAGTACTACAAGGGGGGAAATCAGGTGGGAAACAGCAAGGCCTAAGTTACTCAGGTGAACATTCTGGCCCATGGGCCTCTTGTTTAAAGTTCATTGTCAAACTGGTATGAAAAATGTTAAGTAATTTATGTAAGCCTTTGGCTAAGTTGAGCAAAAGATATGAGCCCCAGAACACCCCCCCCCCCATTTCCACATACAAAGCCTTCTTTCAATATGACAATAAAACTCAACACATGAAAATGATTTATTATTTTTATTTCATTCTTTTTTCTCTCTTTTTTTCGTTTCTCTCTAAAAATAATATCAAAATGTATTCAATATCTGAGTTTGATGCAATAAATAACGGATAATATTTACAAATATACAAACACTTCTTCCATCAACAATTCAGCTACTCGTATTTCAAAATCCTAGTACTGGAATTATAAATTTCAAGCTATTCAAAGATACAATTTTACATACTGGTACATATACTAGAAGAGATGCTTTCCACATATATTAAATATTTGCAGATTACATCCTCCTGAAATATTCTTTATCATTAAACAAAACATATCTGTAACCAAGAACGTCACATAAAATGGTGTTCAAAATTCTAACAAGCACCAAAATTGAAAAACTCTAAAAGTGAGATTTTCTATCCCTGCAAAGTTATTTTTTTTAATCCATATACATGTAGCCCTAAAGGATTTCTGCAGAACTCCAAAACAAACCACAAAAGCACACATACTAAACTCACTCACACTTAAGAATAGATAAGATACATACAAATCTCATTCATACCTATCAATGGATAAGACTCAAATATCACAGATAAGGATTGATAAATCAGACACCTAACAAGGACATATACTAGTATTTTAGGTTACATATTAAATGCATTAATATCAAGTAAAAAGCGGAAAATTTTTCTTACTGCGTTTACCACAAAGAGAGCAACAGAACATTTTTAAAAGCAGTTATTTTTTTTTCACACTGTTAAGCAGTGTTTCAGATTTTAGACTTCAAATTTTTGAATTCAACAAGCAACTAATGGGATACAGGAAAATATTTACCTTTCCAAATATTTTCCCCCAAAAGTCTTTGCAAATTAAAAAATGGTTTGCTCCCTCATGAACTACCATGGATGAACTTGAATATCTCCATTGTGATGTCAATATTATCTTACTTGATGACAAAACTATAATGCAAACTGCTTTGTTTCAAAATGAAAGTTGAATGACATATTTTGTTGCAAGCCATTAGATAAATAATGTAAATATAAGATATGAATTTAATTTTTGGAAATTCTGGAGATACATGAAACACAATGCTACATGTCTCCATATTTATCATGAAATGGTAATGCCCTTCATGAAATATGCTGGCATAAAGAGACATAGTTCATGTCCTCATGAATTACCAAAAATTTATTTCTTAACAGAATGACTAGATCTAAATCTGTCCATTGGTGGACATTCTACAACGCAAATAGTGAGTGGGAAGGCCATATGAGGGTCATTCATGGGTGATCAAAAGTTTTGAACTATATACTAAAATACAAAACAATAGACAAAAGACGTAGGTATTTGCTCATCCCTTTCCAAATATTTTTTCAAGTTCACTTTTTTTTGACATTAAACCCGAAAGAGCTGAAGGAGGTTTTCTTGATAATTCTTATTAATAAATTAATTTCAGAACTTTTTATCACCCTTGTATTTAGTTTCTAGGATGGGCAATTATCCCAACGTTATTTGTTACATGTCTCTTAATTTAATAGATGAAATTAATGTCTAGCTCTCTAATGTCCTCTCCAAAGAATCTACATAAATTTAATCCACATCAGATCTATAATATCGGTAGTGATACATATTTCACTAAATGAGTCTACTTAATGAGATAAAGGAATTAACAAAAAATAAATCTTGAAGAAGTTGGAGCAAATTATACATGTGTTTAAGATGCCTTAGATGAGAAAATTTTAGCAATCCTCTTGGCTTCCTCTGCAGTTGGGAGTTGTCTGCTCTTGACTGGCCCATTAGTAAAGCGTGACTGTGCAGTGTTTTGACAGAGTTTGTTTTTCATTTCTGCGGCTGCTTGAGTTTTCTCCTCCCTGCATTCAACACTAAGTTCCTGCAAGAGATAGATTTAGGAGTTATCAAATTGGAAAAAAAATTACTGCATCTGACAAAAATACTTTTGTAATCTTTTAAAAAGTACTACAAATCTGGCAAAAAGACAAAAAAAAAAAAAAAAAAAAAAAAATCTGAGAATCACTTCACATATTTTAACACTTCTTATACATGTGATAAGATAATAGTGTTTCACTTATTATCCACAATTATCATATACACTGAAATAATTTAGCTATATAGTGTATTGAAACATATGAATATTACACAATTATAACATGACATGGAATACATAATCTCTATCATTAAAGTTGATATTAGCACCATTTATTTGCATATTTTCAATAATTTACATGAGCCCCATGGGACACATCGCTCACCTGAGCACCTTGGCTTGAAAAGATTAGGCCTAAAAAAAAAAAAGTTTGTTTCCTGTAACCCGACCGACCCATTCAAATTACCCCCGGGCGGATTTTTTTTTCCTGTCAAATCTGCATTTGCTCTTTGGTTTGATCAATCAGCTGATTCCATTTATTCAAAAAATATTAATTGTAGCTTTATTTGAGATATAAAATATGTCATCCTAAACAACATTTACCTTGAATATAAAGAGTAATCATTATTGTAACAACAATTTCCACCCACAACTTTTTGAAGTTCGTTTTCTGTCGCTAGGCAGCCATGTTGGGTGTCCACTTTATATATAACACATGGTTAATTCAGTCCGGGGATGTCTGAGACCCTATTATCCACAAGCAAAAAAAAAAAAATCCCAACCTACCGACTCTTGATTTTTTGGGAATGTTACAGGAAACGACATAATTTTTTTTTAGGCCTGTGGGGGGGGGGGGGGGGGGGGGTTGAATTTTAAACTACCTGATGATGCTTCCATGTCAATATAACAAATGGCTTTGTTGTACTTGAGAAGGTTTTAAAAAAATTTCCCATATATTCCCCTGTAAAAATTTAATCCCCCATTGTGGATCCTCCCTATCCCAGGGGTCATCACTTTGAACAAACTTGAATCTACACTACCTGAAGATGCTTCCATATCAATATGACTAAACATAGCTTTTCTGTTCTTGAGAAGAAATATTTTTTCTAAATGTTCTTATGTAAAATTTTTTGATCCCACATTGTGGCCCGACCCTATCCCCAGGGGTCGTCATTTTAACAAACTTGAATCTACACTACCTGAGGATGCTTCCTTATCAAAATGACTAATCATGGCTTTGCAGTTCTTCATCAGAAGATATTTTCCTATATATTTCTATTTAAGACTTTCATCCTCCATTGTGGCCCCACCCTACCCCCGGGGGTCATGATTTGAACAAAATAGAATCTACACTACCTGAGGATGCTTCCACATAAATATGATAAATCAGGGCTTTGCTGTTCCTGAGAAGATTTTAAAAATTTTTCCTACATATTTCTATGTAAAGCTTTGATCCTCCAAAGTGGCCCCACCCTACCCCCAGGGGTCATGATTTGAATAAATTTGAATCTACAATATCTGAGGATGCTTCAATATAAATATGACCAATCAGGGCTTTGCTGCTTCTGAGAAGAAGATTTTTAAAGATTTTTCCTATATATTTCTATGTAAAACTTTGATCCTCCATTGTGGCTCCACCCTACCCCCGGGGGTCATGATTTGAACAAACTTTTATTTACACTATCTGAAGATGCTTCCATATAAATATGACTTATCATGGCTTTGCTGTTCCTGAGAAGAAGATTTTTAAAGGTTTTTCCGATATATTTCTATGTAAAACTTTGATCCTCCATTGTGGCCCCCCCCTACCCCCGGGGGTCATGATTTGAAAAAAATTGAATCTACACTACCTGAGAATGCTTTCACATGAGTTTCATCTTTCCTGGCCCCGTGGTTCTTGAGAAGAAGATTTTTAAAATATGCTATTAATTTTTCACTAATTCTTTCTTATCTCCCCTTGAAAGAGGGCATGGCCCTACATTTGAATAAACTTGAATCCCCTTCACCCAAGGATACTTTGTGGCAAGTTTGGTTGAAATTGGCCCAGAAGTTCTGGAGAAGAAGATGAAATTGTGAAAAGTTTACAACGAAGCCGCCGCCGACAACAACGTCAGACAACGGACAAATTTTTATCAGAAAAGCTCACTTGAGCCTTCAGCTTAGGTGAGCTAACAAGTTACATGTATATTTAAATTCTTAAATATTATGAGATAAAGGTCTTTTACCTTTTCATTTGTTGCTTCATTCCCTGGCATGCCTTTGGTGGCTAAATGAAGAACTTTCATCGACTCCTGCAAATGCTCCACAGGTAGAAAGAAGTTGGGAATTTGTTTTCCAATGTCTGTTTTGTTTGCTTGTTGTACAGGAATTTCAACTCTCTCCTCATCCTCCTCCACAAATTCCTCCCCCTCTACATCACTACTGCTATTTTCTGGTTCTCCAGAATAAAGGAAACCCCCCTCCTGTTCCTCCTCGCTGTCTTGTGAAAACTGAACTCGGGCATTTTCTGATTTGGATTGTTCAAAGAATTCCTCTAACTCACAAACAACATGAGAATACATCTGTTTAGGTGACTGGGGGACAGTCTCAATGCTGGTTTCTTCTAGATGATAGTTTTCATGGTCACCACTCCGACTTACATGGAATGACGTGGTGGAGTTCCGCACAGATTCTCCTTTTTGCGTATTTGTTCCTGAAGTTACGGAGTCTAAGTCCACATTGCTTAGCAACTCCCTCTCTTCTTTGAAATAAAAACTGTCATATTCTCTACTTCCTGCTGAGGAAATTGTGTCAAGTTTCACTTTTGATAATAAATGTTTTGTATTTTTCGACAAAATCACATCACTACTGTCATTTTCATTGGGAAAATTTGATGCATCTAAATTTGATTTGCTGTGGTCATTTGAAAACCAACTGTCTTTTTCAACAATTTCTTCAACTTCATATTCTTCCTGGACAATCAAAGAATTAACCCTTAATGATTCAGGTCCATTAGAGGGAACATAACTTGATTTCTGAAGGTCAAGTTCTTCATCAGAAAACCAACTATCCTTCTCCACATAAAACTGGTGTTTATCACACCTTGATTCCTGCAGATTTTCTTTCAGAGGTTCCTCCTGGTCTGACAACTCTGCCTCAGAGGTCTTTTTACTGCCGGAACTAGATTTGGATCCACTTCCTGGGCTAGATTTGGATCCACTCCTGGAATCACTTCTAACATCGAATGGCATGGTGTGATCACTCTGTTGGAACTCCCGGGGGGATTCTCTTGGTCCAGTTGATGAGTGTAACTCATGGCCAGGTATTCCCCCAAATTTGCCTGAAACATCATTCAATGTCCTAGGTACCACTACATCCGCTTCACTTTCCACATCTGAACCTTCGCTGTCTTGTTCGTCTAGAATATCCCTGTATCGGTGATAATATTTCTCATCACCCTCCCCTCCACTCTCATCTGCATTTTCCTCAATGACAGACATATCCTTTGGTTCCATTTTCTTCTCTTCTAAGTTTGAATTTACATTTGAGTTATTCTCATCTCTTTCAAACATCACGTCCACAGATTTTCCAGTGACATCTTGTACTCCATTTCTTCCTGACATATGACTCCTGGAAGACATATCCCCCTGATACTGAAATCCCAATGAAGATGGATCTGACATTTTGGATCCATTTGACACAGAGTATGGATCTCTTGGAGTACTCCCAACACTGTGTGTAGCTAGTCCTCTTGGGGTGCTATTCTTACTGTGTGATTCTCTTGGTGTGTTCCCAACATTGGAGTTTGAGGAAGAATCTTCCTCACGAGATGTGTACGGACAATGAATCCCAGTGTCAGAATTGTGATCTCTTGGTGAGTCCTTATTATATTCTCGAGTCAGGGATCTGAGTCTAAATGTTTCTAGTCCATCACTCCTCTGTGAGTCCAGAGCCTCCTGATATTGGTACTTTTCACTCGAGTGAGTCACCGACAGAACACCTGAGTCAACACCTGTCCTCGAGGACTCGCCCTCATTAGAGGCCGTCAGAAGCAGCTCACTCTCCGGAGTATGTGAGGAGTCTCTCTGACTGTGTTGTAAGTGGAGTGTGGAGATAGTGCTTAGTCCTGAATGTGTGGAAGTCAGAGTGGCATGTCCTGTGGAGCGACAAGACACAGGAGCCTCTGGTTCGGAAGAGAATTGCTGGGGCAAAGTAAATATCGGAGTTAACTTTTGCTTCAGCCTTGATGTTATTAGATCCAAGTCCTGCATTTGTTTCCTGCAAAAAAAAAAGTTAACTAAGAATCCAATTTCATGCTGTTAATCAGTTACCTGTAAAGTTTCACTGACTTATTTCAGGCAAGAAAATGTTAGTAACAATATAGATGTACCTTAAATTTCCAAAAAGAATTGATCTGGAGCTATCACTAGGCTCTTCAAATTTGTGCTCTGGCATTTTGGGGACCCAGTGAATGGACGGTTCTCTTTCTATGCTGATCCCTGTGAAGTCTGGTTTAGAATCTAATGTTGCCTGCTGCTCATCAAGGAAGAGTCTGATGTTCTCAACAAGCTGCTGCTGCAAAGCATGGGGCTGCTGCATATTGGTCAATGGAGAAGGCTCAAACTGAGGTAGATTAGAGGAGAAAGGTTTGCTAGTGAGAGGGAAAGACATTGGCTGTTCATGGATCCAGGACGGAAGGTGGTGGACGGATGATTCACTCCTCACTGGAAGACTGGCTGGTTGGTTTGCTGAATTGGTGTCTTGGTTGTACTGTCTCAGACATTCTTGCGGAATAATGTTAACCTGAAAATTTAAAGAATGATTAGCTTAAATTCTTTCCTCGATGAAATTGAACCAAAAAAATATTTACATGTATTTCAAAAATCATAAAAGATTAAATAGCATGCATGAATGCTTAAGTTAATCTATTCCTTTGAAATGCAATCGAATATTTTGATTTTGAGATGGTGATGAACAAAAAAAATTCCCTTTCTCATGGGTGTCAAATTCAAAAATTTTGCATCTTTAATGAATGTTCCCTTTAATACAGTACAATTCGTTTTTTATCATACCGGTTTTATATCATACTTCTGTTTTTATCATAGATATCTGAAACACAAAACCATTTCTTAATAATTCATTATAAATTTCGTCTGTTATTATCATAGGTAAAAGTATACACTTCGCTTACTATAATAGAAAATTTCCGTCCGTAATATTTTTTTCACACCTTTTCACTCTTGGGACAATCAACAAAACAAAAGATAACACCTATCTACACCTGTGGTTCATGCACTCTCGCTTGTCTATACACAATGGCTTGATTTTCACTTTGAAATTTGCCGATAGTGAAAGACTGGGGAGATTAGTCACACTTCAGTGCACTTACCTGAGCAATTGACAGGGAGTCTGTTTATTTCATGAAGTACATGACAGGATAACACGAACTCTTTTTTTTCATAACTTATTTTCTTCTTATGTTAATCCTGAATTGTACGTTCGTAATAAATACGTTTTACCAAATGTGTTGAAACTAAATTTAGTGTCAATATTAACCTAAGCTTTCTTACGCTTGGTGTCTGGATCAATGTTCATAGTTAATTACATTTACAAAACTACCCGATTAATTAAGAAATAATTAAGAGAAATTAACTCTTTCACCAGTCTGTACAAGCGGCTTTGAATGCATATGCTCATCAGTGTATCAATTAATTTTAATTATACGGCGACATTAAGTGTAAATAGGTAATTTTTTTTATGTCTACTTTGGATGAATAAAAGAAACAATTTGAATGCATGCTTTGTTGCTGTGTCAATTTATTAAATATGTGACCAAAAAAAAAACGAAACGAAACATTTGTAATTTGAAAGACCATAAATTAAAAATGAAAGTAGATCAAAATAAACAAGATGGATGCCAAGGGATCTAGAAGATTGAGTTTGAAGAGTATTAAGCTTTATTTAAGTGAATTTATTTATAATAAAAAGTTGAAACAGTAAGTAAATATTGTGAAATGATATGTAAGTTAACTTGTATTTCAAATAAACCTAAAAAATCGAAATTATATGTAACGTAAGATGTATAATACATCCAATAATTTACACAAACGTCGTATTGTCAGCCGTCCGACAAGAATTTCAGCCGACCATGGTTATTATAAAAGTCGCTTATTATAAAGTTTTGGCCTGACAAATAAACTATGATAATAAACGAATTGTACTGTATATCAACTAAAATGTGAACTTAATATTTAATTCACTGACCTTGATCTGCCCTTGGCACTGTCCATTAAAGTCAGTGATGTTGTACCAGCCACACATCTGCTGGAGTCCAGTGGACAAGGGAGTTAAATCTACCGAGACAAATCCCAGCACTCTATCAGAGCACTTGTCTGGAGTCTTCCCACAAGTGCTAGGTTTGTGCCAGACTTTGAATACCAAGTTCTAAAATCAAACAATGCAAAACACTATTTAAAATACTAAATGTAAACATATTTTTATTACTAGCTTTTATATCAAAGAAATTTTTTTTTTGATTACATTGTCAGGTAAAAGGAACAGGTACATGTAGCTTGGTGAAACATTTCAAATTTATTTACAGCCTGTTCTGAAAGTAATGTTACACTGCTTAACGCTGTAAAGTAATGTTCCAGCACCCACCTTGTTTTCCTCAAAGAGGAGCTCTGTGCTGAGTCTGGTTTCATTCTGATGATCCCAGATAGGATTGTCGGAGTTTGGAAACACATCAGTGAATGTAGGATCAGCTGATTCAGCAGTCTGGTAGGAAACATATGCATTTGGCAATTGTTCACCAGATCTGTTAAAAAAAATGCAATTTACATGTAAATAGTTTGTACATGTACACAGAAATGCAAAATAGCATCAATACTGTATTAGATGTACAGAAAAAAATGATTATAGAGAACACATTTATGATGAATTACAGAAGTGATTTTCAATCCCCATGGTTCTAAAAATGTATTGTAAACTTAACAGATAAAGAATTATGTTTATAATGAATCAACTGTTCATCCCTGCCACTTCACTATAAGCGTGTTTTATTGTATATCGAGGTCATCTGACTAAGTCTCCTACAAAGCATGATCCTTGTCAATTACAAAGTAACACAGAATTGAAATACATATAGTTCTAACCTCTTTTGCTCTGACACCCTAGGTAAATGCATAGCTCTTTCCACTGAAATCATAACAGAGAATGTTGGGACAACTTCTTCATCCTCCTCCTGAAGTCTGGCCTGTTTTCTGGGGGATTTGGCACGTTTTGATTGGCCAGTCAGCTGGTGGAAACTGTCATTGGGGTCGTAATCAGTGTCATGGATATCGGACATATTAGCTTCATTGTCCCTCTGAAATTCATGACATGGACATACATGTACAATATAATTCATGTTTATATAGTTTAGAAAATCCAGTTGAATAATAGAGTTTCCAATGTTAAAACTGAGAAATTTAGTTCTATTCAAAACCCTCTTCTACCTATGCCTATATTGTATTTTAAAACTTTACCCTTTTGTATACACTGTGAATGACTGATATTCACAAAAAAAAATACAGTCATAAATTAAAGTCACACTATTTACCTGATTTGGAACCCCAAACATTGGTTTTAATGTCACATGAGCCTGAATACAGGCCCCTCCTAAATTAGCTCCTCCTGCCTTGAATAATGGGTAAAGCCCACTACAAAAATAATAAGATGACGATAATATGACAGACTCATCATGGCTGTGAATAACATGATCAAAATTACTTGCAATAGAAATGGCCAAATTGCCAACTAAAACAATTACCGTGAACAAGTATACAAAGTTCAGACAGGTTACAATCAAAACAAAGATTCTGTAGGAGAGAAATTTTCGTACCTAACTCTGTGCTGCGAGCGTCGCTTGTCAGCCAGTGTCTCCAGGTTGATGTAAGCTGTCCCTATCAGTTTGTCTCGCTGCTGGGGTCTCTGGCTCTGGTTATAACTGTAACTGACCCACACCTGCACCTCCAGCGTCTCCTCCCGAAGATACCTGACAAATATAATAAACATCTAGGTCAAGGTGTGTATCTTTACAACTTCTTTCATTATCAAGAAAGATCTATATATGAAAACTCAGATAAATTTCTAATTGTCATAAAACAAAACTGCAGTTACATACCAGCGAAATGGAGAAGACGCAGGAATTTGAAGTGTGTGCTTGTGTCCCAATTCTGAGGTCAATATGCCATCACTGTCAGCCATTTTGGTGACTTTGGATATTACAGCAGCTAAAACCAGTGACATTTACATGATCATTCATGAGCATTATATATCATGTTTCAGATAAGTTTTCTAAAGAAAGAGTAATTTTTTTTTATTTTATTTACATGCACATGTACCTCTGTCATAAAGTTTATAACGAACATAACATCTGGCTCCCTTCTCAAGTGTATCATGACCAGTTGTAAGAGCATTGGCTAATGGGAAGTTTGCCTGGTCTACACAGATGGTAACACTATAAAAGCGACCTGAACTTTCATCTGAAAAATAAGTAAAATCACGAAATGTATAAAATAATTTTTCAAACTTTTTCTAATTATTTTACTACTAAAATTATTCATGATCTAACATAATCAATAAATATAGATGTTAATATTGGATCCACCTACCATCACTCATCCATTCCTCCTCATCCTCCACCTGTAGATCCACAGGGGACCACCCCACACTCCTCCCTGCATGTATAACCTTCTCCCTGTCATTGTGATGGGCGAATTTAACCTCCAACTCCACACCCCCTACAACTCGATGGAGGTAGTTTCCATGGTAACCTGAGGCATCCATGTTGTCCTCTGGTGAAGAATTAGGTGAGAGATTGATGGGAAACCAGCCACTTATTCCTATAAAACAAATCAATATTACATTATTTAAAAGTAATTGATTTTAAATTTCCAAATGATTCATGTGGTTATAAAAAATTGTCATTTTCCAAAATACTTTCCACATGTGTGCAATATTACATATGCACACTGTAAGTGCATAAATTCTTTTTGTATATTCAAGGGTACATTACCTGTTCTGTGAGTTAACAAAGATGAGAGAGGAACTTCACAAGTTCCCAGCAACACATCACTCAATTTCCTACCACTCCTGTCATCTTCAACCAGCATCTGTCGATCAATATCTGTAGGAAAAAAGAATCTACCAGCATTCATTTCCAATCTAACCAAAAACAAACATCCACTCTCTTTTCATCACATATAAAAATTAATCTATATACGTATATGTAATTTTATGTGGGCTTACAAAATCATTTAAACATTAAAATCCCAGTTATGTGAAAGGAGGTCAGAACTTAAGCTCACCTGATGCCAGACCTGGGACCTGGTGCCACACTTCTAACTTGAGCTGGCCTCTCTCTAGGATTTCTGACAAGGACAAAGCCTCATTATCAGCCTCAGTCCAGATCAGGTTACAGGGAAAATCCATTGTGTGGGAAAACTCGGGAGCAAAAGAACGGGCAACTGTTCTGGTGATTCTCTCCTCCTACGCAAGACAAAGCAGACCAATTCATAAACCAGACACAAACAAAAAACATATAACACACAGTGACTTATCTTAAAATCTACATTTTCATGTTATGTAATCCTTTCAGAACTTCTGAATGAACTAGAAGTCTCACAGTAATGTAACTTACAGATCTGTCGAGGAAGGACAGTTACACAGTAACGTTACTTACTGATCTTTTGAGGAATGACAGTTACACAGTAACGTTACTTACTGATTTGTCAAGGAATGACAGTTGGACTTTAATGTAGGTGTTGACACCCACTTCTGCTGGGTACTGCATTCCCGAGTCTGTGTAGGCAATAGCCTCTGCTGCAGCCTGCACAACAAAACAACAGATAAAACGTTACTATAATGATGAGACACTAATCAAGGCTAGACAGTATGCTGTTTATAAAGGAGAGAGATTTTTATCCTCAACATAAAACAAGAACTCCTACCTTGAGCCCGCAAGCCTTGAGAATACCAACAGATAAACAGACTTGGGATTGTCCTACGTTTCTGTGAGCTGCAGTACTAGTGTCATTGTGGACAACATGTGTCTTGTAGTGAATTGTAAGAGTCAACAAGCCACAATCTTTCTGCTACAAGTACAAAATGTAACAAATTAAAATATTCCAATGTACGTAATATCTAAAATTGATGATTTGTTTCCACTAGCAACAACCAGATTAAATAAAGATGACAATGTGTTGCTACCTTTGCCTTCTGCTCTGGGTCCACCTCCTGCCCATCACCTGACACAGAGTTTATGGGCAGGGTGAAAGTCTGGACAGATCGGTCATTTCTCTTCTGCATAGTAACCATAGCACACAGCTTGGCTAGTGGTAGACTAGTCTGAATAAAACATTCAAATCCAAATATAAATTTTGTACTTATTGTAACATATCCTTTTTTTTAAATTATTTTTTGTAATTTTGTAACAACACTAATTTATCAATGGTATATTTTAGTACTCACTTTGGCAATACATTGGTCCCTAACATTGGGGTGGTAATATCTACACCAGACCTCAAACGGAACTCCCCCACTGCTACCAGATCCAGCACATGCTAAATATATAAATTTAAAATAAGATCCAACATTATCTTTAGGTACATTTTCAGTAGCAAAGCCTTATAATGCTTTGAACTTCATTCAAACAGAGAAATGGATAAATCACTCTATCTCTCTAGATAACTCTAACTTGTAAACTCTGAGAATAAAATGTATATTTCCATGAATAAAGCAGTATTTTGAATTTACCTGTAAGTAACTCTCTCTGAACAGGGCTACCCTGGGGGAGACATAGCCTGTGTCGAGTGATATCATTAAAGGTTGGGTCAGGTATACATAGAGTGGTGGCACTGCGGAATGTCTTCATCTTTGGTACACCTGAAATTATGAAATAATCAGAAATTTACACTCTGTCTGAAACATGAAGTAACAATCCAATCCATAAGTTGCTTTAGATGATGACAAAGGATTTAGAAACTTATCATTTAAAGTGAAAGAAAATTACTTTTCATCAAAATTCTTTGGATTACTTAATACATACTGTGTCTGACTATTGGTGCCCCAGGAACCTCAGTTTGTGTTTGGGTGGGGAAGTGATACTGTATGAAGCAGTCTGCCTCCCCCCACATCATGTTGTCAAACATAGAAAGACCTCGGATTCGTTCTATCACAACCTCAAAGATATGCTCCACTGAAAATATAGGTCAAATCTTTAGAGTAAATTTTTATACAATGTACATGTACATGTATTTACAAGAACGGAAGTGCCAAGTTTACATTATTGATCAGGGTTGGCAAAAAACTGGGAAATACTCGTATTTCCCAGGACGGTGGGAAATACTGGTAATTACCGGGAATTACTGGTAATTACCGGGAAATACTGGGAAATAAGAAATAGGTACATATTTCATTCATATTGACATGTAATACACCTTATTGGCTAAGATATCTACCTGGTATCACTGTTCCCGATTTAAAAAATTCTGGTTTCCAAGTAATTCATTTTATCTACATGTAATCATAACACAGTACATTCATATACCAATCATGAGTGCTTGAGTCAGATGTAGTCTATAAAGGTCCATGAAATGAACACAAAGATCCCAATTGGGTTTTTATGTAACTAAAGAAGGATCTAAGAAAATTCTTAAATGTAGAGTATGGTATGAATATCAAATCTGAGAAGAAGCCTTTAGTTTTACTCAAGGTAATTATCTCTCAAAACAGGAGCACAAAACTGTCCAGAGCAATTTGTTAAAACAACGTGATTGTTTGTAATAACTACAGTATTTATAGAAGGATGAAAACAAGTTTTTTTTGTTGTTCTTGGATTTGTAATTAATAAACTTAATAATTTTACAAAACTGAAAAGAAACTTGAATTGAAAAACTTCAGTTTTTGTACAGCCAGGGAAATGTTTTAGAATGCTTTTGGGTATGGGACCTGGAGTAGGTGATACATTCTGAATATGTTATATAGCAATTTGAGACATATTCCATATTATTCATCTTCTGTTTTTATGTTTATTTTATTTTTAAATTTTGTATAAGATTGAATGAATTAGAGAAAAATAAAGAATTGATTTCTAATAACTTAGTATTTCCCAATATTTCCCAGTTTAGAGAAAATTTGTAGTATTTCCCGGGACGGGAAATACCGGTATTTACCACTGGTAATTCCCACCATTAGTATTTCCCGGCCAACCCTGTTATTGATCTTTCCACATGAACAAAATTCTCACAAAAATCACAAAAGTTCAAAGGTCAACAAAGAGAATCTTGTTAATACCTAACACAGATGTTCCAAACTGATTCCTGACTGGGGTTTCTTGACTAGTTTCCATATTTCTAGAATGAAACATACAGTACTAAATAAAACAAATTCACTCATAAATGTACATATTACACAAACTACTGTTTATAAATTCTACCTGGAAATATTTGTATCCACAAAACTGAAAGTAATGAATATACAACTTACCCATCCAGCTGATGAGCTGGCCTTAAGACGTGTAGGCCCTCGGCATTCTCCATCTTCATTCGTTGTAATGCCGACACTTGCTCTGCTGAACCCATGGCCAACAAAACTTTGAGCTGTCCAAACTGTGCCCCACTAACGGGGTCAACAATGGGCAGATAATTGTCCACAGCGATCACTGGGTACTATGAAAAAATATAAAAAAGTTAACAGCATGTTTTAAAAAGCACCCATTTTAAAATGTTTTGTAATACACTTGAAATAGTAAACTTTACGTAAATTGAATGACATGCAATTTTTTGAAGAGCATTCTTAAAAGGAACGTATAATGTACACTTACCTGTGATTTGAGCAATGCAGAAGAAATCTTACGGTCTCTAAATGACATGTAGAACTGGTGAAGACTTAGTTTAACTATACCTATCAGCTACAAAGGAAGATCACACTCAATTAAGTATATTTAGGTAAATATTTACGGAATTATTGACAGAGAGAAGTGAAATGTCAAAATACCTTGTCATTTTCTGCATTTGTTTTCTTGTCCCATACTTCCACAATCATAAAGTTGTTTCTCATTCTTTCCAGCAGACTTTGAGAAACAAGCACTGGTGCAATCTGATATGTGAAATAAATATACATGTAGCTAGAACTTCATAACTTAATAATAACTAATACATGTGCCTTTCAAAATTTGAATGTGGGCATGTTAGGTCTTTACATATCTGTGCAAACCTGGGAAAAATGATACTGAGGTTGAGGGTCGCTCCAACTGACATCTGAATGTACAGCATCATCACACCAGAACATCCTACATACCAGATATGTGTTCCTCGAGTTCATACTGCGACTGTTGGGATCTATGAACATTAATGTAAAAACTTATGAATTATCAGACTTAACTTCTCAGTACATAAAGGCTCCACTGAAAACATACATGAAACGTGCAGCATTAACTATGTATTTACATGTAGCTAACTATCTATTGTAAGTTAAAGTTTCCAGCGTACAGTAGATATGGTACATAAATTAGTAAATTTTAGAATAACTTTATTTCCACAGCATAATGTGAATACATTTACAATGTATCCTCTGTCCTTGGTCAGACAATATTTGACAGTTCCCCTACCTGAGGACAGTACTTGTGGTTTGGGAGGAAAAACTGGGTGTCTCTTCATTGAAGTAAGACAGGGAATGCCATTAAGGGTGATATTTCGTCCCTCCGGAATCAACAACAAAGTATGCAATGTTAGCACCTGGTAAAAAAAAAAAACAACTAATAATTAGACAGATAATTGTGTCAAATTGTTACAGTGCTTCTGAGGTTGACAGTTTTGGACAATATATCCAGCATTTACATGTAAGTATTTATTCAGCTGTACACAGGGATCGACATTTACAGTTGTCCGATTGCCCGGGACAAGTAAATTCTCAGTTCGGGCAAGTGAAATTGTCGACATACTTGTCTGATCGGGCAAGTGAATTTTTCTCATACAAATGTACATATTTATTTAGTTAAATACATTAATTTATAAATAAAACAATATATTGAACACTTGATTTCCGCCACGCACCTCACTGACAATGTTTTGCATTCGAAATTCCTTGGTAGCATTTCTGGATTATACCATTCATTTAAAAATCGAGTTTGTTGTTTTCTTTCGTAGGAAATACACTCTACGTCTAACAAAATTTTGTTAACTTCTTATTAGGAAATTAAATTATTCAAGCACAGAATATAAGTACAGTGTAACACGTTGTATCCTGATCGCAATATGTATGTTTTGTAGCAACTATCTTCCTTAAGCGTTGCTTCACAGATATCACTGAAAATCACGAATTACTAAATGATCCTACCGCAAACAATTTTCAAAAATATGATATTTAAAAAGGAAATGGAGGGTTATTGCTGCATGGCAGTGTGTGTTAACAGGTTACATTTACAAGTACAGCGGTATACATTTATGTACAAATGCAAGATCAAAATTTTTTCAGGTACCAGGTAGCTCAACTTGCCAAATTGACAATAGTGTATTTCGTCACATTTTTTCTTTTCATAACATTTGCAGTAATTAATAATTTTCGTCTTAAGTTCCATCCTAATTTTGGGCAACCAAGTTTTGCATTCGGACAAGTCAAAGTTTGAGATCAATTGCCCGAAGGGCAAGTGAATCTGAAAGTTAATGTCTATCCCTGGTACATGTAAATATCATAATGCAAAAATAATTAAAGCTTTTGTAGATTTATTATCTGAAGAAAAATCGAAACTTTATCAACTATATACATTTTAATTTTACAGTCACATACCTCTGGTAAATCAGACTGGCCATAGGACACTGGGATCTGAAGCAGACCCTGATTAAAGTTCCTCTGCTGGGAAGATGACACACTGCTGGACTGAGAATTCCTTTGTAAAAAGGCTTCTACCTCTTTCACTATACTTTCTTTCATTTCTGATTCTGAAAGATTATTTTACATAAAGAGTACAAGAACATCTTCAAAAATTTTTTACTGTGTAGGTTTTCTTTCAAAGGCATTGATATTCTAATTCATTGATATGTACAACACATTTTCATACCTGTCTGTTTGCGTAATTGGTTGAAATGCAGCACTTGACTTTGAGCATTAACAGCACTTGGTTCCTGAGATACTGGGGGTTTGGGAGGGGGAGGTTTAGGAATGGGCACTATTTTGGCTTTTCCACTCATTTCAGCCAGCTTTGTCTTTGCCAAAGCTGAGGAGAAATCTTTGCTATCTGATGCTAACTCTACTGACAACTGTTTTAATAGGAAGATACAAAGATAAACATGAATTAAACAGTGTGCAAGTTTCTATAAAACTAAAATTAAACTGGATTTGTTAACAAAGAAGGATTTCCACAGCCTGATTATTGGTTTTATTTATAATTTTTGTTAAGTGTTTAAATCTGAATTTTGCATGCAGCCGCAATGGACTGAACCCTACCTTTAATTTTCCATAGGCTCCCTCAACATCACTGCTTCGCCTTGAGGAGCTGTTTGGTCTGTTGACACTATTTTCCTGTACATCTAGTGAACAGTCCAAGTGAAGGGAGTCGGACTTTAACACAGATTTTAGTGGAATGCCACAACTCCCAACCTGATTTGGCTGAAAAACAAACAAAGTTATATTGTATGGATCCTACATTATCCAATGAAACTGAAAATAAACACATTTGTGCCAGATCTCATATTTTATTTTGAATAAGCAGGCTGAATTTACCTCAAATTGAGGAACTAATTTTAGCAACCTTCAGCGTAATTCAAAAGCATTTTTAACAAGCACTCAAACTCTCCATCATTACAGGAGTTTTCCATAAACTGTATATGCAAAGTTCCTTACCACTTTTTGACCTGCAGACCTAGCAAACAATTTAAAGACCAGAGCAGACTTCCACCAACTGTCCACTGCTGTTCCATCAAACATTATAGGGAAGACTGAACGATGATTAAAACTCACAACTGTAAAAAAAAAAAAAGATAATGTGAAAGAATTAGAACATGAAACTTCAAGATAGAAGCATGTTTCTAGATTAGCGCAATAGGTTTTTGTTATAAAAATCTAAATTACCTCCATCTTTAACATTTTTTGAAGCAACTCTCATAACCTCTGTTGCCATTGCATTAGGTGCATGTTTATCTCTAGATGTGGCCACAACGGGAAACTGGTATTCAATGAAGTAGGTTCTACAAAATACACACAGATACTTTGAACATGTACATCATCACATTTCCACCCAGAATTTCAATTCTTTTAAGCAAAATAAAAAAAAAAAAAGAAATGAAAGCTAAATACTGCTGACTTACACAGCCTTTTTGGCTTTTGGTGAGGGTTTAGGAGGCCTGCCTACAGATTTACTTGTGGGTTTCTTTTTGGATGGAGTTGTGTTTTCAAAGCCCACCAGTTTGAGGTGGTCAATGACAACCCTGGCCACATGAACTCTCCCTAGTAAGGTCAGTCTCTCAACACTCAGACCATCCACTTTCTTTTTGCCTCGCCTTGGAGCTGCCTCTGTAAAATGAAAATATTTGTGCAAGTATTTGCCACTACTACTCATTTCCATGTATATTCAGAAAGAAGGAAAAAATCTATTTCTGGTTTGGGAAATTTTTTTCTGGATTTAGTTAGAGAATATTATTCTGTGCTTCCAATTTTTGGTTTAAAAAAGAACTCTCCTTCATGAAACAAACAGGTTTCTACACATGTAAAAACACAGAACTTTACACTTCTCAATCTCTGATTGACACATTAGCTGATGCACATGATTATCTCAAATCTTATGAAACTGCTGGGTGCAAGCACATTTGTTAACCCTGATCATCAAATTCTTACCTTGCTCAGGTTCATCCAGGTCAGAAGCTGGCATATCAAATGACACCTGGGAGGTTTCTGACCTAGAGGTATAAATAGAATCATTGTCACTAAGTTCACTGGCACTGCTGCGCGACCGAGAGCCTTTCCTTCTTTTCTTGCTGCCTTTCCTGCGGAGTTTAATTCTTCCCTTCCTTTTAGGAGTCCTTGATTTCTCTGTCTTTTTCTTGGTTGCCTTCTCTGGAGTTTCTGTCACTGGCAGAGGGAGGGTAATACTCGAGACAGATGACCGTCTTGAAGGGGGGCGCTGAAATTCATCGATACATACAGTATATACAATAATATTGAATATATACATGCGTCTTTTCACCAAGTAAGTTTTAGAATAATTTTAAAAAATTGCAGAATGCTATGCAATTATTTATATCATCCCTGTTCAAAATGTATAAATACATTTGGACTTCAGATTCTTACAGCATTGTCAGGGTCCTCCATAGATGGAGCAGGAGAAATAGCCCTCAGTTTACTCTCTGTTTTCCTTGGTTTTATTTCATCATCACTGAGTTCACTCAACTCGCTCACCTCGCTGTCCTGAAAACCATTCAATTAAAGCATCTTCTAGAGAAATATACATGTACTCAAGTAATCGAAAAGACAGTGATTATTGCCTCTTCTTTTTTTAAAATATGCAGATAAAGGAAGCAAACTAGCTTGATAATTTGTATTATAATCAGTATTGCAGAAAGATTCTTACTGGGTTTTTGTAGAACAACTCCTTTAGGAGAGTTTCACTGTGAATAGGATCTCCTGGATCACTGACCAAATCCATATCATCTGATATGGAACCTGGACTTCTTCCTCCCATGTTCAACATCTGACAATAAATGTTCAACATAAAACTAAAATTGGTAGATGTGCATGCATCATAAAATATGTGTATCCTGAAAAATGGTTACTAAACAACTTTTCAACAATTTATTTAGTGCATAGCTTAGTTTACCTGTAAATCATCTATTCCTGTTTCCCCTACAACCAAGTCAATAGCATTCTCTTCAAACGGCAACTCAACATGTCCATTCATGTGAGCCTTCTCAGACTGTAATATTTCCTTCAAAAAACTTCCTGATGACTGGCGGCTAATAAATGACAAAAAATTGTTTTCAATTTTTAAATTAAAAATGATCCTGGTTGTGTTACCAATTTCAGATTTTACACATACATACAATTAAAGTATACCACATTTCCATCACTTTATAATCCTTACAAGTTTTAAATAATAACCAGTACAATTCATTTGTTCGAGAACTGACCTTTCAGACATTCTGGAGATATCCATATCTCTGTTTTCCAACTCAGTCCTATGAATAGCACTAGGAATTTCTCTTGATTGAGTAACATTGTCTTCAATGGATGAAATGATCATTTCTTTGCGTAATTTATCTCCCCTTTCCAAAAGAATTGACAGAACGTCCCCTCCTACTGGGGCTTCACTGCCATTGGCTAAAGTTTGTGAACTAGCTACATGATTGGATGATTTTTTCTTTGGTGATTTGGGTTTATGTGAAGCACTGGTGGAGTGCACTGATATGGCACTGTGGTTGGGAGTGGGATGTGAGATGAAATTAAGGTGGTTTTGGTCCAGATTTGACGTGACAATGTCGCCATTAGCCGTCACTTCTACAGAACTACCAGACTGCACCGGCTGTGGATGGGAATGGTTGTCATGGAAACTGTAATTGAGCTGCTTCCTTAAATCTGCTGCAGTGCTTGCATAGCCATTTGAAACCGACCCATTCTTAAAGAAATAAACAATACCATTCACTTCTTAAATCCACAATCCCTTTCATTTGTAAAATTAACATTTTAGTCAAATTATTTTAAAAATTCCATTTCTAAAAGATTTTTGTATATTAATGGCTTTTTGTAATGAATGTTGTTATAGGTATTTAAAAATAATTATCTACCTGATTTGGAACAGGTGATATAAATGGATCATCTGTTGGTTTCTTTGGTGGCATTGCATAGGGTTTGTGTTGTATTCGTTGTGGGTACATGGATCCGTTAGCACCATTCATCTCCATACTGATGTCTGTTGTTGGGATGGTATCACCAAGGCTGTCATACGAGTCTACAAAATAAAATTATACATCATTATGATCAAAGAGTTACCTCAATGCTTCTGTTGTAAGTTTCACGATTTCGCTACACGTAAAACTGAATCATGTCTTGCCAGGTAATCAGTCTAACAGAGCATTTTTTACCTTTAACAGGAAGGTAGCACCTTTTACACTTTTTACACTAGAAATATTTTCAGACATACCTGCCACAGTTTCCAGCTGTAATGAGACCTCAAGATCTGCTATCTTATCTTCATTTGGGGACATTACAGGGTACCATCTAGAAAATCAATTATTCTAATATATTGACTGTACTACTGCAACAATATTTTCTAACCATTCCACATGAACAATACACATTTTTTCCCCATTAATTAAGATAATTATCAATCATACAATTTTTTTCCCTATTCATACAATATAGACGAGTTACTTACCCTTGAACTGGAGAGCTTGGAGATATTTTTGCAATGTCTGTAACTTCAGCATACCCAACAGGTACCATCATTCCCCCACTTAGTACTTCTATCAACAGACTGGACATGTCAGTTAGGTAGGCTGCAAACTGCTTAGGACCAGACTTGATTGGGTACCTGGCCAGAGTCTTTGCCATGGCAAAATTTCCCTTCCTGGCATCATATGGTCTGAAAAAAGAGATTTTAGAAAAGCATAAATTTGAACTTATTTCTTCAGAGAATTCAGTACTATTTATCAAGTTTTATTTATTTATTTATCTTCACTAGTCAAACTGGTTGTTCAATATTCAAATATAAATTTAACCATAAAACAATGAACAGAAAAAATTAAGCAAGTGAATACTAACCTGAAGATGGCCCCATCTCCTTCTTCTCCCCACCACCTCACACGTACATGGGTGACATCAGGAGGGGAGGGGCAGGACCACTTAATCTGACTGACAGTAAGGCAACAATAACATCTCAGCTGACCTTCAACCTTTGGTGGCAGTCCGGTGTGAATAACAACATCTCCTTTTTTCTTTCCTGCATCTGATAAAATCATTTGAAATTTATAATTAATACAGCAACTTCAGCAAGCTCTGCAAGCTTAACATTTAAGAGGAGAGGAAATTCAAACTGAAATCTGCACATTAGCCAAACAAATTCTCATATTCCTGTTCCCAGAGTGCCATGATCTGACAATCACATTTCCTTGCAAAATGGATAATGTTGGAAAACATATGGGCAACCAAGATTTTGTTCTTGCAAAGGCATATTTTTTCCTTAAATTATAAAAATATGTCACAGTCTTTTGAAGAATAAAAAGTGCTCTCTTTACATTCCTCTATGAAAATGCAACTGACTGTTTTATGTTAAGTGATTTCACAGGTCAGATTAAAAAATACTGTCCAAAAAGTCATGCACATTATATGCTGAGCAGAAAATAAAGGAACATAATAAATAGAGGCATACTGTATACAGGGAAATTTTTGCCCCTGTTTTATTTTCGCCCCTTTCGCCCTACTCACAGGTGGGCAAATTTAAAACGAAGCAAAATTGCTTGCGTGAAAGGGCGAAAATAACATGGGGCGAAAATAACCCTGTATACAGTATTTAAAAGTCATCGTAGATGCAATCTATGATGCATATATAGATTTGGACTTTCAAATTTTTAAAGGTTTTTTTCTCTTTGCGGGGTCCAATGGGGTCAAATGGTGAAAGTCTCTAAAACATTACCAACTTTACAGGACAATATTTGATCTATACCTTTTTTTTTAAAATATACAAGAAAACTTCAGGTCACTCAAGATTACTCGCTGGTGTGCATGCATGAAATACATGCAATTATTGCATCTTGTACCAGTACAGAAAAAAGGAGTTGTGTTTATGATACAACAGGTGATTAAAAAGAAGAATTCAAAATGAGAATGAAAATGTCTACATTTACATGAGAGTACAGTTAATAGCTGTGATTAGCTGTTCTTAAAATGTCTACTGTAGAAGTAATATTTCCATTGTTTAATCATTGTAAGAAAAAGAGGTCATTTGTTTGTTTCTGTGTCTTGAATATGTCTGTACCTGTGTGTGTACCTGTGGTGGTGTCTGGTTATGTATATGATCATGCTGCCCCATACTAATACTATGTCAAAAAGGTACAAAAGTGTCCAAAAGCATTTGAAGGCTTCAAATATCTACAAGTTAGTAGCAAAGAATGTAGGGAAAGAAATTTTAGTAGCCTTGAGAAAGAGAAATGACTTTTAAGAATGTAAAAGCTGTCCATTACTGCTTTTTGTGATACTTGAACATGTTGAACAAATTATATAACAGTCAACCAAATGGTCAAAACCAACTATCTGGCTTCAATTTTCATGAATAGTTGATTATTTACTCTGTGATAAAAGGATGAAAGGTGTAATCAACCTTACATACCCATACTATTTACACTTCAGGATGTGAAAGAGGCAAGAAATTGAACATTGTTTTTTTTCTGTCAATGACAGTATAGTACCATGCATTTTGAAACTACAATAATTGGTTTCATACGTAAAACACATTGCTGTATAAAATTAAAACCCCTTTATTAACTTTTTAAAAGCTCAAAATCTAAGAAATGGGTGTATAAAGATATGTGGATAGGTTTCAATTCAAAAACATGATTGTCATTTTTTGCCGCCAGAACAGCTGATGGCATGTATGAACACGGTTGAAAGCCTGCACGTATCACTAAAAGTGTTACAATACCTTTCTTAACAGATTGCCTGGACACTTTCTCTTTCTTTTTCACCATACTGAAATATCACCCCGTTTCAAGTAGCTTTAAACGATGCATATTCTAATGGTTGTTGCAAAAATCGTGTTATCTGTTACCATCCAAACATTGACGTCCAAACTTGTCCGCCATTTTTAATCTCTAAACAGTTGAAAATGCAATAAAATGTTTGTTTTTAGATAAATAATCTATATATTGTTGTGATGATTTAGACGTTCAGTTATACAATTTTAGATATAAAAAGCAGAAATTATCGCTATTTTAATTTTCATATTTTCAAATGTTAAAAAAATGAGATACAGATATTTACGGAAACATGTATGGCTACATGGTCGAGCAATAATTATTTTTATTTTTTGTGCTATTTTGCTTTATGTTAAGCCAAAAGAACATAGTCATAACCCATTACTGATGTAGAATTGAATTTTTGAAAATATAGATCATAACAAAACACAAAATAACCAGAACCAGCTAACAAGCATTCGAAAATAGCTGTTTTGAGTTGCAAAATAATCTATTTATATCCGAATAAAATGTCAGCTTTGGAGAGGCAAGCACTAAAAGCCTCTTTAGGTGGTTTGCCGCCTATGCCACCACCAGGACTTGGGTAAGAACGTACTTGATGTTGACAGCAGTTAAGCAACATATTATTGGAAAATACTGTTTAATTGATACATGAATTGAATGGATTATAGAGAAAATTCTAAGCATTAAATGAATGAATCATTCTGTCATACATGTCATATTGACTTTATCTGTGTGTGGTAATATATAATGCATAGGTAAAGACTGTTGTAAATGGAATTTTTTTTTTAGATATCTGTATTTACAGTTATACCAAACTGAATGTAATGTGCATTGTTCTATATTTGCATATATATACACGAAATGTAATTTAAAAACAATGCCTTGAATTTTATATAATCATATATGATATATACTGAGCGATTTTCTATGAAAACATGGAGTCACACAAGCTTTTATTCTTATTGTAGTGGACCAAAGAAAAGGCCCCTGATAAGAAAAAGAGATTACACTCCAATTCACTGGGACAAATACTTTGAGCGGATGCATGATGTCAAGTGCGGAGATAATGATGTATCCTTTAATACTGAGTAACAGAGTCTCAATATATAATATGTTGACGGTGCGACCATTGGGGCGAGCGCATTGTTCACTTAGTTTTAAGATCTGCCTCTTCAAGCCGCATGAGACATTTGGAACGTCTAGACTCTACTAATCTGTATGCAATATCCATTAAATTAAGGTGAGTTTATTTTTTATGAATTTTTAGTTGTTGTTACCGCGCGAACGAAGTTAGCAGCGACAACAACAAGCGATGCATTGTGGGTCCAGAATTACTGCGGACAAAAATTCTATTCATTTGAATGAATGTGCAGCAGTCCGAATTTTCTCTTCGCCCAGGTGTTGTCGATCGTTAGAGCTCGCAGTGACGAGCGGCGCTATTATCTGGTCATATCAACTGTTGACTAAATATTTTTTACTCAGTTACTCGTTGTTTTTAAATGCATCAGAGTTATGTAAGTAAAATTTAAGGGTAAGGCTTAAAATTTTTCTTAGGTTGCTGTTCTCAGTAAGGAAATCATCATACATACCTTTAAAATTTGCAGTCTGGGCATATTTTAAAAGGTTTCACAATGAGAAGACTGAAAAATGTAAATTATGTGAAGCTAAGCTGGTTCATTGTGTCTGGACATCAAATTTATTATATCATATTATAGGATTAAAAGCCGACATTCACCAAATTAATCTAAATCTCTAATTGAAATTTTTCTCCTATGTTCCCTGCAAAAATGCCAATTAAGGTGCATCTGAGCCTGAAAAAATAACTGATGCTTCCACAAATATGATTGTAATAAACTTTCTACCTCTAAGTGCTGGAAATGGAGAAGATTTTAAAGAATGATTTGGATTCTAGCTTCAAATCATAAAATTCGGACTCGCACTCGAGTAAAATCTTGCGTAATCATGTGCATACATGTTCATATAATTTAGGAAACAGTTATATCATGTTTTATATTAATTCATTTCGCAAAGGTATTGGTTGTTTATACAGTTATGGGTTAATGACTTAGCTGAAACTGCCAGGTAATGGCCACAGGTGATAGATCGATCACTTGTAATTAGAGAGGACAAGTGAAATATTTAAAAAGTACATGTGCAGTAGAAGAATTAAATATCTACAAATACATTAAGTTCAAATATTTATTTTTACATTAAACATGTTAAATGTTGATTTGAAAATACTTAGTATATGATGATAGCATGGAATAAATATTATACCAGTCTGTAAATGGCAAATACTGACATAGACAAAAAAATATATTTCAATGAGTGTTCTACTATTGTTCTACTAAAGCATTCAACTATTTGACTAAGCCGTGCAAGTGAAATTGACATCCCAAATATTTACCCTAACAAAAATGTCATTTAAAGAACCTGCAGGGCACTGATATCATTGTTATATATTTAATATATGTATAAAGATCATTGCATATTTCACTCCTTTATGACCTTGACCTGTTATTTAGACCTTCAGGGTCTATGAGTGTGGGAGCTCTGGGCCAGTCTTATTCTTTCTACATGGAGGAGGTTTCTCAGCTCTGAGTTGGTCTCTTCTATGTGTGAGTCACTCTAACAGAAATTTCATAACCCACTTTTACATTTAAATTCATGCAGAACAGTAAATTTGCAATTTATGCACATTCCAATTTTATACCAGTACATATTTATCAATAACTATATTTTTAAGATATATTTGAAAATTTCACCATGTTCACAAATCAGAGGCCTGTTCAACAGAGCGAACGTCCGCGAGCGCTCGCCAAAATTCCTTATCCCTCCGACAGAAATGTTCGCGAGCGCTCGCAGACGTTCGCTCTGTTGAACAGGCCTCAGAATTTCCATAAATTTTAAATATGTATTAAAACAGAAATAAACTAAAGCAGATGTTATCAGCAAAATATTACTGATGGAGTTTACTGACATTATACACTTTTTGATTCTATTGTAGTCGGCTCTATCTGGTATGGTCACTTGTCGATGTGCAGCTGTAGACTTGAGAGGACATGGTAGACTGATTTTTTAAATACATGTATATTCAAAATTTAGTGTTTGGGAGGGACAGTCAATATATGAATAAGTAGATTTTTCATTTAGATTGCCTTAGAAGGGCAAAATATGTAAATTTAATAATATAAATGATGATGTCAATGAAGATGATGATGGTGACGATAATAATTTTGTGGCATTTTGTCATTTCTTAATTACATGTATTAATTAAGTTAGATGAAGAATGTTATATATTTCCTTCATTTTTCATATAAATGCTAGTAAGAACAAGGTATTTCCAAAACTGATTTGAATGAATTTAAGGGGAAAGGAAATTTAATATTGAAATGCATTTGCTAATTAAATGATGCAGATGCAAATTTAGTCATCGTGATTGTTAAAAATCAAGAAAAACAATATAGTCATGTTCAAAAATGATGTGTATGCATGCATGTTCTCAGAGTACCTATTTTGTTTCTGTTGATCATTGGTAATGATTGAATTATTTATTGAATAGGTGACACAAAAACCTCAGATGACCAAAATTTATCAGCGGAGAGGTTGTCAAGGTAATATTTTCAAATTCTCATCAGTGTGAATAAATGTAGAGAGTACAAGTTTGAAAGTTTCAGCTCTAAAAACTTTCCTTGTTTAGTATATAAATGAATTGGCATAAATTGAAATAAAACTGTTTTAGTCTGTTTTTCCCACAAATCCACAACTGTTTTCCCTGTATACTCTTTATAAAGAACTTTAAATATGAAATAGTGAAAGAATGAGATAGGCATTGAATGATATTTTTTCCCCATAATTGCATTAAATTAGGGGTGTAAATGAATATAAGATATGTAGCAGAGCAAAAATATTGAGTGTACTTGCTTTTGAATTCCTGATTTTTTCCACCTTCATAGCGATGTTGGGAACGTAATAAAAGAAATGTATGGAGACGACCCTCCACCTATTTTCCTTGTGGGTCATAGGTGAGTTCATAGTTCACTGCTTTCTTAACTCTATCTGTTTTGTTGAAGTGAAAGTGTTAAGGTTATATTAAATCATGATTATGTGGGCTGTGTGCTTTCCGCTGACTTCAGAATTATGATAATGTTAAAAGTGAAAGCAAGATACAGGCATATTAATCCAGATTTTGCAAATTGGGAATAAACAAAAAAAATCTTTTAAAACAGAATGTCTTATTTTCAGTCATAGTAGTCTAATAGAATGAAAGAACATTTGGATATTTGATTTTGTCCCACTTTTATAGTCACTGTGACATGAGAAAAACTGGGAGGGGATCAAAGGAATAATTTTAATTATATAACAAGAAGTGTTTTTTAAGTCTTTGTGAGGTGTATGTTCATCATGTACATTTTTTTACAGTATGGGAGGTGCTATTGCTATACATACAGCCATTAGAAAACTGGTCCCCTCGCTCATTGGACTGGTCGTTATTGATGTCGTCGAGGGTAAATATAGCTTTTAAAGTACGGCTACATATACATACTTAAAATGAATTATGAACATGCTTAAAATGAATTCGCCCTTATAGCAATGTGATTTGTTTTACTGAATTATTAAACCAGTACATAATAAAGCATACTTGTATCACAAGTTCCACAAATCTGAATGGTAATGTAAATGTGTCTTTATTACTTTAGGAACAGCCATGGATGCCCTTGGTAGTATGCATACATTCTTGAAAGGAAGGCCCAGTGTATTTAAATCTCTTGAACAAGGAATTGAGTGGTGGTATGATATTACAAGTATGATTACAAACAAATGTAATAAGCTACATTTCATTGGTATTTTGAACTTGAACAGTGTGTATTTAGCACTAAAATCCCTTATGTCTGAGTCAATTGAGAGTTATCTTTCTTATATATGATTTACCTAGTATCTAATATTCTACTAGATGGAATTTCAGATTCTAGCTTCTATTTTTTTAATCACTGCAGTGTAAGAAGTGGACAAGTAAGGAATGCAGAATCTGCCAGAGTCTCCATGGTGGGGCAGCTGAAAAGGTAACAAATTGAAAAATAAAAAAAGAAATTCCTCATTTACACACTGGAGATGTGCCATGATTCCTATTACATTAAGAATGAGTAAAAATAAGCAGGATATTTCTATTTTTATATTATCATAATTGAGGAAAAAAGTCATTTGACTGATTTTATGTAATTTTTATTCTACAAAATGCTGTAAAAGCAGAAAAAGCAGCATTGGGGATTAAATTTCGTATATTTCATTGTTAACAATTATCAATGAAATAAAATCCCACACGAATTTTTTATTTGACCATATATTGAGTAAGGTAACTTTCAAAACAACGTAATTTAATGCCAACGAAACCTCTCTAGATGACAAATTAACAAAATTTTATCCCCACATAAATTTGTACTTCTACAGTAATGTATATTTATTTGAAGAGTTGAAACAGAGGAGACTGCCACAGCAGAATTAGACCATCAGTTTGAAGCTGGTTCTCATCCACAGGGAACCAGCACCATTATGGAGGAGGAAGAAGACGAGAGTAATGCCAATAAATCAAAAAGTGAACCCCAGATGGCAGAGGAAAATGCCAACAGCATGCCAATAACAGAAACCAAATCGCCTCAGACACACGAATTCAAGAAACCTGTCCCCAGAGACCAGGTAATATAAATACAGTAAAACTCATTTAGTACGAACATGGATGTAACAAATTTATGGATATAGCAAAGTTTTTTGCAATCCCTAGCGAAATTCTTAACTATTCCTTGTAAAATTTTACAGATATAACGAACTCGGATATAGCCAATTTACAGTTATAGTGAACTGGTTTTATGTCCCCTAGAAGTTAAAAATAACAAAATTTACATCTTTTATGGCGAAATTTTAGAAGATCTAAATTTTTAGAATATTGAACTGACATAATTTTGTAAGTACAGTACAATCCGTTTTTTATCATACCGGTTTTATATCATACTTCTTTTTTTATCATAGATATCTGAAACACAAAACCATTTCTTAATAATTCATTATAAATTTTGTCTGTTATTATCAGAGGTAAATGTATACACTTCGCTTACTATAATAGAAAATGTCCGTCCGTAATATTTTTTTCACACCTTTTCACTCTTGGAACAATCAACAAAACAAAAGATAACACCAATCTACACCTGTGGTTCATGCACTGTCGCTTGTCTATACACAATGGCTTGATTTTCACTTTGAAATTTGCCGATAGTGAAAGACTGGGGAGATTAGTCACACTTCAGTGCACTTACTTCTTCTTATGTTAATCCTGAATTGTACGTTCGTAATAAATACGTTTTACCAAATGTGTTGAAACTAAATTTAGTGTCAATATTAACCCAAGCTTTCTTACGCTTGGTGTCTGGATCAATGTTCATAGTTAATTACATTTACAAAACTACCCGATTAATTAAGAAATAATTAAGTGAAATTAACTCTTTCACCAGTCTGTCCAAGCGGCTTTGAATGCATATGCTCATCAGTGTATCAATTAATTTTAATTATACGGCGACATTAAGTGTAAATAGGTAATTTTTTTTATGTCTACTTTGGATGAATAAAAGAAACAATTTGAATGCATGCTTTGTTGCTGTGTTAATTTATTTAATATGTGACCAAAACAAAAAACAAAACGAAACATTGGTAATTTGAATTGACCATAAATTAAAAATGAAAGTAGATCAAAATAAACAAGATGGATGCCAAGGGATCTAGAAGATTGAGTTTGAAGCGTATTAAGCTTTATTTAAGTGAATTTATTTATAATAAAAAGTTGAAACAGTAAGTAAATATTGTGAAATGATATATCAATTAACTTGTATTTCAAATAAACCTAAAAAATCGAAATTATATGTAACGTAAGATGTATAATACATCCAATAATTTACACAAACGTCGTGTTGTCAGCCGTCCGACATGAATTTCAGCCGACTATGGTTATTATAAAAGTCGCTTATTATAAAGTTTTGGCCTGACAAATAAACTATGATAATAAACGAATTGTACTGTATTTATATTTGAAACTCAATTCTTCCAAAAACTTTCGAACTCAAAAGGATTTTATACTTCCCTAAATACATTTGGTAGACATACTTGAAGGAAAAAAATCTATATTATGAATTTGCTGTATATATATTTAAGGAATTCGTTATACAGATATAACAATTATGGATATAGCGAAGTAAATTTACTGGTCCTCAGAACTTCCCTATAACCAAGTTTTACTGTACATATTGATAAATATATAAGATGAACTTAGCTTTTGCTGATCAGTGATCATTTCAGAGAAATTAGAAAAGCTTGGCAAAGGAAATCATTTTGAAAAAAAAAAAATTCTAAAATTGTTCCCATTTTAGAGGTTATAAATTTTAAGGATTAAATTTACAGTCTCTTGACTTGGAATTAATATGTAGAAATAATTTGTACCTGTCTGATTTCTAAACATACATGTATATTGTAACTTATTGTAGAAGGAAGATTCTCATCACTACACATGGAGGATAGATTTAGATAAAACAGAACCTTTCTGGAGAGGTAAGCAAGGAGACAAACTGTGACAGCATTATCAAACATCGAGTGAATTTGGGAATGAATGGGGCATATCACCTAATGCACAAAGTACTAACTCCTTATAGAATTAATCTGATTTTTTTAAATGTTTTAATATTTTTTTTGTTTGTTACCAGCATATGATTTTTACTCTCTTTTATTATTCAGGATGGTTTGAAGGGTTGTCAAATAAATTCTTATCTTGTGATGTCCCAAAGATGTTATTACTTGCAGGTAAAAGATAAAAAGCCAAAGAAAGCTTATTCATATATATATTGCACATGTACCATGTACTCACAATTACTTAGAGATAATGAAAGTGACATTAGAGATTTCAGTAAGATGTGGATTTGCGTGTATAACATGTATCCATAACTAACATTTTCACTTTCTCTCAGGGGTGGATAGACTAGACAAAGACTTAACCATCGGCCAAATGCAAGGTAATGGCATTCATCTGACTACCTTTTAGAAATAACTTTATGATATTGAATCATTATTTTTTCTATCTTATGTGCACTTTGAATGTCACCACTCCTTCCAGGAAAATTCCAGATGCAGGTGCTTCCTCAGTGTGGTCATGCTGTGCACGAGGATTCTCCAGAGAAGGTTAGAAAGAATAACAGTAGTTTGACTGACATATCAAATGTGACTTTCAGTTTTGTAAAAAAAAAAAAATAATGAATTTAAAAAAATGTTGACTTTTACAGGTAGCAGAGGCCCTTGCTTCATTTTTGGTCAGATACAAATTTGCTCAACCCACTGCTGATTTTCACAGGTACACATTATACAATTTAACAGCATTTACAGATAGTTTTCTTAGGCAAAACTTTCTGATTATATCCATAATCCTTTGGAACAAAGTTGTAGGAAGTACATATATAATGGAATCATCATGTCCTTTTTCTATCTCTGAAATAATCTCCAGTGCATCAAGTGATGCTTTTTATGCCCCCGTATCAAAGATTCGGGGTATATAGTTTTTGCCCTGTCTGTCCGTCTGTCTGTTTGTCCACAAAACTTTAACCTTGCCCATAACTTTTGATTGGTTGGAGCCATGACTTTCATATTTTACATGTGTATTCCTTTTTTTTGAACAGTTGGTGCTTGGGGTTTCAAACTTCACAGGTGTATTCCTTGTGACAAGACCTCCCTTTGGATACCAACAACTTTGACCTTTTGACCTTGACCTTGGAGTTTGACCTACTTTTGAAAACCTTAAACTTTGGCCATAACTTTTGAACAGTTGGTGCTTGGGTTTTCAAACTTCACAGGTGTATTCCTTGTGACAAGACCTCCCTTTGGATACCAACAACTTTGACCTTTTGACCTTGACCTTGGAGTTTGATCTACTTTTGAAAAAAATTAACCTTGGCCATAACTTTTGAACAGTTGCTGCTTGGGGTTTCAAACTTCTCAGGTATATTTTTTGTGAGAAGACCTTCCTTTGGATATCAACAACTTTGACCTTTTGACCTTGACCTTGGAGTTTGACCTACTTTTGAAAAAATTTAACCTTGGCCATAACTTTTGAACAGTTGGTGCTTGGGGTTTGAACATGTGGTGCTTGGGGTTTCAAACTTCAGATATGTATTTCTTGTGACAAGACCTTTCTTTGGATACCAACCACTTTGACCCTTTGACCTTCACCTAGGAGTTTGACCTACTTTTGAAAAACTTTAACCTTGGCCATAACTTTTGAATGGTTGGTGCTAGGGCTTTCATACTTTACATATGTAATCCTTTTGACAAGACCTTCCTTTGAATACCAACCACTTTGACCCTTTGACCTTGACCTAGGAGTTTGACCTACTTTTGAAAAACTTTAACCTTGGCCATAACTTTTGAATGGTTAGTGCTAGGGCTTTCATACTTCACATATGTAATCCTTGTGACAAGACCTTCCTTTGTATACCAACCACTTTGACCCTTTGACCTTGATCTTGGAGTTTGACTGCCTTTGAAAATCTGTAATCTTTGCCATACCTTTTAAACATTTGGTGCTACGGCTTTCATACTTCACATGTGCATTCCTTAAGACAAGACTTTCCTTTGGATACCAACAATTTTGGCATTGACCTTGACCTTGGAGTTTGACCTACTTTTAAAAAACTTTAACCTTGGCCATAACATGTGAACATTTGGTTCTAGGGCTTTCACATTTCACGAACATGTGTATCACTTTTGACAAGACCTTCCCTTGGGTCCCCATTTGACCTTGACCTTGATGATTTACTTACTTTTAAAAAACTTAAACCTTCGCCATAACGTTTGAACAGTTGGAGCTAAGGCTTTCAAATTTCACAGGTATATTCCTTAAGACAAGACCTTTCTATGGGTACCAACATTTTTGATCTCTTGACCTGGATTTTGACTTGCATTTGAGAAATTTTAACCTTTGCCATAAGCTGCCAGACTGGGGCATCAGTGTTTCACAAACACATCTTGTTGTCAATGTTTATGCAATGTTTGAAATGTATCATATTGTTTTGTTACATGGTGGAGGGCAAGATTTTTAGGGCAATTTCAGTGTAATGTATCCTCCAGTTAAGTAAACATGTATCTGAATAATCACCCTAGAATTTCCACTTCTGAAAGTCTGGTAACACTAACAAAGTTCTTCTCTTTTAATATTGCAGGGTTTTTCCTGCATGCTGATGCAGAATCCCCAACATTACTTCAAGGATAAATAATTCAACAAAGGCTACAAGGACTTCTGAAGGCCATGAAAACTTTTATGTGATCACAGAGGGACTATATAATAACAGCTCAGGTGGCCACATGTGCTCCGTCCTTTGTGTATTCAATCCAGGAGATTTCTATATTGTACATTTATGTATGTTTTAAATAGAAATTTCTTCATTGAGAAACCTGAATTGTTTGGGAATTACATTTATTAAGATCATATTAGATACATGTATTAGTGCCATGTTTTCTGTATTTCATGTATCAGATCTATTTGTTTGTTTGAAACAGCTTCTTTTTTTTTTGGTGATATTCAAACTTACAATTTAAAAAAAATGGTTTAAAATGAGGTCACTGTTGCTTGCCTTTTGGTATTTTGTGGCTTTTTACTTATGTCCATATGATATGATGGTAGACTATGAGACGCTGAATCATCAAACTTTGTCAGTTAATGCATCTTGGAGTGAATTAAGGTGTGATGCAGTACATGAAGTAATTGAATATACATGTACTGCTTATATCACTTATCTAGTAAAAAGGCATTACATTTCCTTGTTCATAATTTAAAAAAAAATTTTTTTTTTAGCTCTTTCAGTAGATTAAAAAAAAGTTCTTGTTGTTTTTTCTGTAAATTATAGAAAGCCTTAAAAATTTTTTTACAGTAAATATGTTCTAATGTGGAAGCAAACAACATTGTCAGAGCTGTGAATTCAAAAATACACTTGCATAAATCGATTTGCATTGTATAGTTCCTGATGATCTTTTCATTTACACTAGTGTACATTATCAGAATTAGGAAATGCGTTAAATCAACCATTTTTAGCTCACCTCAACGAAGTTTGGTGAGCTTATGTAATACCCTCGGCGTCGGCGTCCCAGGTTAAGGTTTTTGGAGCAGTTTTCTTTTCAAGTACTTCTATGGCCTATATTAGTCAGAGATGCATGGAGGATGCTTCTAGTGTGTTTTGTTGTACCAGTCAAGGTTTCAGATGCTGCAATTTCAGTTAAAGAATGACCAGGTTAATGTTTTTGGAGCAGGTTAAAGTTTTTGGAGCAGGTCTCATTTCCAAGTAACTATAAGCCCTATATTGACCAAACTATCTAAGGATGCACACTACTGAACTTGCTTCGGATGCTGGATCTGACCTACATTTTACGGATGAGTGACTATGTTCACGTTTTTGGAGCAGGTCTCATTTCCAAGTAACTATAAGCCCTATATTGACCAAACTTGCATGGATGATACATCTAAGGATGCACACTACTGAACTTGCTTCGGATGGTGGATCTGACCTACATTTTACGGATGAGTGACTATGTTAACGTTTTTGGAGCAGGTCTCATTTCCAAGTAACTATAAGCCCTATATTGACCAAACTTGCATGGATGATGCATCAAAGAACGAACAATCTCAAACTTGCTTTGGATGCTGGATTTGACTTACATTTTCTGGATGAGTGACTAGTTTGAAGTTTTCAGATAAGTCTATTCCCAAGTAACTGCAAGCCCTATCAGACCAAAATTGCATGAATGTTGCATCTAGGGATGCACACTCCAAGGTTATTAGTTCAGTGTGGGACTTTGCCTTACTTAAAGACAACATTTGTTGAGGTGAGCTCTGTAATCTCTGATTACCTATGTTATTATGTAATATCAGTGTTCTGAATTGGATTTAATCAGAATGAAATGTATGTTTTCCATGCTATTTGAGACATTAACAGGGCTCTAATTGGCGACCAATTTAGTCGCCATGGCGCCAAAAATTTTTCCATAAGTCACCAAATTGGCGACCATTTTTAATTGATTTGGCAATCATCGAATTCAAGAAATTTTCACATTTTAAACAATTTTTCTGAAAAAGCGAAAAGAAATTTAAAAGAAGAAGAAATTATTTTTTTTAATGGACATGTCAAGTTTTCTTAAGCACATCATTGGTCCTTCTATTCTATTAACCTTTAAAGTTGGCGCCTTAGAAAAATTGCCTGGCGACTAAAAATTTGCATTGGCGACTAAATTTTTTTGATAAGGCGCCAGCTGGCGCCTAAATTTTAGAGGCCACTTAGAGGCCTGCATTAAGTAAGCTTTAAGTTAGTTCTTTAAGTTTCCTATGTACGTTGTACTTTGTAACAGTATAATGAACTTTTCTATGTCAGACTGAAGAGTTGCCAGTTTATATTAGTTATATTTTTGTAATTTACAAAATTTTCACATTCATAATAATTTTTTTAATAAGATTTGGCATTAAAATTTCGTAATCACACTAGATTTTTTTTTAAAGTGACCAGAAAAATTCAGGTAGATGTTCATCTGAATAAAATTGAATAAGATGACAAATTTGTGCTTTTTATTTTGAGGTATCATATTGAAGTAGCTTATTTATCAGTTAAGAAATGATTTGTAATGTTATTTAACTTTGTTAACAGGCAAAAAAAATCTGACACAAGTTTAGTGTCCATGAAATATCAGGGAGTATTGGAGGGACATGAACATGTATATGTAATTTCTTGTTGCATTGTATTAATTGATTTTGAATTGTATCCTGTTAAAATGAACAAAAAATTCATATTGCTTCTAAGTTGATTTTGATGCGTCAAAGTTGAGTAAATTATTCAAAACAGTTGGAAGGCAATTTTTTAAGTGAAGGGGAGGTAATTCTTCTATCAAATTTGGGCAGTCTGTTTTGGCCATATACCCATGCAGGTAAAAATCAGTTCCAGTTGAAATACATGAACATGATTATATATAAGCAGAGTTGGTTCAGCATTACTGTACAGAGCTAGATTGATACAAACTTATTACAATATACATGTATTGGTTTCAATTCATGCAATAGTTATTCTTTACATTTTTCCATAGACCATTTCAATATAAAATGAGAAATGTTTGAGAAACATATATGCCTCCATTTGCCAATATTAAAGGAACAGTTTTAAATTTAGAATGTTTGTAATGATAGTGAAAGCAATAATCAGGGGCAAACATAATACTTGATCTCTATCAGACCTCAATATCATGAGAGGTAATTTACTTTTAGAGGGATGACCACTGAACCAAATTTGATATCGTCAAGCAAAGGGTTCTCAAGATATTGAGTCGTCATCTTCCTATGTCCAGTTTCACCCTTGATCTTTGACATAAATGTCAATAGGGGTCATCTCCTCAAGGGGAACCAATGTACTAAGTTTGATGTCTGTCAAGCAAAGGGTTCTCAACATATTAAATGGACAATATCTTGCTATGCCTAAAGTAGTTCAACCATTGACATTTACCTTATGACCTCAAAATCAATAGGAGTCATCTACTCTTCAGGGGTAAGCAGTGTACCAAGTTTTATTTCTGTCATGCAAAGGGTTCTCAAGATATAAAGTGGTCTTCTCAACGAGAACCAGTGTACAAAGTTTGATATTTGCAAAGCAAAGGGATCTCAAGATATTGAGTGGTCAATGATTTCCTATGTTTATTTTGACCTTTGACCTTGTGAATCAAAATCAATAGGGATTGTCTACCTGGTACTTATGGGAAACCAATGTACTGGTACGTAGTTTGATTTCTGTCAATTAAATGGTTCTCAAGATAATTTAATGGACAAGATCTTCCTGTGTAAAGTAGTTTGACCCTTGACTTTGACCTTGTGACCTCAAATCAATAGGGGTCATCCACTTTTCAGGTAGTACCAGTGTACTGAGTTTGATGTCTGTCAAGCAAAGGGTTCTTTGATATTGAACAAACAACACTTGATCTACCAACATTCTGACAGACAGACAGGTGAATTTAGCAATATGTTTTCTTTTTCAAGGGGGGGGGGGGGGGGGGCATAAAAATAGTATCATAATATATAATTTTTATTGCATTAGAAAACAAGATGTGTTTGATAAATACAAATGCCCCAAAAGAGGCCAATTCTAATGAAAGACATGAGGGGTTTAATCAAATTACAAAATAACGAACAAATTCAAGAATGGTGTTTCCATGCTTTCTGTGTCTTAGTGGTTTGGATGCAATTACATACAACATATTGTAACTGTCTTGTCTGTGCATCATACAAAACAGATTTAAATTTTTTAATTAATAAAAGTTGCAGCCAAGATTAAAGTTTCTTAAAACTTTATCAAACTTCAAGGTCATGGGATCAAATACCATGATACAATCTGAAAGATCTTGTCATAAGTAATGCACATGTGAAAGCCCTGTCTCTTCTGGGGTGAAAGATATGGCTAAAGTTAAAATTCGAGATAAGTAGGTCAAACTTCTAAGTCAAGGTTGTGAAGCCAAAAATGATAGTTCTTTCTGAAAGGTGTTGTCACAGATAATGTACAATATGTAAAATATGAAAGCCATATCTTCTTTCATTCAAAAATTATTACCATCTGACATTAAAAATTTTGAAAAAGACTGTAAGTTAAATTCAAGAGGTCAAAAACCATAGTATATTCAAAAAGCTCTTGTAACAGGTAATGCTTGTGTCTAATATGAAAGCCGTATCTTCTCTTTTTGAAAAGTTATCATCAATGTTAAAATTTTTAAAAGTAGGTCAAACTTCAAGGTCAAAGTAACGGGGTCAAAAATCATAGCATATTTGAAAAGAACATGTACCAGATAGTTCACATGTTAAATATGAACACCCTATCTTTTCTCATTCAAAAGTTATGTTTTTGTAATAGATGGACAGACTAAGAGATGATTGAGTCCCCTGGCTTTTGCAAAATGAACACCTATCTTCTCTCATTCAAGGTCATAGGGTTAAAAAATCATAGAAAATTTGGAAAGCTCTTGTAAAAGGTAATGCACATCCTTTTGGAAGTGTTGTCATAGGTAATTTACGCCTGCAATATATGAAAACTCTATTTTATCTCATTCAAAAGTTAAGACCAAGGTTCAAGTTCTTGTGACAGACTGACAGAGGAATGAGATTTAAGTCCTCTCACTTTTGCAAAAGTGGAGGACAATAACAAGTAACTGTCAATGGGAATAAGTCTACTTAAAATGTGGTTGGGTGGGCAGTTTCCATTATACCTAGCAGAAACATGTCGGACACATATATGCCTTATATGAAATCTATGAATGTACTACTGTAGATTCCTAAATATACGCGAGGAATAAATTAGCGCGTAATTACGCGAGAAGCACCGCTCGCGAAAGAAAATTACTCGTTTTTATTTTTATGATGCTTTAATGTATGTAAAATCTCTAGATAAATCAACCATTCGCGAATTATTATTCTCGCGATTTGACGCCCTTGGGTCATTTCGCGATAATAGGTACTCGCGTAAAATAAGGAATTTACAGTAATTCATCAAAGTCTTGGTGCCCTCTCAATAATTCATCTATTTGTAAACACACTGATAAAATTCAGTGAAGATCATTAGATGTGTATTTGAACTGTAAACCACACTGAACAGTGACGAACTTAAAACGACTAAGGTCCAGCGATTTATTTCACTGATGATTAAATAAGACATATTAATTATTATAATTTTAGTAACAAAATTAATTAATTAACATGATTAATGTTAATCACTCTCAGAGTGACTCTGTGTAAAACATTTCACATACACTGAACTGCAACAGAGACATCCAAAGTAACAAGATAAATGATTTATTGTTTAATTGTATTAAACATTATAATAATATACATGTACTATTTTTTCTGTTTGATATGAATATAAAATTTATGGTCTTGTTTGGCTACATATCCCTTGCTCTCAAAGAAGTCAATCAATTTTTCAGTTTTCTTTGTACGTGCATGAAGTTCCTGTGAATATATAAAATAACAATTTTTAAGAAGAGCATGCATATATGCAAAAAATGCCAAATCCAAACAAGCTTTAAATTGTCTACATTATAAACACAACAAAAGTAGAGCATGTGTGGATCACAATACTGGTATTCCTATTTTCTTTTCATGCTTGAGATTTATTTTTTTTTACTAAACAAAAGGTTGATTCCCCCTCTCCCTCCCTTCCCCTCCTTCAATTTCATTTTAGAAATGTAAACTACTGTTTTACCCTTGTGTGTCTGTCTGTCTGTGTGTCCCTGTGTCTGTACGTAACAAATTTTCGTTGCAGTTTTCTCGGCAACTACTCATCACAGATGCTTGAAATTTTAGCACACTCTTTGTCTAAGTATGTCATATGGTGGGATTCATTTTTTTACAAATTGGATGTCAACTTCTTGTTTATCCGTGCATCTGTCTGTATCAAATTTTCATCAGTTTACTCAGAAACTACTCATTGCTGATGCTTGAAATTTTAGCACACTCTTTGTCTAGGCATGCCATATGGTGGGATTCATTTTTGTACAAATCTGATGTCAACTTCCTGTTTTTCTGTGCATCTGTCCATACCAAACTCTTTAGGCATCTCAGATGCCATACAGTGGAATTCATGAGAGCTATTACTAGTGAGCACTGGCTCAAAGACTTCTTCTTGTTTTTATCTACACTCAAACCTTGTTATCTCAAACTCAATGGTGCCAAAAAAAAAAACCTTTGAAATACCCAAAGATTTGAGATATTGAGGTTAAAATACATATAAAAATATGTTAATGACTGGGACTTCCAACTTGCATCGACATATCCATAGTATTCAAAATACATGTATCAGTGTTCTCGATACCATTTCTCTTTTACTGGTCTTTACCATTTCAGTATAAGGAAATTGCTCCCTCAAACATCATGTACAATTTTATTGTTAATACATACACATTTTACTACATGTATTATAACTGTCTCCTCTCAAAATAAAAATGAACATACCTGCTCCTTATCCTGATATGCTTCTGACTTGCTTGTGACCATCAATATAACTGGGTGACCTTTCATCAACACATTTTCAATTTTTCTTATCATTATACCACTGTCATAATCAGAGGCAGTGGTGGTTATTTTAAAGTTTTTGGGACTTTTGACCTTTAACCTGCCCTGCTGAGCAAGTTTATAGTCTTTATACTCTTCCATTGTTATTAATTTAAAGGCCATCATATCACTAGTCTTCGGGTCTTTTAAGATGGTCATCTTCAAGTTCCTGTGTTTTGCCTCTATGTCTGCTTCCTCATGTGTTACTTCATGTTTGATAACTTCATCTTTTTCATCTAAAAGTTTCAGTTTTTTGTCTTTGTTAATTTTAGAAATCACATTTGAGAATGTTCTTGATGAAGTTGCAAACATTGCTTTAGTAATGTCATTCAGATTGGAATATTGAAGTAATCCTGTGCCATTTCCAAGTTTTTTTGGTCCCTGTAAGGAAAGTCTGAGAATATTTTGGTATTGGAGTGTCCAAAGTATCTTTCTCCTGATAAGATAAGCCATTTTTCTGTAAAGAAACTATCAAGAGGTTAACTGACCACAGCATTTACATGTTACTGAATACCATAAACTTTGGACCCCTGTGGCTTTCTGTACAAGAGAAGTGTAAAAGAGATTTGGTTGGAATGAAGCAAAACTACCTCTCATTTTTGCAGATTTTAGAATAGATATGCATTGATACATGTATAGAGCTTGACTTTAGGGTTGAGGACAACTAGAAATATAGGAGCAATTGAAATTTTTGTGTGTGATCTATATATAAACCAAACTTGCAGATAATTAATGAATGTTCTGTCAATAAAATTTGTACTTATATAGTTTATCTGACTAAAATCTGATCCTGTCAGTAATTGAGCAATTAAAAGAACACTTGCATGAAGTGGATTAAATTAATAAGGGATAAATTTGGTCCCATGTTATTAAAGTGCCAACCCCCAATAGACGCTTGCTGTAGAATACTAGTAGATTTTTTTGTCTTTCAGATTGAACACTTTTCTTGAAGAAGAAATATAGTGAATCTGCTTGGGACAAAGTACATTGTAACTCAATATACACTAGGTTAGCAACTATAGGATGGTTGTATGTTCGTTCGCCTTAAAATTTGTTCGCCCTTGACGCCGTTCACCCTAATTCTCGTTCGCCCAGAGTCCAATCGCCCTAAAACTTGTTTGCAGGGTCCATTTGCCTTATTTCTATTGCAGAAAGTTGAATAATGAACCAATGGATTTTTTAAAATAAATCATATTTACATTGGTACATAAATTGCACACGGGTATGCATGTGGTCACACTAAATACCCCTCCTATCAAAGACCCGGCAGACCAACAGAAATTAACATCCTTTAACTGTTTTCAAAACATAACGCAGATTGTAAAAAAAAAAACCATGGATATGATCCCCTAAATTACAGTGACATTATTAAGTATAATTAAACCAATTAAGCATGTAAAAAGCATTAATATCAAATTTGAATTGTTTAATTAAGATTACGGTAAATAAAAAAAATACTGTAGCAACATTTGGAAAAAAAACACCAAGTCGTAAAATATTGAATAAAAATTAAAAATGTTAATATTGCCTATATACTGTTCATATATTAGGACGAACGAGATATAGGGCGAACAAGAACAATGGCCAATGGACCTTGCGCGAACGGACTCATGCGAACAGGTAGAAATGAACCTCATACCCTAAACAGCTAAAGGATTCAGGGGTTGATTCCTGGTTGCAGTGGTTGGGTTACTATATTTTCTGTCCATGAATTTTTGACACCTGTGGGTGTCTGATGGACAGTTCCATCATAAACATAAATATTGTAATATAATATACACAGTCAAGAACTTGTATTTATATTTCTCTGGTTGCATAAGGTTTGATTTCTGACATTTGGTCCAAAAATTGAAATCCGGTCAGCCTAGGAGTACTTGAAATATCAATACGAATTCAGCGAATGTAGAATTATTGTGTGTACACAGAACAACATTAAAAATGCATATGCTGGTGCCAATGACAGGCATACTTACCAAAATATAAAACTGTCCTTGCTTACGGTCTTCATTTAGTGAAAGTGAAAATAGATGTTTATTTTCGTATATCTCTTGTCATGTTTTTCCCAAGGAAAAAATGATTTCAATAAAATAATTGACAGAGTGGTATTGAATATCATAATTTATTTATTGCATAAAGCACAAAAAGGCAAATATGAACATTTTACTAATATTGTACGAGAATAACACCAAACAATCATGGCGACTGAGGTCCAACCGGCTGCCCCAGCGCCTTCTTCAACCCCGGCTGAGGATGATGAGACATGGTTATATGGCGGTAAGGCTTATTGTTAGACACATAAAATGTAATGTTTTCAATATATTGCAATTATAAACATATGTTTAAATAAGAAACCAAAACGTCGGAATCCTTTTTTTTTTTAATTCCGAATTTCCTCAGCTCTTCTCATTGTCTCACCACTTTAATGCATGTTTCAAAGGAATATGTCTACGCGAAAGCTGTATAGATTTTTAAGTTTACTTTGGAGAAGGTTGTTTTGGATTAAATTTCGCAGTTAGATTATTCTATAACCCAGGAAGGCTGTTTCAGTCCCATGAAAAATTTCCACCCCTTTTTCTTCAGTTCCTTTACAACTGGTATACTCAGTTCTCATTATATCGCGGGTTCCATTGTATCGCGGTATTTTCCAAATATTAGGATACACGTCACTAGGACTGTCACGGTTCCAAAATTTTTCGGGTTGGGTCGGTTCTGTAAATTTTCGGTTCGGTTTCGGGTTTTTCGGGTCGGGTATTTACATCTATTTTAAACCTTAATTTCATGAATTTAACTTGAAAAATCTTTATTTGTTACATTAAATTTACATTGAAAACAATTCTTAACCATGCGAACGTCTAGACATCGGTGACTTGGCCTACTATTAGCCACAACCTGACCATTCCTGCTTGTTTTGATAATTATCTAATACTTCCGTGACAAGTGTTTTGTCATGGAATGAACAGATGAAGTAGATTTCAGTTGTGATGTTTATTTATCACTGTTATCGTCATCATTCCTTTGATTTCGACGCCATTTTTTGTATTGAACAGACTCTAATATATAAACCAGACCAGAACCGAAATCCGGAAAAATGGAACCGGAACTGAACCGAACAACTTGGACCGCGATTCTCGGTTATTTCGGGTACTCGTGACAGCCCTACACGTCACATATCCTTTTTGTTTATGTACCGTCTGTCGTCTGATTATTGACTCTTGCGATGATGTAAAAAGTATGGAATACACATTGGAGAATTTATTCAAATAAAGAGATATTACAGACTTCCATTCCCGTTTTTATTTTTTGAGATTTTAAATAAAATGCAAACTTGTGAAAGCTTGCATTAAAATAGCTAAATCAAGCTTCTTCAGGATTCTAAAAGGCTACGTAGGTAATCCAAGTCATTATAGTGAGTGCAGCACAATGCACAGATTGCATCGAGGGTTCGTACAACTATGCCTGGATGAAGAGAAAATTCGGACTACAGAATATTAATCCATTAGAATTTTTTCCACAGTAAACCTTGGTACCCAAAATGCACCAAAAATAGATTATTTTTTCAATATAAACTGCTGAACTGCTCTCTTGCTCAAACTCTCGCAATAACCAAACAAAAGTTGTTCACAATTAAAAATACATACACCATACATTAATGGAAATTGAAGACAGATAATAGATTAAATGCTTTTTGGTAAAAATTTGCCCTTTCATAGGCTACATTATAGAAATGCAACCTACATAAGACATCTTGACATCACAGTCTAGACCTTCCAAATGTCTCATGTGGTTTGAAGAGGTTGCAGATCTAAGTCAAAGTGAATGGTATATAGTAATAAATTATACACAACTGTGCTCACCCCAACGATTACACCATCAACATATTAAATGATAGTCTTCAAAGGGTTATGTAGAATCCAGCACATTAGATATTATTGGGATACATGCATACTTTAACAAAAATACAAGTCTTTTTTTTTTTTAATTTAGAAGAGAACAAGGAAAAAGATAAAGCACAAGAACCACCAAGGTAATGTCTTATTTTTTTCATTTAAAGTGATTCTTATGAATTCTATTTAAATTTAAAAAAATTTTCTTCTTTACATGATCAGCAAAAAAACATATTCTTTATTGGGGAGAAGAATGGTATTTGTTTATTTTAATACAGTGAGTTTCTGTATTTATATATTATGGTAAGAAAGAAAAAAATTACAGTAGTTAATAGCTAGTTGTTAATAACTTTTATAAGGTGACGGTTTTAAAATAAAATTTTTTTATATTCACAAACATTTTGACTGATCTTACCTTGTTGATTTTTTCATGCTAGTGAGACTGTTGGAAACGGTGCTGCTAAGGAGAATAAAAAAGATGACCGAGAAGCAGGGGAATTGGTAAGGACAATTGGAATAAGCGCAGCATATAGTATAAATTGAATGTAACATCTGTGAGACGCACCCATTGAAAATTCAATTTCTGAGCAATAATGTTTTGACATTATAGTATGTACCTTAACATAATTTCATAAAAAAATTAGGATTATCCTCTTTATGAAGCCAGTATTGAAACTATTTATGAGCATTTTCATTTTATGATTGAAAGTTCAATAAATCAAATGTTCAGTTGTACTTCGTTATTTTGAACACCGGCATCTCAAATACTGGGGATATGTCGAAATGAGTTGGCAGTCCCAACACTTTTTCTTTATGTTTTTTACCCTAATAACCTCATATCTTCAGATATCTCAAAGTTTAGTCTGGGTCCCATCGAGTTTGTGATAACAAGGTTTTACTGTATTTAAAAAGTGAAGATTTTTATTGGCTATTATTACTATAAAACCTGTTTCAAAAATTTTATCTCTGAAGCAAATAATTTCTATAGAATGATGTTTTTGTGCTTGAAATTACATGCAATTTATTAAATCAGTAAGTGATTTGTAGAGTGGTGAAGAAGAATCACAAGACAAAGGAAATGATGATGACGATGATTCTGATGATGATGTACAGGTCACTATTGGTGACATTCAGGCCTTTCCAATTGGAGAGTAAGTTTGCACAGACATAATAAACAATATATAAAGTAACAGATACAGGTGACTGAAAAAAGAGGTGTTTCTTGGTATAACACTAGTTTTCTCAGTTTGTTCAGCTGTCATTTGTGACTTGTGTCACAAGTGAAAAGTCTGCTGCTTTAAAAGTTGTAATGAATGAGGTAATACCGGTATATAACTTTATTGTACTAATTGGTTTTTACAGGATAATTGAAATAGTCAAATAAAAAAAAATAAGAAACTGCCATCAGTTTTAAGTTCTATTCTGTTTAGTTTATTCAAAGAGGTGCTTGTGTGCCTCTTGCTTCAGTTGCCATTCACGTATGAGACAGTACATGTCGTAGCACTCTAAAGTTGTATTTTTTTTTTCAGTGGTGCAAGAAGTCTCTTCAAAGCCCCAGGATACCAAAAAGCAGGAGCTGGTGGGTATTTAATGAAAATGCTTCAGAACATTTAATATTGACCAGTACTTGCTTGTACTTTAATAATAAATTGAATTTTGTAAATTTAGGTGCCACAGGTAAAGGCACGACAGCCGCTGGAGCCCAGAAGGGTGTGGATCTAGAGGCAGTGGGTACCATCAATGGGATCCCTGCCTATGATTTTGATTTGGAAACCCTACAGGCAGATGAAAAACCATGGAGAAAACCTGGTAAGTTCATTTCATCATTGTATTGTTAATTGATAGGAAAGTGTGTATCTCTTCGTATGGTATGTATATTTGTAGCAAAAGAGTAAGTTTGATAAATATTCTTCTCTCTTCTAGGTGCTGATATTACAGACTACTTTAATTATGGTTTTAATGAAGAAACATGGCAGCAGTATTGTGAGAAACAGAGGCGACTAAGGGGAGAGAACCAGGGCTCCAGACCATATGTATGTCTCAATGAAAGTGTTTGAAATTTAAAATGAACAAATTTTTATTAATGTCCATCTCAATAGTACCAATGTTCATAATTTAATTTTCATCAATTACATCTACTTTTCTTGCATAAGTATATCTAGCTTTCAGTTGTGGTGTTTTATTTAAGTATGATTCCCTCAAGTGAAAAATTTAGTAACAGAACAAGAATTAATTTTACTATAGCTTTTACTGATTCGATGATTAACACAAGGTATTTCTTAGACAATAACTTTTATGAAGGAAATGAAAAAACTTGAACAGTATCCATTATGAGACTTTGTCATGAAAATGGAGAAGGGGGAAGAACTGTGGAGAAAATTAATATCTTAGAAATTACTTGACAATAGAAGGATAAAATAAAGGCCTTTTTTAAAATTATATTTGTAGACACATGTGTCATCTGGTATAAAGAAAGATATAACAGGTAATTATTATACTAAATATTATCATTATAATTTACATGGTAAGGTTTATATCATATCATGTACATTGCAGCAGTTTTTATACAAAAAATTAAAATGCTTTTAATTTTTATACACCTGTGCATATGCATTTCCTTAGATGCACTATCCGTTCCTCAGATTTTTACCTTGTCAGTATTCGATATAATAAATACCTTGATGTATCACTAACAAGTTCTTTGATAATTACCAGAATATTTTTGCTTGTAAGAAAGTTGATCTTTGTAATCACAGTACATATTCATATATATGAGATATTTGATCAATTATTTTTATAACACAGAGACGCCACAAAATGTACCTGTGCTGTCAGGTAGAAAGGCCATCATTACCGTACCACGTAAAACATCAGGCACAATAGATGTGATTGGTGGAACAGCCCGAGATTCCAGAAGACCGGAGGGAGAACCCATTCAAGTGGCAGGGTAAATCTCACTTCCTTTGATTCTCTAGTAGTAAAAGCTACTTAGAATCTGGTGCAAGTTATCTAGACTTTAAAATACATTATAAAGGGAAATTTTCATTACATTTATTTTTGCCCCTTTCGCCTGCATTGCAGGTGGGGTAATTGAAAATGGGGGAATCTAATGAGGACAGCATTATTTCTTTAACACAAATGTCTCTGGGTGAATTTAAGCCAGGGCGAAATTATTTGCTTAAGGAAAAGGGCAAAAATATCATGGGGCCAAAATAACCTTCTATACAGTATTGGGTATTTGCATTTATTCAAATCAGTGATGATAGTGAAATATCCTGATTCAGTGTAATACATGTACTTGCATATATTATTTATGCATGATATTTTATTAAACAGGAAGTACCCAAGTGCAGTGCCCCCACACCCTCCTCCTGGAATGGACTTCAGTGTCCCCCCTCCAGGGATGCCCCCACCTGGAGTCCCTCCCCCAGGAATGCCAGTACCTCCTGGTAAGACAAAATAGGTTTTTTTTTTAAACAAAAAATAAAAAAAAACTTTCAACACTATCAGACTTAGTTTATGAATTTATTGAATGGTATTCATTGTCAACTAGTGATATTTGATAAAAAAAAAAATAAAGCTCTATATGGCATATCTGAGCTAAAAAATAAAAATAAGAGATTGAGTGTAGATAAACATGATATATATTATTTACGTTCAAATTAAAATTTTCACCGATTTTGAAATTACATAACTTCATGTTTAAATAGTTAAATTGGCTTTAAACTGTGTCTGTTATTTAAATGCGGAGTCAGTAAATAAATCGGTTATTGTTTTAAATTTCTAATATCTTTGAAACGTGATTGATTTAAATGGTGTAACTTACAGGAAAGTCCTATCTTTACATAAAGTAATTAAACAAATAGAAAGATCTTTTTAATTTTAGTTATTCTGAACTTATAAAAAATATGCCATATATGACTTTTAACTGACATTTAATCATTATTTGGAATTTTTAAATGTTAAGCTGTCATTTGCTCAAATTTTTAAATGTTGTGGGTTTTGGTTTTTGTCTTTATGTCTGCTTTATTCCTTCCCTTGGTTTTTATAGGAGTTCCTCCTCCTGGTATCCCAGGCATTCCTCCTCCTGGTTTCCCAGACTTTGATCGTAAGCATTAAGTTGGATACTTCAATAATTTATTCTTGATTTACAGATATGCATTGTTAGGTTTACTCTTTACATACATGTACATGTTAATGGAGTGTTCATTTGTTTATCTCAAGATATTACATGAAAAAAAAAAACTGGTAACAGTTTAATTAATGGGGTTTGTGTTTTATTTCATGTTGAATATTTCTCTTTGAGAATTTGGGAAATGTCTGCATTTTTAATGCTATACTGAATAAAGTAGACATGTCTTTCAATACATGATGTAAAAGAATTTGAATCATCTCCAATGTATTTTAGTCACAGTAATTAATTTTGATAAATGTATTTACTGCAGTGAGTGCCATGTATTTACTTAAAATACAATCGTGAGAATGTAATATAATGGAATTCAAAACTATGAAGAACTTGAGCCAAATACATGTAAAAGGGATTTACTGATTATTCTGTGCTTTTCAGCTTTCTTCCCTCCACCTGGGCAGCCATCCAGCACTCGTTACGAGGACAGACCCTCCTATAACTATGACAGCCAGCACACATCCTACCCCACATCTTACCCAGACACACCACATTCCTCATCCTGGGACAGGTTAGTATCCAACAATAAACACAAAATCTGTCACATCATTTATGACAATGATAAATTTCATGTTTAAAAAAAACCTTCCTGATATTAGTGTTCTAAATATATAAAAAGTTCCAAACACATTAAATTGAAAAGTTAATGCAAGTGCATAAAATTTGCTTTTCATAATTTTGAGTTAACTCCCTTATGCTGTGATTCGTTTGGATTTGTGTAGAATCAGCAGCAGATTATGTATAATTTTTTCCCCCCTAATATTTGAACATGTTAACAATTTTAGAATGATTAAAATAAAACTTTATAAATACTTTTGGAAAATTATAAGATGTGCTTTGTTTTCAATCTAGGACAGAGACGTATTGGAGAGACTATGTGGGGAGGGGGGATAGGAGCCCTGTCAGGTCCGAATCTGACTTCAGCAGGTAAATATAGAGTCCAGCATCAATTCTGTTTTATTTGTATATTTCATTAAGCCTGACAAACATGGCAGACCATTCTAAATTTTTTTTGTAATTAGTCTAATTACATTAATTAATTAATAATTACTCTAATTGCATTTCAAGCATGTAAATTAGAAATTGTGTTAGATTATGTAATAATTTATTCTGGTGGATGTGGAGAATATACGTTTAGGCAACTGATATAATAAAATATCAGACATGATGATATCATGGGCTGCATTAATTTTGAATCAATCCATTTTAAATGCATCAAATAACCATAAATGTTGTCTTTGTAGTTCTGGCAGTGAGCGTGATTACAGATACAGGGACTCATCCCGCAGCAGTCGATATGACAGAGAAAGGTAATGCTAAACCAGCTTTTCTTATCATGGTGATTTGGTTATATGCTTAATGTAATTACTGGTATACTGATGTGGCATTATTATAAAAAATTGTGTGGATTTATGGGGTTTTTTTTTTGTTTGTATAGGGACTCCTACAGAAGAGACAGGGATTCTGAGAGAAGTCGAGATCGAGACAGAGACAGATCTAGAGAGAGAGATAGGGATCGAGACAGAGACCGAGATAGGAGACACAGAGATGAAAAGCACAAGTCACGAAGGTAAATCTTGTCATCTGAAAGATTCAGTTAGTAATACTATAAAAAAAAAAGAAAGAAATTATCTTTTTCTGGGTGTTTAAAACATATCTGAGATCAGAGAAATCTGTTGCAGGAAGGACAAAGAAGATGATTCTAGTAGATCTAAACACAAGAAGAGCAAGCGATCTCGACGAGATAAGGACGAGGACTCGGGGAACACAGGATCTGAGTCGGCCAGCAAAGCAGACTAATAAATCATTTTATTCCAATTTCATGTCTATTATAGTCATTAAAATTCATGTAGTCAAATCTTTTTATCTTTTATTTGATTTTGTATTTTTAACTTTAAAGAGTGAATGGATTCAAGAAGAATTTTATCATGAAATTTATGACGGTCTGTGTTTAAGTAAACATGCAGTTGCATCTAGATCAAAGACATTATGCAAAACTATACAGAGATTTTGGAATATTCATGGGGATTTCTTATCTTTGGGATTGTATCATGAATATATTGTCCTAGCATGCTGTTGGAATTTATTATTTTGTTTATGTTCTTACCAAATTAAATACACCTCCATAGTATTAATGATCGGGCACTCTATTACATTTAATCCTTGAAGTATTCATATGTTAAGTATCCCCTCTCATCTTTGTGCAGGCCATTAGAACTTGTTAATGTGGTAACTCGATACAAAGACATTAAACTGGATGTTATATAGTTGTAAAATATTTCCTATTGTACTTTGCTTAAAGAATTCCTGATATTTTACTTGAGTAGTACACATGGCCCCGTTCTTAAAGACAGAGTTTGGATTAGAAATGTGCAGAGTCATTATTTCATACACCAGAAGTTGGTACATACTTCCTTGGGGCTTGATTGATATGTAAACTGTTTGCTCTTTGTATGTGAATCTTGATGGCTAAAAATTATATTTCATGTTAAGTTGTAGGCTTTTGAATGTTGTTCCATATCTAATCTTTGTAGAAGGAAAATTATTTTCTAATCTTGACAGATATGATAAAAGCATAGCTCACAGAATAGTTCTAATGTAATATTAAAATCTTTTTTTTTTTTTTTTTTGCCCGAAATTGCAAAACAAGGATGTCGCTTTAAAAAAACGATAGACAATCATACTGTGGGATACCCTTCGTTTGTCTGTTTGTGATGAGTTTATCATGCAGGGAACATGTCTAAGTATTTTGAAATGGACAATCAAGGGTCCCTCCAAAACGTAAGTAAATCTCGGCTTCAGAGCTGAAGACTTGCAACGGTTGTGCTGAAATAAAATCTTCAGTGGCGCTAACGAGTGTAACATTACAACTGTAATTTTTATGTCAAATTTTCTCTTTTTTTGAGTAATAAATGAGAAATAAAAACAGTATAATTAGAGACGTTTATAGGTTAGTCTGGCTGAAATATATATTAAAATAGGGGGGAAAAAGTAATTCATTTTTTACACTTCGTCATTCGAATCCAACTCTAGAGACCTGGAGGATTTGGTTGACGAGATTCCTGTGTAAAAATCTATAATGCGTTACGGTATATGGAGCTTATGGTGACTAGAGATTTTGATTAAGGTTTGATTAATGTAGAAAATTAAAATTTCAAAAGAGCATACATCCTAAAATCAGCGAAATGAAACCACTAGGATAACGACCTTCAGTTTATTAGGCGATTACCCCTGTCACATAAATATTACATGGGATTTAAAAGACATCATTAATGTATTTTATGTCTTTTGATATTGAATATTTTTTTTATGTAGAACTTCTTGTGCACTTCTTTTAAAGATGTGTCGTCGGAAAAATCACACTAACATTATATAATACTTTCAGTAAAATGGTATTTGATATCCCTTTGGGGAGATGGGAAAAGGACACTTTCTCAATTTAAAGTTTGACATACAGCCGTGGGATTATGAAACAAATAAAATTTCAACCACCTGTAAGATGTTTAAGTAAACTTGAAACTCATCTTAGTTATCTACAGATCATTTTTCTAATTTAACCGTGATATGTCGTAACTGCATGTATAAGGATTTTAACATAAGTGTATGGCATTTACTTGTAGTACTTTTTTTTTCTTTAGAACTCGAGAGTCAGAAAAGGCGGTGTTATACAGCATAAGCTTTATTATTCCGTGTAAATTCAAGTTCATTCAAATCATGACCTGGGATTCTAAGGTGGGACTACAGTATGGGTTCAATTTTGTTCAAATCATGATCTGAGATTCCAGGGTGGGACTACAATATGGGTTCAATTTTGTTGAAATCATGATCTGAGATTCTACGGTGGGACTACAATATGGGTTCAGTTTTGTTCAAATCATGACCTGGGAGTCAAGAGTGGGACTAGAATATGGGTTCAGGTTTGTTCAAATCATGACCCGGGAGTTTACGATTGAGCCATAATATGGGTCTTTGAATTTTTTTTTCTTTCAAAAAATGTTGATAAAATTTTTCTTTATAACAACTATGATAAAATTTTTACATCTCATAGCAAACATCTTAATGTTGTGTAGATTAAAATTTGAGAAAGAACAAATAAGGAAGTAAAAAATAAAAAAAACAACCATAACGAAATTTCCTTTGATATATCAAAAAATGTAAACTTGATTTGAAATCTGTAAACTATTCTACAGTCTTGTGAGTATCAAAGAAACGGTATGCAGACACCAGGATGTGCAAATTTTATCATAGCACATGCATGAGTGACTTGTCGCTCCGTTTGATTGAAAACATATTTTCAAAATGCGACTAAAATGTAGCTTTTTCGGTTAACAAAATCATGGAGCAAGGACCCCACTACACATTTAAAGTACATTTTTATTTATAACAAAGTATTCGTATCTTTTGTAAAAATAGGCTGCAAGAGCACGATATTCGTCCCCCTAAACGATATCTACCGTGGCAACATCATAGTAATGAGGGACTAGACTCTTTCAGTTACGAAAAAAAAAACGATTTTTTATATTAAAAATTAGTTTTTGATGCTTAGAATTCGATTTCTTGATATCAGACAATCATTATCTGAAATCCCTAAATCGATTATTTCGATTTATGAAATCGATTATTAAATTACTAGTACAAGAATTCAGAGAATGATTTACACGACAAATAGAATTTTTGATATCTGAAATTAATCTGGATTGAATTCTTTCACATAATTGAACTATTTATATCGAAAGATCATTTTCTGACATAAGAAAATAAATTATAAAATTAAATCTTTTTTTTTAAATGTATATAATTTTTTATTAAAAAAATATATATATATATATTATAGTTAAAAAGAAAAATTATTTAGACATTTTCTGTCCTTTGTGAGACAGTGAAAAAATACTACGTATAACTATAGACAATTTAACAATGAGTTATGAAAAACAAAGGATATACACGTAATTTTTATGAATTATGTTGAAGTGATAAACTTTACTTTATTTATTAAAAAAAAAAAAAAAAAACATTTCTGTAACTCTCAAATATACACAGTATTTTCCGCAGTATAATATGAAGTTCATTACTTCATTGGTCAGTGAACCGTACGAAAGAATCAGGGTGTGCAATGGTGTGCCAAAAAAAACCTTCTTGGTGTGATTTAAATTATAATCTGTTTATGTCAAGTTAATTCTCTTCTTAAGGTCAAGATCTATTAAAAGAAAGGTGCCTTCAGATTTCTGAAATTTGAGAAGCAAGTTCTTTCAATGATCCTTTACAAATATAGCTTGGCGAAATTAGGTGTATCGGGGCATAATTTTTAGGTAAACTCAACGAAAAAAGATACTTTAAACTGTTATTTTCAATGTTAAATGAAGGAAGTCAGGTATAAATATGGGAGTTTTTTCCTTCTCGGAAAAAGAAAATGTATCAATATTGCCTACAGACTCTCAGAAAACAGTTTTTCATATTTTCTTGACCCCTTCTTTAAAAATGACATTAATTTGAGTATATGTATCGGGGTTAATTTTGACATGATTTCAAATTGAATTCCATGAAAATGTTTCATTTTGTACATAATTCTATAAAAGCCGTAAAGTACGGGAAAAATTAAGTTTAAATCAATTATGACGTCACAATGGATCTAGCACCAAAAAGACAGTCTAAACTCATTTACTAGATCTTGACCTAAAGTGATAAAACGGGTAAAAAATATGGATATTATTATAGAATCCACACGCAAAATGTAGGAAAAACTAATATACATTTTATCATCCATCAGTTGAATTCCCCTCTGGACCATAAGGAGATTAATTTCTAATATCTTGTATTGTGAAATTTCATGGGGCAATGTCAATTTTATAGCTCTCAGAAATATAAACATTTAGTTACTGTATATTAAAACTTCAGATATTTAATTATTGGTGGGATGGGGTTTCACGTGCCCAAACACCTGTGAACAACACGAGTGATTTAAATGTCTTTGCAGTACAATTTTTTTTTAATTTTTAAATTTGTTGATATAAATGATAATATTAGAACTAATTCTAGGTGTTAGGAGCAAAATAGGATTAAAGGATCTAGAATCATACATGTATGTAGAATGTACTAACCGCGAAGTCCAGATTTGTTTTCTTGAACATTTATCATGATGTGTATTAAATGTAAAACTCGTTAAATGCCACCTACACCATGTATGTGTGATAAGATCATGCTCCAAGTCTTTTTTTTTTTTATTATTTTCAATCATACAGATTACAACGTGTATCAAGAAATCAATCATGCATAGCGGACCTGAGTTGAAGTTGTGACGGAAAGTACCGTCGAATACTTGAACAGTGTGTTTGGTGTTTTGTTTTTTTTTCTTTGAAAAACGTACCTACGTTGCAGTTTTTTGCGGTAAACTTTGCAGATACGAATAAAGTTATTTTCATGTTTAAAATAATTAGACCGCGACTTAGCGAAAACTTTATCTTTCCTATCATTATTGTAATTATGGTGATTATAGTACTAAGTAATTCACAGACCTTAAAAAACAAATACTTTTTAAATAAGTTTTCGTTTATATGGTTCCCTTGAAGATTACAAAAATACAGGTCACAGTTAAAAAGGGGGGTGTTAAGAGATGGTTTGAGAGAGAAAGACATGGAGAGAGAGGGGGGAAGGAGTGGGCGGGTTGAGAGATAGAGGGAGAGAGGGTTGAGAGCGGTGCTCGACCGAGAAGGGAAGTGAGAGAAGAGGGACTCAAGCGATAAGATGTGAGTGAGAGGGAGTGCGAGAGAGAAGGAGTGTGAGAAGAGGGAGGGGTTGAGAGCGAGAAGGGGTGGGGATAGACAGTCAGAGAGTGACAGAGGTTATTAAAGGAATGAAAAAATAA